GTGTGTAAGAAAGTTTGCTACAAGAATGTGAACATCAGAAGGCTTAGAAAATCTTAAAAATCAGGGTGACATTGGCGCATGGAAGGTGTGCCCAGGTGAGGTCTCCTCCTGCCACCCTGGGTGTGCACCAGGCTCCATCACACAGGCCTGACCATCAGATATCATGGGGAAAATCTCTGTTTAACAAAAGCAAGGAGTCAGGAGTCAGGTGGACACTCCAGTTTGTGGCTGGAAGAGCTGCTGGGCAGCTCCACATTGGAAACATGTGGAGTGCTGCAGGGACAGGGCTGGGACAGAGATAAGGGAGATTTCTGTGTGGGTGGCACTGATTTGGGCCTGGAGCTGCTGCTCTGCGTGTGGACAAGGGCTGGGACATCTCTGCTGTTTTTCCATCCACTCCCAGGCATGTGTCAGTCCCAGCTGACCCAGCAGACACTGCTGGGCTCAGGGAGTTGGTGCAAAATCCCTGAAAAGTGGAAATTACAGGGCCACTGCCTTAAGGCCTGCACAGAAAGTGGTGGTTTTTGAGGAGGTTTTTGGCAATCAAGGATCCAAAAATCTTTCAAAACTGGGTTTAATCTCAGAAGGCAGTGAGAAGGTTTGGGTGTGGATCTCTGAGCCCTACAGACCCCGGACCTCTGGGAGCTGAAAGAGGGAGGGGAGCAGCTCTTTTGCTGAAATATCATTAATTTTATTACTGAGTTGCAGAAATGGGATTAACCCTGCCTGTTCCAGGGCTCAGGTTGTCCCAGCTGGGGTCTGAGAGAGCAGCAGGGCCTGGACATTGCTGTTTAGGATGAATCCTGTGCAGGACTCACGCCACACATTCTGGGGTGTGCATTCCTGCCAAAACAAACCCTTCAGGACAGAGCAGGGCTTTTGGTGGGCAGCCTGTTCCCACTGGTGGGATGCAGCATGGATAGCAAGCACATGGTTATCCTCAAACACCTCGTGCCATTTTTAGGAACAAGCATAAATAAATTATTGAAAATGCCACGTGCTTCCAGTCAGAATGCACCTGAGAGCTCGGATGTCTGTGTCTTGTGATCAATGTTAGACAGGAATGGTTTGAAAACAGAGAGGAATCAAAGCTGTCCTGTCCCAGCCTGCCAGGAGAGCACACAGGAGAGGTGTGTGCATTATTGTGGCTCTGTTCTGGGTTATTCCAGAACTGCAGGATCCTTGCTGAACCCCATTCCAAAGGAGCTGCTGATGGTTTGTGAGCTGGCTGTGACAGAGCATTTGGTAACCAATGTGGAGTTTGCAGGCTGACTCTGTCTCTGAAGTTTTTTTGGCACTTTCCTTGTCCACCAAAGGAAGGGCAGAGTGCTCTGCAGAGCAGGGAAACTTGGCTCCCCAGAGGCCTCTGACATGATCAGTGTGGGAATCCATAAATCAGAAAGTTTTGGGAAACCTTCAAAAGGCCTCAGATACAGCAGAACTGTGATTAGAGCTAAGCAGCAGCCATGAGATTGGTCAGCAGAAAAATTATGTAAAATGTAGAAAAGTAAGGACAAATAGAACAATGGTCTGTGTATTAATGCTTGTCTAGAATAACTCCCTAAGCTACAGAAAAGTTTATCTAGAGAGATATTAAGGAGTTCTAAACTTAATAGTGGAGCTCTGTGCATTGTGTTTAAGGCTTACAAGCAGGGATTGTATTTGAAATAAGGAAGCATTGTTTAACCAAAGGTACCTGTGCTTATAGTGGTTGGATAGAACTACTGTCAATACAGAATATATACTATACAGATATAAATACTGTCAATGTGCTTTTGCTTTGTGTGATTGGTCAAAAAAACTTATAAAGTGAGTTGTAACATTAATTTCTTTGTCTGCTGCCTGGGATGTGAGCTGGTGGCATCTTCCCATTGTCATAACCATGGAATGAGACTGATGCTGGAAAATAAAACAGCTCAAGGCACGTCCCCAGCAGTCCTGTCCTGTTTGTGATTTGTACAAACCCTGGATGGTGATAATCAGCCTCTCTGATTTCCCATCTCCCCTCCTCTCTTCTGAGGTGACAAATCCTTGCTCCTGAGGACCCTGGTGGCACAGGGCAGCATGTTTGGGCATGGGAGTTTGCAGAAGGAAGAAAATCCCCTGCTGAGGGTCCTGTGCCCACCTGGCCCCAGCATTGCTGCTCCCAGCAGGGTTTGGACATTTCCAGCATGTGCAGAACCCCCATCCCTGCAGGGCCAGCCTCCCTCCAGTCCTGGCAGCATTTCTCGTTTAGATGGAGTGATTTTCCCCCTGGTCCAAGTTTGCTGTTTTCCTGAAATGGTCTGAGATGTAATAGGCCAAGACAATCATTGGGATGAAATATTTCCTCCATGAAATATGCAGCAGCTATTCAGAAATGAAGATCAAGAGGAAGGAGCGCTGCCAGGCAGAGATTTAAAGGTGCTGACACGTTCCCGTGGGTTGTTTACTGAAGTCATCTCCAAAGCCCCAGTTTTAGGGCTGTATTCAAAAAAAAAGAGCACAAAATACAATTTAGCAAGAGTTTAATAATTCAAGCTACAGCGTGCTGAGCTTGTTTTTGCCCTTATGGGAACATCATCTCATTTCAAAGGACCTTGACTCTCTTCTGGTCGTGCAGAAGGGGCACTGCCAGGGCTATTTTTGCACCAAGGCACTGATTGGGTGTGAATCCTGCCTCTGGTGCCAGTGCCAGCACAACCTGGGGAGGCAAAACAGAGCCATATGGCCCCATTTCCCTAAAGATGTAAAATTCCAAGGAATCTGGGCGTGCTGACTTGCTAGAAAAGGGCAGCACAGGCACCTGGCATTATAAAAAAAGCTTTAGCACGGCTCTTAGCACAGGCTCTGCCCACTCAGCCCAGCTGGGTGGTGCAAGGTGAGCCCATTCCTGCAGCCCTGGGCTGGGCAGGGACACTCGGGAGCAGCCACACCCAGCACAGGGGATGCTCCAGGGTCTCACCTCACCTGCAGAGGGGTCAGAGGAGCCTCTCTGTGGGGCTGACACTGCCACCAGGCTGTGTGTTATTCTATTCTATTCTATTTCTATTCTATTCTATTCTATTCTATTCTATTCTATTCTATTCTATTCTATTCCATTCCATTCCATTCCATTCCATTCCATTCCATTCCATTCCATTCCATTCTGTGATTCTGTGAGGATCAGGGCTTTGTCACAAGTATTTTTGCCATGCTGGCCCCTTGGGGAAGCCGTGTGTCCCCATGTCCCTACTATTAGCACTGTGTTATCACCAAGACTTAAAGTGAAGCCCCTGTGACCTCCATTGCTGCAGCTTTGTACTTTTTGTGACCTCCTGAGCCCTTCATGAACCAGGAGATGGATTTGGGGCATGAAGAGCAACCTCTGTACCCCTGAGGCTCGGTGCAGTCTCTTCCCATGCACAGCACACCCCACATTTGTCCCCTTTTCTCATCCACCCTCCTTTGGGGAATTTGGGTTTGAGCAGCTTCAGCATCACTCCCACGGCAGAGAGCTGGTGTTTGTTGGGGTAATCACGGTCCCTTTGCGGCTGTGGGGGGACAGGAGCCGTGTCCTGGGGGTCACAGTGGGCAGCTCCTTCTCTCCCTGCATCCCCCGATCCCCCCCCGTGCCCACCTCTCCATCCCTGCCCCGCTCGGTTCCCCCGGTGCCAAACGCGGCTTTCTGCCGCCACCTGGTGATGGACACAAAAGGGCTGTGACATCTCCGATTGTCCCGGTTCGGCAATCGCTGCTTTATTGGTCCCTGTGACCCACCCGTGTCCATCCAGGGCTCGGAGGGACACAGCTCCTCCCTGGGGCCCGGGGGTGATGTGATGGTGTCAGTGCCACAGCAGGACCCTGTGCCTGTGCCCGTGCCAGGGGACTCTCAGGGCTTTAGCTGTTCAGAGTGACCCTGAGATGTGTTAGAAAGTCTCTTTTTCCAGAGTCAGAGCTTTTCAGTTCTCGGTCAAGGTTGTTTATTGTGTCTTATCTATAAAATTCTTTCTCCTGTCCAGCCAAGGTCTGCTCAGCAGGACAGACAGAGGCACACTGACTGCCTTCAGGGCAGTGTTATCTTTTTATACTAAAAACTACATGTACAATATTTACAGCTGATTCCCAATACCTATCACCTATGTTAGACAATGAGCTTCTGCTCTAAACCAATCTAAAAATGCCACCATCACAGCAGAAGATGGAGGCCAAGAAGAAGAAGGACAAAGGCTGGACACGCCCAGATTCTTCCATCTTGCCCCCTGAACCCCCATGCTAAAAACCCCAAAGATCTATTTTTCACTCCATTATTAATTCAGTATCATTCTACTTAAACTTTCATGGCTTGTATATCCTCATATAAGGTTGCTAACTTTTTCCATGGGTCATAATCAAAACCACAGGCATCTTGGGCTCTGTGCCAGGGTCTCTGAGCCCCCTGGCAGGGGTTTGGCAGTCCAGGACAGCCAGAGGGATGTCCTGAATTCCGACAGGGGAGGATGCTGAGCTCACATCTCTGTCACCTCTCTGTCACCAGCATGTCCCTCGCGTCCCAGACCTGCACAGATGGGAAGGTGCTGCTGATGGGAGGTTTTGCATCTTGGCTTGTTGCAGATGGAGCCCCTTGGCCTCCTGCACCCACTTTGGGCAACCCTCGGGGTGGGTCAGGTGTCACTGACATATTTTCTGAAAAATACCTTTGGCTAGGATTTTCTCCTGAGAAGCTGAGAGGCCTCAGAAATGAAATGTAAGCAATAACTATCTGATAGCTGTGGAATGATGGTTTACCAACAGGTGCATCTTTGATTGGTCTCAAGTAGGTTGGTCATCAAGTAAAAACAATGATGGTCCAGATGTTGGGGCTCTGAGTCTGTCATGAGATTTTATTATCATTCTTGTTCTGGCCTTCTGATGTCTCCTTTCTCCTTCTTTAGTATAGTTTTAATACGGCATTTTTAATATAATATATATCATAAAATAATAAATCAGCCTTCTGAAACACAGAGTCAAGATTCCCATCACACCCACAAACACTGCCACAGTCAGGCCCTTATCATCCCCTCCCTGGTGGTGTCCCTGATGCTCTTCAGGAAGCTGAAGATGTGCGACCCTCCAGTTCCTTTATCCTCCAGTGCTGACGGCGCCTTTCCCACAGCAGGGCCAGCCCTGTTCAGCTCTGCCTGCCTGGCCTTGGCTTTGGAGGCTGCCACAGCGATGTACTTGGTGACAATGGTGATGTGGTAGGACCTGAGCTCTGCCAGCGCCGACACGCAGCGGTTGAAGGCGGCGCGGAGCCGCGCGTTCCCCGAGGAGAGCACGAGGTGCCGCGGGGACAGCGCGCCGCGGATCTGCTCCACGAAGGCTCGGTGTGCCGGGGGCATGTACTCCCTCATCCTGAGCAGGAAGGCGGCTGTGAGACACCAGAAAAAGCAGGAGTAACTTGTTGGGTAAGTGGATTAAAAGCTCCAACCCCCTAGGAGAGAAGCTGGCATGGAGCTGTGGCGCTGGCACAGCCTGCACAGCCTCCTCTGCCCTGCCTCCAATTAACTGAGTGTTCCAGGTTGCAAGGCAAGATGTATTCTATTACCATCTGTATGGCAGATTATCTTTGTCAAGTGGGCAGTTTGTCTTATCTCTCTCTTTGGGTGACCACAATCACACCTCCCTTGGGAGGGGACATCTGCTGATAACAGCTATTGAATGTCCCTGCATGGCTGATAAGAACTACAGCATCCCATTGGGAGATGTGAGCCCAGAGGGAGGAGCCAAGCATTACTACCCAGATATAATCCAGAGGTTTTGAGACACCAGTGGTGATTTCTCCACTGGATTTCCCAGAGGAACAGCAGCTGTCTCTTCTTCCCCTGGATCTTTGGAGGAAAACTCCATCCTTCTCTACAGGACCCCCTTACTCCAACAGAACCACCCCTGACACTGCAGGAGGGCTGCAGCCACAATTCCAATGGGACTGCTGCCAACACCCTGACCCACAGGGTGTCAGGTTGGGTTCTGACTCTGTCAGTGTTGTTCTAGTGCACTGCACTGTTTATTTTATCCTTTTATTTTTCTTCTCTCTTAAAGGCTATTTCCTGCTCCCATATTTTTGCCTGGGAGCCCCTTAATTTAAAACTCATAGCAATTCAGAGGGGTGGGGAGGGTTTACATTCTCCATTTCAGGGGAGGCTCCTGCCTTCCTTAGCAGACTCCTGGCTTTCCAAACCAAGACACTGAGAAAGAAAGCCCATATTAGGTCAGTGCTCCATTAGGGCTGGTGCTAACCCTAAAAGGAAGGTTTAGCCCTGCTCCCAGCCCTTTGGTTTTCTTCTTCTTTTTTTTTTTTTTTTTTTTTTTTGCTAATTTCTGGTAAATGTTTCTGTTGTGGGCTGGACTAAAGTGGAGCTTTATGAATGGCCTCTCACTGGCAGGATGCCTGCACACTCTGCTCCCTCATCTCTGAGCCCAGAGAGGACCTCAGCAAAAAGCTGACATGCAAGAAGCCAAATTAGTGCTTTTGTGAATTTATCATGGTGAGGAAGCACCTGCCAGTGGCACATTTATAACCTTCCTCTGTGGATCTGGGCAGAGCCTGGTGCCAGCCAGAATGAGATGGGCACGCATCCTCCTGCCTGCCAGAGCTGGCACACTCATGGGAATCGCTCTGGCTCATCTCTTCCCCAGCCCCTCATCAGCTTTGGAGAAGGAAAAGTGTCACTGTCATATTTTCTGAAAAATCCCTTTGCCAGGATTTCTTCTCCTGGGAAGCTGAGAAGCCTCAGAGAAAAATGAAAACAATAATTATCTGATTGCTTCTCTTGTGTTTTGCTTTTTTGGAATGTGGTTGGAAATTGTTTATCCAACAGGTGACTGCTTCATTGGTTTAATGGGAATTGTTTTAACTGAATGACCAATCACTGTCAGGCTGTGTCAAGACTCTGGAAGTAGTCATGAGTTTTTATTATTCATTCTTGTTAAGCCTTCTGTCTGTATCCTTTCTCTATTCTTTAGTATAGTTATAATATATATATAACTATTATATATATACTATTCTTTAGTATAGCGTTCTATAATATAATATTGTGGTGGTGATCACAGGGGTCCCAGGACGAGGGAAGAGATGAGAATCTTGACTCCATGTTTCAGAAGGCTGATTTATTATTTCATTATATATATTATATTAAAAGAAAATTATATGTTAAAACTATATTAAAGAATAGAAGAAAGGATTTCATCAGAAGGCTTGAAAGGAAAGGAATGGAATGATAATAAAATCTTGTGACTGCTCACAGCCTCGACACAGGTGGCTGTCATTGGTCATCACGTAAAAACAATTCCACATGCTGGGTAAACAATTCTCCAAATCACATTCCAAAGCAGCAAAACATGGAGAAACTAAAACTTCCCAGGTCGTCAGGAGAAAACATCCTAACGAAAGGATTTTTCATAAAATATGTCTGTGACATAATATCATAAAATAACAAATCAGCCTTCTAAGAACATGGAGTCAGGTTTATCTTCTTTCCCCTGATTGGGGTTGTCTGTGAATTGGACAGAAAGGCTGGTGGCTCACCGCAGTCCTGGCGGTGGCAGATGCCCAGGAGCTCATCGAAGGCATGCAGGACCGTGCTCTGCGCCGCACTGCCCCCCGAGAACGCCAGCGCCTCCGCGGACACCCCCTCGTAGACGAGCCCGTGGGCCATGGCAGGGTTGTCCTTCCAGCTGGGCAGGAGACACGGCAGTCAGGCAGCAGCCATGGGGACAGGGGCCTGTGACAAGGGACCTTGGGCTGGCAAGATTGAGCAAAACCTTCCTGGCCCATGGATCTCCTTCTCCAATGCAGCCGTGTCAGCCTTCCTCAAGCAGGAGATAAACTCAGAAATCAGATTCTGTGTCAAAGCACACAGTGAGGGCATGGGGATAAGGAGAAATCTTTCATTTTTTTCTGAGCCCTGTGAGAAGGGGCCTTGGGCTGGCAAGATTGAGCAAAACTTCCCTGGCCCAGCCCAGGGATCTCCTCCTCCATGTCAGCCTTCTTCAAGCAGGAGATAAACTTGTAAATCACATTCTGTGCCAAAGCACACAGTGAGACCATGGGGTTAAGGTGAAATCCTTAATATTTCTGTGAGCTTTTTCCTTAATTTTTTCTGGGCCCTGTGAGAAAGGAAACTTCCCTGGCCCAGCCCACGGATCTCATCCTCCAATGCAGCCATGACAGTCTTCCTCAAACAGGAGATAAACTTGGAAATCACATTCTGTGTCAAAGCACACTGTGAGGCCATGGAGTTAAGGAGAAATCCTTACATTTTTTTCTGTGCCTTTTCCTTAATTTTTTTCTGGGCCCTGTGAGAAGGGAAACTGTCATGGCCAAGCCCATGGATCTCCTCCTCCAACACAGCCATGTCAGCTTTCCTCAAACAGGAGATAAACTTGGGAATCAGATTCTGTGTCAAAGCACACAGTGAGGCCAGGGAAGGAGAAATCCTTGATTTTCCTTTGCCAGAAGAGTGTTCTCTGGGATCTCCACGCCCTGGTGAGCACCCAGCATGGTGCTGGGACACATTGCCCTGCCTGGCTGCACCTCCTGCTCCAGCTCAGGAAGCTTTCTGCAAGCAGAGAGGGGAAGGAGCACTTTTCTGGGCAACAGTGGCACTTTACAGCAATTCATTGAATGTCAGTGGCCATTGAGTGCAGAAATGGAGAAGTGCTCACACCCAAATGGAGACAGGAGTTAGGATTTCAGGGAGGTGAAGTGCCTAGCACAAAAATATCTGTTGGCCTTTAGCAGAATGCACCATTCCATGAGGCTTTGGGTGCTGGCTGTAGTTGGGCTACAGGAACAGATTTTACACAAACTGCAGAGAAAATAGATTCATTATCAAATACCAGAATATTTTTAGTTCTCCCAGGATTGTATTTATAGTAACCTCTACTAGTGGGAAGTTCTTAGAAGCAGAAGGGAATTTAAAAGGCATGTTTTCCCAAGCTGATGACCATCGAGACGAGGTCAGCTTGGATAAAAAATGAGAGAAACTTAATCACGATGCACGGAGCCTTTTACTTGGGAATTCTGAGATATGATGGAGAGAAATAAAAATAGAATCCCCCTGAGAAGCCTGAGACTGAGTGTCTGCAGATGCTGCAGCCCCACAGTGTTCTGGGGGATGGTGAAGGCTCCATGCTGGGCTCCTTTGCTGTGGTTCTGCCTTGCCCAAACAGCATTTTCAGTATTTGGGGGGGAATTTTCTATTTTTTGAACTGACAGAATTGTAACAGAGCAGCAGCAAGAGGATTGTTACAGATGTTTGCTTAACACACAGTGGGAAGAGCCTCTGCTCAGCTCTGCAGCTTTGTGTACACAGTGTAGAAGGAAAGAGAAATTCCTCTTCCCCTGTCAAAACTGTTTGGCCAAGAGCAGGAAAGATTCATTTGTGCACAATTCTGGGTGTTGGGGCTGTCAGGGCTGAGCTGAAGGATGGAGAGAAGCTGGAGGGAGGCAGACCCCAGCCCTTGGCCACATCCATGCCCAACTGATCCAGTGCCTAGGAATTCCTGATCGACAGGGTCATGATGCTCTAGGGAGAGCAATGCTGGTCCCTACCCTGCCCTGGGGAACTCCATATCCCACCTGGGCTGCCCCTTCCCTGCACATCCCCAGCTCCCCCCAGCACAGAGGCTCTGAAGGGAAACAGAGAGAAAGATCCACTCACCCAGAGAGAAAGATCCGGATCACAGAGTAGAATACTTCTGGGTCCACATAGTCTAGGAGGAAGTCAATCAGATGAGATCAGATCAGATCAGATCAGAGGTGATGGGCAGCTGCAGCAGAGGGTGCCATGAGCTGCAGCATGCACAGGCACCAGCTGCTCTCACCGTGCATCCTCCTCAGTGCCTCCCTCATGGCCTCGATGGCCCCTGCCAGCTCCTCCAGGGCTCTGTGCAGGGACTCCTCATCCCCCTGCAGGGTGGCACCGAGGGCCTGGGGGATTGCCTGCGGGAGGAGGAGGGACAGCACCAGGTCACAAAGGGGGAGGATGTCCGTGGACAGCAGCTCTGGACATTTGCTGCCACCCATGGAAGCTCTGCCCCTTCCCCAGCCCATGTTCAGGGGCAGGAATGCCTTGTGGGTGCACCTCAGGCACTTTAGAGCCCCAAAACAGGATGGTACCCACCTTAATGCCAGGCACAGCTGCCTTCTCCACAAGCAGGGTGACAAGGATGAAGCCCCTCAGGCTCTCTCCCCCAGGCAGTGTGATGATCGTGTCCAGGTTCCTGCAAAAAGGGCCAAGAACAGGGATTGGGGAGGGGTGGTGGCTCAGGATTTCCTTGCACACTGTGGGACCCTGGGAACAAAACCATCCCAGACTCCAGAGCCTCTTATCAGAGGAGCTGGCACAGAGTGAAAGGGGAGTGTGGTATTTGCAGGGTCCACAGGATGAAGGAATTGAGAATGACTCTATGCTCTTAGAAGGCTAATTTATTATTATATAATTTATATATTATATTATGTTATATTATATTATATTATATTATATTATATTATATTATATTATATTATATTATATTATATTATATTATATTATGCTATACTAAAGAATCAATAAAGGATCCTTACAGGAGGCTTAACAAAATACTAATTAAAAACTCGTGACTGTCCAGTCCTGACACAGCTGGACAGTGATTGGTCATTAATTAAAAAACAATTCACATGGAACCAATCAAACATGCACCTGTTGGATAAACAATTTCCAACCACATTCCAAAGCAGCAAAACACAGGAGAAGCAATCAGATAATTATTGTTTTCATTTTTCTCTGAGGCTTCTCAACTTCCCAGGAGAAGAGATCCTGGTGAAGGGATTTTTCCAGAAAATAAGACAGCGACAGGAGAGCAGGACTGCTCTGGTTTAGGGGCCCTGCCATCCTCCCTGTGCCCTCCCCATGGTCTGTGCTGTCACTGCAGTGGCACTTGTGTGACAAATATAACACACATCAAGAGAGGTTCAGCCCAAGCAGTGCTACACAGCTGAGCCAATCCAAACAATAACCAACACCGTTAGAAAATAAATGAGCAGTAACTACTTACTCCATTTCCAGAGGCCTGGAGGCATTGCAGTTATGGCCAACAAAATGCACAAGAAAAGGAGAGAGAGAGAGAGATTATAAATTGTTCTAGTAACAATTGTTCTAGTAACCTTGGCTCTGCACAGGAGAACTCTTCATCCACTTTCCCTCTTTTCCTCCCTCTGGGCATGGAGGGAGCTCCTGACTTCAGTGTGTGACTTGTGTGTGCAAAGAGCAAATCTGGGCACAATTGGGGCAGGGAGGGCACAGAAGGTGTTTTCCATTGCTCTGAGACTGCTGTGGAAAGTGGATTTAATACCCAGCAGTGGAATTACTTTTTCATTTGATGGAGTTGAAATGGCCCCATGCTCTGCAGGGAACAGAGGAGTTGTTCCTAGGGGCTGCTCCCAGAGTCACCCACATCCCCACAGAGTCCCTGTGTCCACACCCACGGGGCTGAGCCCAGCAAAGATGGGATTCAAGGGGCTTTGGCAGAGCAGAAGCAGTTTGGGACCAGTCTGTCCTGCTGATCACTGATCTGTCCCCGACACCTGCAGGAAGAACCGTGCTCAGCCCGTTGGCATTTGCTGTTTACCCGTTGGGATCCTTCCTCCTCCAGTTGGCCAACACAAAATCTGCATGGCTGAGGATGGGTGGGAGGCCCAGGGCCTGGGACACCTCCCAGAAGGGGACAGCGAGGTTTCTGGGCAGGACCTGAGTGTCACAAAGCACAGGGGAAGGTGGGGATGTGGTCAGGCTGTGGAAAGGTGGCAGCAGCTCCTGCTGCAGCCACAGGAAAGGGGATTTGCTCCCATGGGGAAGGGCTAAGGGAGCAGCAGCAGCTCTCAGAGCCCAAGGAGCAGGTGACCCTGCTTTACCTTGCCTTTACCTGCACGGTGCCCTCCTCTCCCTCCTGCCACACGTAGCCCATGGTGATGAAGCTGAGCACCAGGTGTGCCAAGTGCAGCTCCTCACGCCCTCGGAGCTGCTGCGGGCTCAGCTGCGGCATCTGCCAGGGAAACCCTTGGGAGCAAGGAGCAGAGCCAGCAATGCCAAGGCCCCTGTGGTGGAGGGGCTGCCCTGCCAGCTGGGGGGAACCCTCCTGGTGCTTCTCTTCATGCCTCCCTTCCCACCCTCTCTGCAGGATTTGCTCCTGCTGCACTGTTACTGCTTTGTGAGCAGGGACAGGAATCCATAGGGTTTTCCTCCTCCTGGTGCTGGGATGCCCATGGGGCAGCTGATCCCAAAAGGAGCTGCATCAGGGAGCATGGCTGGGATGAGACATGGCTCTTGTGACACCTAGAGGGGCCCTGCTCCAGCCTTTGCTGCCTGCTGAGCACTTGGATCCGCTGCAGGAGCTGTTTCTGTGCCAAAGTTAAGCCTTTGCTGTCGCCTGGTGTCAGTCCTGGCTCAGCACACATTTGGCAGGTTTTACAGATGTTGCTGTGTCAGAGCAAGGTTTCAGAGCTCTGGGGGCAGGAAGGAGGAGGCCATACCTGGTGGGCAGGAAGGAGGAGCCCATACCTGGTGCACTCGTGAGCGGAGCTGGTGGCTCGTGATCAGCTGGGGCAGCTCATGGGCAATGTCCATCCAGGGGCTGTAGGGTGCTGGCAGCTCTGTCTTGGTGGAGAGAGGCAGAGGGAGGGCTGTGAACGTGCCCAGGCTCCCCAGCTGTTATAGCAGCTTTTTTGAGTTAGGTTTAATAAGTTTTCGGAGGCTTGTAACACACTTAAAATAACTTAGCTACTTTTAAAAACATAAAAATTGACAAAATAGCTTTTGTTGCAGTGTTAAAAATAAAAAAGTCTAAGAAAAAGCAAAATAACAAACAAAAAGCTAAGTTAGATGTTAAACGTTTTTAGTTTTAGTAAAATACTTTAAAAAAGTAATTAATTTCTTTGGTTTTTTTAATTAATTACTTAAGCAAAACTTTTTAGCTTCTGTCCAATTAGCTATCCTTAAGTTCAAAGTAAAATCTCTTAAACCAATAAAATAAAATAAAATAAAATAAAATAAAATAAAATAAAATAAACTTTTAAGCTTCTTTCCTTTAAAAAAAATAACCAAAAAATAGTTTTGTCCCTCCATCAACGAAAAATACATTCCAACACCCAGCCCCACACACCACTGCTGGTGGCTTGTGTCTGGTTGCCCCTCCTGTAAGGTGGGCCTGTGTGGTCACAAATGAATGGATGGTGACCACGATCTGTTTTTGCCCACCCACTCCCACTGTGAAGCCAGACTGAAATATGATTCTCCTCAAGCCAGGTCTCACAAGCTCTTGGAGATCTATTCCACACCCAAGATAGCTCAGCTACCTCAGAAGGCATAAAATCAGCAGGATGGCTTCTGTGGTAGCGTTGGAAACAAAAAGGTTTTAATAAAAGGCAAAATAACAAAACTCTTTACAGATAAAAACCAATCCAGGTGCAAGAGGCCTTCTTGCCTCTGATAAAACACCTGACAAATGCAATTTGTTTCTTTCTTCTCTTCTTTTTCTAGTAAATTGCCCAAGCAAAACTTTTTGGTTTGCCTCTTATCCAATTAGCTGTCCTTAAGTTTGAGATGAAGTCCCCTAAGTCTTATGAGATTTTCACCTCACTGAAGAGAAAAACTTCTAGGCTTATTTCCTTTTTAAAAAAACAAAAGATAGTTTTGTCACTCCGTCAACAAGAAACACATTCCTATAAGTGATAAATAGCCCCACTTTGGGCACAGGACACCTGCACTTCTTGTGCTCCCCAAAATCCTGTAGAGCCAAGGCCAGTCAGAGCTCCTTCACCTCTCCTCTGTGCTGTTTGCTGCAGCTGCTTTCATCATTTTAAAGGGTAGGGGTTTGTCCTATGAAACTGCCTGTTCCATAAAAACACCTGCCTTCCTCATATTTCCTTGTAAAGTGCTACAGCAAAATGCTAAATCCAAGCTCCCCCAGCAGAAGGCTGCTCACCAACCCCTCTCTTTCCTGTGCACACAGATGGGGAGGCACAGCCAGCTCCTACCAGAGGGTCGGGGAGCAGGAATCCAAACTCCTCGGAGATGTGGAACCTGCTCAGTGCCAGGGGCAGCAGCGGGGGCTCCTCGGTGTCAGCGCTGCCCTCCATGGCTGGTCCTGCCTGCCAGGGCTGCTCTGGCCTGGCCACCCCGCTCAGAATGTGCTGAGCCAGCACCTGGGCCTGGGGGTCAGCCTGGCTGCCCAATGGCCACAGGGTCATTGAGCAAACACGGCTAAAGGTTGCTGATAAGGCTTTGTCTGCTGCAAACATTCAACTCTGTTCCTGTGGATGGGAAAGCCCTGGGTCACCTGTCTCTGGGGGAGCAGGGGCTGTGAGCTGACCCCTCCCAGGGCTGCCCCAAAGGGCTGCCAGGCTCCCGTGGGGTGGGAGGTTCTCAGAATCTCTGCTGGTCACAGTGACTCTGAGATACGTACAAGTCTCCTTTTCCCAGCCCAGCAGATGAAGGAGGAGTCAGGATTCCTCTGTTCTCATACTCAAGTTTATTTATTATTTCTTATGCATAACATTTTTTCTCTGACCTGCTGAGTTCTGCCTGGCACACTGACCACCTGGGGGTGTTATCTTTTTATACTAAAAACTACCTGTACTTTATTTACAATAACTTCCCAATACCTATCACCTATGTTAGACAGTGAGCTTCTACTCTAAACCAATCCCAAAGTGCCACCATCACAGCAGGAGATGGAGGCCAAGAAGAAGGAGAAAGGCTGGACATGCCCTGATTCTTCCATCTTACCCCCTGAATCCCCATTCTAAAAACCCCAAAAAATCTATTTTTCACCCCGTGACAAACTATTATTCTACTTAAACTCTCTTGACTTGTAATTCTTCATATAAAGGTTGGTAATTGTTTTTTCCATGGGTCAAAATCAAAGGCACAGGGGTCTTGGGCTCTGTGCCAGGGTCTCTGAGCCCCCTGGGCAGGGTCTCAAGTCCTCCAGGGCAGCCAGAGGAATTTCCTGTGTTCCTACAGGAGGTGGCTTGTGGCAGCAGCTCAGGGACACTGCTCCTGTGCCTGGGGATCCCCTCCCAGCCTGGGGGTGGTGGATGCTGACACCTGGCCAGAGATGCACAAGCACAGTGGATGCTGCTGCTTTCCCCATGCTGCTGGGGTCACTGGGGCTGCCAGGGATGTCCCAGCAGGATGCTCTGAGCAGGGCCTGCCCAAACAGCAGATTTCTGGGGGAAAATCAGCCCTGAGAGTGCTGCCTGTGCAGGCAGGGGCTGGGGCTGGGGGCACTGGGAGTGCAGGGGAAGGGAAGGGCCAAGGTACAACAGGACTGACATCCCTGTGGGGTGCAGGGGTACAAACAGCAGGACTGACACCCCTGTGGGGTGCAGGGCCAAACCCAGGGATACAAACAGCAGGACTGACACCCCTGTGGGGTGCAGGTCCGAGGGCACTGCAGGTAACAAATTTCACATATAAAACAGAGGTGTTGCCTTCACTCACAGTCAGCACCAGGGCCACCACACGAGGCCTTCCCTGGTCCCCAGCTCTGAGGAGGGGGCCATGAACCACACACATCCACAGTCACACAGGAGAGCTCCACTTCAGAGGCAGCCCCAGCACCTACTGAACAGCCCCCAGCCTCAAGCAGCTTCACAGCCCTCACAGACGGGCAAATCCCAACCACCATTGTGTGCCCACAGAGAAAAGGGGACAATCTCAGCAGCTGTGGCCTCTAGGCCTCGAGAGCAGGGTTAACTCTAATAAAAAACATAAACTACATAAGCAGAAAACCACGGGGCACTGGCCATGACACCAGCTTTGCCCAACACCTTTAATTAGTGCCCGTGGTGCTGCCCCAGTGCTGGCTCTGCTGGTGGGTCTGTGTCTGTCTTCATCTCCAGCTCTGGCTCTAGCTCTGTGTCTGTCTGCAGCTCCGGGGCCAGCTCTGGGTCCTGTAGCTCCAGGTCTGGCTCCCATTTTAGCTCCAGGTCTGGCTCCAGATGTCGCTTCAGGCCTGGCTTCCATTTTAGCTCCAGGTGTGGCTCCTGTTTTACCTCCAGGCCTGGCTCCCGTTTTACCTCCAGGTCTGGCTCCAAATTTCGCTCCAGGCCTGGCTCTTGATGTAGCTCCAGGCCTGGTTCCCGTTTTAGCTCCTGCTCTGGCTCCAGATTTCGCTCCAGGTCTGGCTCCAGCTCCCTGCCCGTGTCCCGGCTGGTGCTGTGGGGGGATCTGCAGTGGGGCCTTGGCCCTGCCTTGGCTCAGGGGGTGCCTCAGCTTGAGGTCACCTCAGCCCTGGGCAATGTCCTCATGTCCCCATAGGAGTCCCCCCATCCCCTCCCCTCTGCAGGGATGCCCTCAGCCCTTTCACACCCTGCCTCCCCCAGACCCCACAGCCATGGGCCCCCACTCACCCCTGGGTGCCCAGTGCCCGCTCCCCGTGGCGCTGGCTGGGCATCTGCTGCCGCCACAGGCCGAGCCCCAGGGCCCCCGTCAGCAACAGCAGGATGAGGCAGGAGCCCAGCACCAGCCAGGCCATGTCACCATCATCCAGTGATCGATGCAGGTCTGGGGGGAGACAGCTGGATGGGCACAGGCTGGGCAGCAGCCTGCTGGGCACAGGCACTGCCAGCCCTGTCTGTCCAGCCCATATGGGCACAGGCACTGCCAGCCCTGCTGGGCACGGGCACTGCCAACCCAGCCCTGCTGGGCACTGCCAGCCCTGCTAAACCTGCACAGGCACTGCCAGCACTGCTGGGCACAGGCACTGCCAGCATTGCACAGGCACTGCCAGGCCTGTCTGTCCAGCCCATATAGGCACAGGCACTGCCAGCCCTGTCTGTCAAGCCCAGCATAGGCACAGCCAGCCCTGCTGGGCACAGGCACCGACAACCCAGTCCTGCACAGGCACTGCCAGCCCAACTGGGCACAGCCCCTGCCAGCCCAGCCTGTCCAGCCCATATGGGCACAGGCACTGCCAGCCCCGATGGGCACTGCCAGCCCCGCACAGGCCCTGCCAGCCCTGCCCACGCCATCCCACGGGTGCCCACTCACCTCCCTCTGTGAACTGCAGCCCGCTGTCCATGCTGCCCCCCTGGCGGGACCCCCTCCACTGGCAGTCGGGGGGCTGCCAGCCCATGTTGCAGTGGCAGTTGCCCTTGTTGTTGCACACCTGCAGGGCCAGGGAGGGGTACAGGTGTGCAGGGGGCTGGTACAGCCTGCCCCCCCCCAGCCCAGCACCCCTGGCACTCACCCCGTGGCCGTGGCACTTTTTGTTGCTGTCACAGATCGGTCCCAGCACCGACACTGGGTGGCATGTGCCGTTCATACACACCTGGGAAAAACCATGGCAGCTCCAGCCCAGCACTGCCTCACCCATACAGCGCTCAGCACATCAGGCTGTGGCCCAAAGGGAAATGAAAACACACTATTTAAAAAGAAAAAAAAAAAAAAAAAGAAGCCACAGTTCTGCCCTGAGGCCAGGTCATTTTAGTGCTCACACCCCACCAAACCTTGAATGCAATATTTGCAAGTTTTTACAGTGTTTTTAAATATCAAGCACTCCGCTGCAAGCAACGAGTGTTTCTATGATCTTGTTAATATTCACAGTTTCTATTTGTCATTCCAGGTGATTACAGAATATTTCCTTACCCTTCCAGAGCCACACTTTGTCCCTGGAGTGACCAGAAGGGGATCCAGCCATGTGGACACGTTCAGGTAGTTCAGAGTCACACAGATATGATGCTTCACCCGGGCGTACATCACGGCAGTGGCAGGTGCTAAGAAGGGCTTGTGGGATGGGTATGTGCAGACTAACTTCCCACACCTGAGGTCCCTGGAAAGCCAATTTGCAAAGGATGTGCATCAAACATGCACAGACATGTGGGTCTGTTCTTCAGCACAGGCTACAGCCAACATCTGAGGTCACCATTTGTGGTATTTGCAGGGGTCCCCAGGACAAGGTGAGAGATGAGTGAATCCATGTTCTTAGAAGGCTAATTTATTATTTTATTATTAGTTTATTATCTTTAAAATTTATTAATTTGTTTAATAATTAATATATTATTTATTATATTATTTACTATAGCATTAAAGAATGCTATACTAAAACTATACTAAAGAATACAGAAAGGATACAGACAGAAGGCTTAACAAGAATGATCATGAAAAACTCATGACTGACCCCTCAGAGTCCGACACAGATGATGGTGATTGGTCATTCAGTAAAAACAATTCACAGGAAACCAATGAAACAACCACCTGTTGGTAAATAATCTCCAGCTACATTCCAGAGCAGCAAAACACAGGAGAAGCAATGAGATAATGTTTTTTTCCTTTTTCTCTGAGGCTTCTCAGCTTCCCAGGAGAAGAAACCCTGGGCAAAGGGATTTTTCAGAAAATGTGACAGTGACATTGGTGTTATAGATCTTATTGCAAGAATCCATCTTTTCTGTGTGGACTTGAGTTTTTTTTCACAGCTAGTACACAACTGGAAGCACCAGAATACATTTTCCCTGTGATTCAGACCTTCATTAGCTACAGGATCAATGCTTAAATGCCACACTGGCTACATTGTAAGACAACACCAAACAGAAATAAAAAGAAGTCTCAATTCTGACAAATATGTGAAATAGTGGAGTACCAAACATGCTTTTCCTCTAACCTTTACACAGACACAACAATTGCAATAATTGCAACAATCTGTCTTGTCACTTGCTGGATGTAGCACAGGTTGGAAGTATTTCTTAGACTAATTCTCAAGGTGAATAAGTGCAGATGAATTTAGAGATGGAAGAACTTAGTGGATTTTAGCAGAGGCAGTGCCCCCTGGCCAGCATACCTCCACACACAGCGCCAGTACGCGTGGTTGGGCTAGAACTTGCAGTGCCCAAGCCTGTCCGTTAATCTCCTCATAACACATCACAAACCTCACCATAAACTGGAGTCTTGCCACTTCTCCTGAGTGTCCAACCCCAATGAAAGCTGGATTTCAGCACATCCAGTGTCCCCTGGCCAGCATACCTCCACACACAGCGCCGGTACTTGTGGTTGGGCTGGAACCCGCAGTGCCCGAACCTGTCCCGCTGCCCGTTAATCTCCTCGTAGCACATCACGGGAGCGTTCTTGGAGTCTGCAAATTCAGCAAGAATATTTGTTACTCTAATAGATGATATGTGTAAATTCCTGCTGAGTAATCTCACTGAATGGAAATCCTGGCATAGCAAAGCAGGGTTCCAGGAAATTCGCCCTGATGAGATTACAGCGATATGCACCAAAATCCCAACCAGGCAGGTGATGCTGTGGCCACCCCAGCCCCTGAGCAGCGCCAGTGCCACCAGCACAGCCTGGTACCTGTCCCGTAGATCCTCCTGCACTGCAGGTCTGGGGACTGGCAGCGTCCGTGGTAGCAGTAGCCGGTGCCACGCCAGCACTCCTGCCCGTCCTGCACGTACACATCGGGCGGGCAGGAGGCCGAGGAGCCGCTGCAGAACTCGGGCAGGTCGCACTGGGCATCGGCGGCCGGGCGGCACAGCGTGTTCCTCCACTTGAACTGGGGAGGAGGAGGAGCTCTGCAGCCTCCCTGGCCCACCAGGGTGAGCAGGAGGAGCCCTGCAGCCCCCCATGTCTGCCAGGCTGAGCCCACATAGCCCCCTCTGTCCTGAGGCGCTCAGGTGTGACATGTCTGTGACACTGCCTGGGACAATCCCCATGTAACATTCCCCACCAGGGGTTCCCAAGAGCTGAGCTGGGCAGCCCAACCCCAGGAACCTTTCCCACTGCACAGCAGGAAGTGTGGCTCTATCCCTCAGCATGGGAACATGCCATTTCTCCAAAAAGAAACAATGATTTTGCCATAATTATAAAGATGTGCCTTACCTGACAATTTCTACAACATAATCCAGAGGCACATTTTGCTCTCGGCTTCAGTCTACAGTTTGGAGTGCAACACCTGTCCTTCAGGCATTCCTGTGGACACATGGCAAGCCCACGTTATTTTATTTTGTTGTCCCCCTGAGCTTCTCCTCCTCCCCTCCCCATATTACTTGGGCAATATCCAGCAGAACAAACAGGCAAAGCTGCCACACAGAAACAATCCCCAACCCAACACAGCCCTCCCTGGGCTGCTCCCCATGTGGGAATCCACAAAATCAGAGGGTTTTGGGAAAGCTGCAAAAGGCAGGCCTCGGAGACAGCAGAACTGTGATTGGAGCTAAGCAGCAGCCATGAGATTGGTCAGCAGAAAAATTATGTAAAATGTAGAAAAGCAAGGACAAATAGAAAAATGGTCTGTGTATTAACGCTTGTCTAGAATAACTCTCTAAGCTACAGAAAAGTTCATCTAGTGAGATATTAGGAAGTTCTGAGCTTAATAATGGAGCTCTGTGAATTGTGTTTGAAGGCTTACAAGCAGGTATTGTATCTGAAATAAACAAAGTACCTGTGCTTATAGTGGTTGGATAGAACTACTGTCAATGTGCTTTTGCTTTGTGTGATTGGTCAAAAAACTTATAAAGTGAGTTGTAACATTAAATTCTTGGTCTGCTGCCTGGGATGTGAGCTGGTGGCATCTTCCCATTGCAAAAACCATGGAATGAGGCTGATGCTGGAAAATAAACCAGCTCAAGGCATGTTCCCAGCAGTCCTGTCCTGTTTGTGATTTGTACAGAGCCCATGGCTGGCGATACCCCGCTGCACTGGGGCTGTGTCCAAAGGTTGGTGACTCCACAGGCACTGAGAGCACAAAGGCAGGGCTGTGCCCCCCAGGGCTGTGCCCCCCATCCTGTGCCCACCTGTGCTGTGCCACAGTCACACTGCTCGCCGGGCTCCACCACGCCATTGCCGCACACGGCGCCGCTCTGCCGGGACTGGCGGCTCAGCCGGGGGCTGCTGAAAAGGCAATCCCCTCTGCCCCGCTTCAGGAAGGTCTCAAAGTCCCTGATGCTGCAGTTGCTGAAGGCTTTTGACCCACTGAAATATCTAAAAGCAATGATCAGGTTATACGTTACACAAAGCCGTCATCAGTTTATACCTTACACATTCACTGCCCCTCTCTCCAAAGCTCTGTGCAATTCAAGGGCTCCTCACCCAGACACTAACAGTCCCCCAGGGTCTATTAATTCACCTGATCTACAGCTCATTATTAGCAGAGACTGAAAAACATCCTCATTTTAGAGAGCAAAGGTCTCTTATGTCAAACTAAGCGCTAAATTGCTATTTAATTAATTCCTTTTTTTTTCTTCTTAGAGGAATAAAAGCAGGGATTTCTTCACTGAAATAATGGTATTGAAATAACTGAAATAACTGGTGTTCAGGCACTGGAATTGCTGCCCAGGGAGGTGGTGGAGTCCCCATCCCCGGAGGAGTTCAGGAAATCACTGACACAGCACTCAGTGCTCTGGTCCAGTTGACAAGGCGGTGATTGGTCAAAGGTTGGACTCCATGCTCCTGGAGGCCTTTCCCAGCCTGAGTGATTCCATTTTTGCAGTGGAATGACAGTGCTGGAGGACACCCCTGACAAGGGGACACCGTGCAGCCCTCCCTGTCCCCCCCTTCATGTGCCCCAGCCCTGCAGCCCCTCGGGCAAACTCACAGCGCCTCAGGGCTCATCGTGCAGACCCGTCCAGGGCAGCTGCAGCCTCGGGGGCTGTCGGGGCTCATGCCCAGGCTGTGGCCCAGCACCTGTGCCAGCAGCACGGAGAAGGACTCCAGGGTCACATTCCCATGGTACTGGAGAGGGATGAGAGAGAGGAGCAGCCAGAGCTGAGCATTCCTTGCAGAGATACAGATCCTCCCACGAGCTCCATCCATCCCTGTTCATGCTGAGCTCACAGCCCTGTGGGCTGCTGAGGGACAGGCACAGGACAGGGGGGACCATACCAGGGCCACTGTGGCAGCAGCGTCTCTCTGACATGCCTTTCCTGGAGCTGCTGCACCCACGAGGGCTCCTTGGTGCCTGTACCTGGAACAGAGCTGGGGTCACTGCTGGGTGTCCCAGGGACCCCCTCTGGCTGTGGTCAGGGGGGGATGATGGCTCTGTACAGCCCAAGTCCCCTTGGTGTCGCAGACATTTTTTCATAGAAATTCTTTCTTTGGGGCTTGTTCATCTTCTGGGAAGCTGAGGCCCCAGAAAGAGAATGTAAACAATGATTATCAGCTGCTGTGAAATGCAATAGGATGCACCTGTGATTGGTTCATGTTCCATGTGTACAATTAAGGGCCAATCACAGGGCAAGCTCTCTGGAACACCGTGACAGAGAACTCTCTTGTTTGGAGATTCTTTTCTATTCTATTCTTACGTTAGCAGCCTCTGCAACTTCTCTCCTTATTCTTTTTAGTATAGTTATAATGTATTATATACCATATATCAATAAATCCAGCCTTCTGATCATGAAACAAGATTCTCATCCTTCTCTCACCCTGGAGACCTCATCAGGTCGCTGTAATACCCTTGGTGCCCCTATTTGCTGTCCCCAGGGGAGTTGGAGCAGGGTCTGGTGCCTGGTGCTGGCAGGGACTGGGGGGTGGCAAGGGATGGATGGCACCACTGCAGCTGCTACATCACTAGGAGGAATGGCTTGGCATAAATACTTTAAGGATTTAGGAAATATGGATTTTTAACAAGCATTTTTGGTCAAAGTTTCAACTTCTATCACCACGTAACCTTTAACACCAATGAACCTTTATCTTACCCTAAGAGAGAAGCAATGTTGTGTGCCTGTGGCTCCAGAGACAACTGTTTCCACTGTAAAAATCGCTGTAGAATGTCATCTGTGTCCCCTGCTGTTGATATTTTATCCCCCTCTGCCCACAGCTCCAGGGAGGACAGCACAATGGTGACATTAAGGGGATTAAACATCTGAAAGAATAAGAGGAAATCTGCTCTCACACCTTCCCTTCATGCAGAGCCACCACTCTGCACACAGTAAACACAGGGGAAAAGTAAATTGCTGCTGTCAGTGCCTCAATGACACCTGTAGCCAAAACAGAATGAACACACCTAAAGAATAAAGAGATACAGCAAGAGGCCTGAGCCAAAGTCTAATAACTTCATAAGTGTTAGGAGTTTGCGAATAACTTCTCATGGCACAGGTGAACCATAAGATCAGCATTGGAGTAAAGAGGATTGGAAGTTGGTTACAAGCACCTGAGAGCAAGCAGGTGAATTGGATCAGTGAGATCAGGGGAGAGGGAAGCAACTCAGGAGCCCTCAAAATGCAGGGTTTGGCTGCCCTGAGGCAAACTGCCTGTTTATCTGTACATCTGCACAGCACAATGCCATCACACAGGGAAAGATGTTCTTGTGTGGCAGACTGACATGCCCAGAGGAAAAACCTTCTCAGGAAACATGGAATTTTTCACATGACATCCTCCTAAACCTAAAAGCAGCTAGAAAAAGGTGGCCACTGCTAACATCAACATCCCCCTCATCCCCCATCTCACTGCAGTACAAATCAGAATTAAGAACTCACATTGTTGATTAAGTTGAAGGCCTGGATTACGTTCTGTGTCGCAGCATTTGGGTCTGATCCCATATAGTTGTACTGAAAAACAACCCAAGAGCACACAAGGGCAGACAAGGTGCTTACCATGGCAGTGTTGGAACACTAAAATGATTCCCAACACTGAGCCATGGAGCTACAAATTCACGTTCCTTATTTCCTACAAAATCCACAGCATGAGGAACTTTTCAAAACAGAAAATAAATCCACATAAAAGCTGGGAAATGTTACCATTCCCATGCTCACAGAAGTCAGGCAAAGAAAAGGAAAAAGCAGCTGGCATGGACTTACCAAAGCCTTGTCCAAAACCACGTACACTGTGAGGTATTTGGGAGATTGTGCAGCGGCTGAGAGGGGCTAAAAGAGAAAATGGGCCTCAAAGGACAGATTCTGCATTCTCTGGTCGCCTCACTGCTGCTGCTGGCTGTGCTTGTGTCCAAGTGTCTGGCCACAGACAGACAGAAGCCCTTCCAGCAGAACCAGGTCCCTCCTCACAGGACGGGGACAGCACTGTGACAACAGGCAGCACTCACCTCATCATCATCATCCTCAGGGGCCTTGTCCAGCCTGCCCCAGGCTGCCAGCCCACCCTGCCCTGCCTCAGGGGGGCTCTGGGCAGGGGGGGCTGCTGCCATCTGCTCCTCACCCACTCGGTACAGCACGTGCTGGAAGGCAGGGGAGTAGCCCAGGGGCTGGATGCCGTAGCTCACGTTCTCAAACTGCAGCAAACCCCTGCCAGGGCACCAGCACTGCCCACCTGCTCCTGGGCACTGGCACAGCTGGCACAGCTGTTTGTTCTGCAGGCCAGGCTGCCAGGGAGGGCAGCACGGGGACAGTGGGGCTGGTGCTTTACCTGAGCCCTGAGCAGGTGTTGAGGGTCACTGCTGAGCTGGGGAAGCCATCGATGTAGCCCCAGTAGTGGCAGCCTCCCTGGGACATGAGAGAGGACAGGGAGCCCTTCCATGGCTGGGCAGGCCATCCCTTTACCCACCATCCCCTTAATCACCATCCCCTTACCCACCATCCCCTTAATCACCATCCCCTTAATCACCATCCCCTTAATCACCATGCCCTTACCCACCACCCCCTTAATCACCATCCCCTTACCCAGCACCCCAGCTGGAGCAGCTGCCTTGGACAGAGACAAACAAAACCCAACGTGGACAAACACAGCCCAAAGCAAGGCCAGGTTACCTCAGAGTGGGCAGAATCAGCGTGCAAAGATCCCTGCTCACTGGCCACATAAGTCTGGAAATCATCAGATAGAAAGGCGCTGCAAGAGAGAGGTGAAAAGTGAGGTACTGACAGCAGCGTCCATCACCCAGAGCTCCTCAAGCTTCTTGCAGCCACCAGGGAGCAGGGCAGTGAGGAAAGTGCCAGGGCCAACTCACTGCTGCTGCAGGTGGATGGTGTAAGGCTTCCCCTCAATCCTCAGAGTGTAGGACACTGCCTCCTTGTGCATACAAAAAAGCAGAGAAAGGGAGAAATGGGAACAGGGAGTTGGGAATAGCACAATCCAAAGCCTGCTGTGAACAGCAAAGGGGGAGCACAGCGTGGCTGCAGCCATCCTGGTGCTGACAGTGCCATTGTTACAGCTGCCACCACATCTGTACCCCCCGGCCCCTCTCTTTATCTGAACCCTCCTTCCCCAGCCTCTGTTACAGCTGCCACCACATCTGTACCCCCCGGCCCCTCTCTTTATCCGAACCCTCCTTCCCCAGCCCCCCCAGAGCCCCCCAGCACCGTGCCTGCTTCAGCCCCTCCTCTCCTTTCGTGCTGGCCCCCAGCTGCTGCGGGACCGTGATCTGGGACCAAACCTGCCCACCCACGGGGGACAGAGACCCCCATGGCTGAGCCCGGTGCTGGGGGCGGGCTGGGGGCTCAGGGGGGCCCTGCCCAGCCTCGTGCAGCAGCTCCAGGAGCAGCAGGAGCAGCAGTGGTGGCATTGCACAGAGTGGCCCCATGGCCGGCCAGTAACTGCCCCCCAGTAACGGCCCCGCAGCCCACCAGTAACTGCCCACAGCTAACAGCCACACCAGTAACAGGCCCCCCACCCCTTAAAGCAGAGGCTGAGGCAGAGATTTGTACAAAACTGGCATCTTTATTGCTTGTTGGGGCTGTACAAAGGGGTTGGGAGCAGCCCTTGGGCCGCTGCAGAGGGGAACACAGCTCCCGACCTGCCCGGGACAGGTATCCCTACACTTTACAAAAGAAAGTCAGTAGTCATCTTCAGCATTCACCACCAAAATCTGGAGCCATTTCCTGTCCTTGGCATTGCTCCTCACACCACACATCCCTGCTGTTCCAACGGGCACGCCGGGAGTACAAAAACTCTTTGTCTATGAAGGCACCATGTTCAGCATAGTTTAGTTCACACACACACTTAAGTACATCTCTCTGGATGACTTCACTCCCTGGATCCCCTCCTCTTTCCCCACCCTCTGACCAGGGCTGGAGATGGGCTGCATCCAGCTGCACAGCTCACTGTGACAGACAGACAGACAGACAGACAGACAGCCCGCTCAGGCAGAGCAGGACACAGCAACACAATTAGGAAGTCATTGATTATCTTGGAACAAAAAGGAGACCCCCACCAGTACAGTTGGTGAAATTCTAGGTGACATTTTACAGATTTTAATGGTGTTATAAATCTTAATCTAAGTTTATGGGAAACCACAGGAGTTCAAGTATTTTATTACTGCACACACTATATATATATTTATGTATGTATATACAGAGAAAAAGATTATTTTTTGGCAATATTAGGGGGATTTTACAGATTGAGCTGGGCTTGTGGCGAGCACAGAGCGAAACAGCCCAGCAGGCTCTTCAGCACTTATCTCACTTTCAGCAAGTTTGTGCATCAGAACCTCACTTTTAGCAAGTTGTGCAATAGATTTCTACTTGTGACCACGACATCCAGCTTCTACCCATGGCACCACAGGACCAGGATCTACAGCTCCCTCCCCTAGCAGAGTGGATGCTGAGCACCTCTGCTCAGGAGGAGTTCCAAAATCCAGTCCAGCCCATGGTGCAGGAGCACGGGGCAGCCCAGTCTGACACACAGCAGCCCTGACTGACACCACAAGGGCTTGGCTGTTAAATTCAGGGTGCATCAGCCACCAGGCTCCCATTTAAAGTGCTCAGAGAAGCTCTGGTGGTCCAGGCAGAGACACTTCCCACCTCCCAGTGTTCTGCAGGGACTGCTGCTGTCTTTAGACCTCAATTAAAACCTAGCAGCAGCCCATTTTTAAAACCAGAATATGGCCGTGTCTTCTCGTACCTTTATCTTCACTGCCCATCCATGAATTAGTGGGAATTAGTACAGGAGTCTCGTTTAGCCACTCTCTAATTAAAAAGCATTAAACTCAGTGCTCCTACAGCACAGCTTAGGGTCAGTCAGCATGGAGTTAAGAATTTAAGTGCATTATTATGCATCTATAAACATATATACATGCATAAACATGTTTAAAATATATCTCTCTTCCTGAAAAAGTCCTCTGAGACCTCATTCCATTTATGGTGTACATGGGAAACACTTTCCAGTCCATGCAGAGTAACTGTAAATTAACTGACAGATCTCCTTGCTTTACAAACGGGTTACTCCAATTCCTCACTGCACAATCAGAGAGACAACACCAAATCAGACAATTTCCTTACCAGGGCTCGTGGCAGAAATGGGGAAACCCAAAGCCACGTGCTGGATTTCAGGACTATTTCCCAGCTGCCAGCCTGGCTGCAGCGGCAAAGCTTGGACAGAGCGAGGGACAGGCTGGGTGTTTCAGTCCCTGCAGCTTTGGTCGAGGTATTTATTGAGTGTGAAGTTCTACATTCCTGCTCGGGATCTCTCATTTGCCCTGTCCCAGGCTGCAGAGGGAGGCTGCCGGCACTGCACTGCCATGGGATGCCAGGAGGGGAACTGCAATTTCAGCTGTCGCAGCCAGCAGCTCGGGAAAGCTACTTGGGAGGCAGAGGTGCCGGTCGGGAGGGGAAGTACTGTCCCTGAGGTAAACATTTCTGCTGGGCTGGAGGCGGTCCCTGAGGTACAAGCTTCTGCTGAGGGGGTGGGGGCCTGCAGGGGACAGAGGAGGAGCAGTCAGTGCCACAACATCACAGCCCACCATGCCCCACCACAGCCCTCGCACCACACCCTGCCCCACCACTGCACCACCCCAGCTTCACACCAAGATTCATCCCAAAAATGCCACGCTCAGACTGTGCCTTCAATGGCCTGAAATCTCTGGTCAAACTCACCTTTAGTATTCACAGGGAACCCCCAGCGAGGGGAGAGAATGATGCATCTGACTCCATCTTATCAGAAAGCTAATTAATTCCTTTATTATACTATATTATTCTATGTTGCATAGTATATATTATTCCACATTATATGTATTATTCTATACTATATTACATTTCATCTAAACTGAATCTGCCAAGCACTCAACTCTGCTCACACTGCACAGAATCTCATGACTGTCCTGACACACACACTTGGCCCTGACAGGCCAAGGAAACAAAACACCATCACTGTGGGTAAACAATCTCCATATTGCATTCTACTTTGGCACAAAAAGGCACAGCAAATGAGAGAAGAATATTCTTGGGAAGAATTGTGCCTTGCTTTTCTCTGTGAAGAGAAATGTGAGGCTACACACTTGGCACTGATAGGCCAAGGAAACAAAGCACCATCACTTTGGGTAAACAATCTCCATACTGCATTCTACTTTTGTAGTAGAAAAACAATAAGAATCGTTTTTCCTTTCTCTGAGGTTCAAAGAATGTGAATCTCAGAAATATTTTTGGAAAGAATTGTGCCTTGCTTTTCTCTGGGAAGAGAAATGTGGCTGCCACACTCACCTTTTCTCTAAAATTCTCTGAAGACCCCCCCTGGCCCAAGAGCCACACAAAATGAGCTACATTAGGATGCTCCCACTCAGGCACTGGCACGTGCTGGGTCTGTGTGTGGCACAGCACAGCACTGCATCTCACAAGCACAACTCAAAACTAAGATGAAACACAGGAAAACTTCCTGCTCAAAGTTAAGAGAAATGGTTTTGCACTTGGCCGTAGCATTCACAAATCAGCACAATGACAGATTTGTGAGTGATTTGCTTTTAAGCTGACTATTTTACCAGGCCTTTCATCCACCTGCTGGGCTAATCTGCCTGCACAGCCACGCTCTGAGCCTCATCCATCACCACACAGCCGAGACAGCGCACAATGAACACGCTGCCTTCCAGGGTGAAGTGAAGGAGAAACTCCTCCTGCTGAAAAATCAGCCCCACTCACACACAACACAAGATGGAACACCCCAGGAGCGACAGCCAGGACAAGAAATGCCATCAGTGCCCCTGCCAGGGGCATTGCAGTGACTGCACTGACCTGCTGGGCACCCTCGGTGGCTGCTGCACTGGGTACTGCGGTGGGGAGTAGTAGGGCTGGTGGAAAGCCTGCTGGGGGTGCTGGTTAACTGGGTAAGCTGGCACAGGAAAGGTGTTGGGATGCATATCCTGCAAAAAATAACACAAAGAGAACGGTCACCAACTGCACGCAGGGAATCGAAATATTTACGTCAGGGAATCGAAATATTTACATCACTAAACAAGTGAGGCTCAAGAACATTTGCAAAGCAGCTTGGCAATGTCAGAGGAGCTCTTTCCTCTGAGAAACTCAGCAGGAAAAAGCAACAGCAGTCTGGAAACTGCTGGATTTTGAAAAATACAGAAAGGCTGATCACAACAGCTGGATTTCTGTATTTTATAAAACACAGCAAGGCTGATCACAACAGCACTTGGTTTGCTCTAGGAGTGTGTTCTGGCTGTTTGTGGCTTTCAGAGGACAACTGCTGTGACAAGGAGAGAGGGCTGGGCATCTGTCATGAGGAAAAGGGAGCAGCAAAGCAGGTAAACCAAGCACATTCTGGGACAACACTTAAACTGGGAAACTGAGGAGCCCCCCACAAAACAAATATTCTCTCTGCTTTTTATTGAGGACAAACAATTTCCAGAAGTGAAGAAGTAACTTTAAAGCTTTTATCAGGGTAAAAATTAGAGCAATTGCCTTCCTGTCTTTACTTGAGAGTAATAAATAGAGTAAGGGAAGGTGGCTGGTTCCTACCATGGGCACAGCTCTTGGAGGATAAGGCATGCCACGGGAGAAGCCTCTTGGCTGGTAATCCCTGGGCTCAGTGTCTGGCCGAGGAGGAGGTGACTGAAGTGACCTGAAATCCAATGGATATGGGCTGAGTGAGCACATAACCCAGACACAATCCCTGTGCAGGCTGGGAACACAGACACTGTGAACCTGAGCTGGATTTATACTATTTTAGCACTTATCAAACGTGAGAAAGATAATATTTAATATTACAATATGAATATTTACAATATTAATTGCAAATAATATTAATATTTACAAATCTAATAAATAAAAACAACCTTTTTTCAGTTCAAGACTCTGGCAGCTTCCCTTTGGAAGATGGGACCCGAAAATACAAACCCCTATCACCAATGCACAAGAACAAACATAATAATAAAGAGAAAACTCTCTGCTCTTTTGATTTGGGATGGATTTATCTTCTCTGTCATTGCCAGAGGCAAGCTGCATGTGCCATTGACATCCTGGGACTGGGAAATGCCTCCACACTCTGGCATGACTGGTGTAAACAACCATGCATGGATTTTGCCCAGTTCCAGGGCACAGGAGAAGGCAGAAAGGAGGAGCACTCACGAGTGGCAGCGGGACATCAGCCTCCTGCAGCTCCTCTTCAGCCTGTCCCTCTTGGCAAAGGCCAGAGCAGCAGCCACGAGCAGGGGCAGCACCAGGAAGAAGAACACCAGCAGCCCATTGCGCAGCGAGGTGTCTTTGTCTGAGGGCACAAAACCACAGGGAAGAAATAAATATTCTCTGCTCAGGTAGGAATGGTTCTGTAACCGCTTTCCATTCTTCATAGACAAAACCCCAAAGAATACAAGAAGAGAGATGGCCAAATAGATCCTTTCTGTTTATCTGTTAGAGCTGACACCCTGGGCTGCAGGAGCACATTAAATTAGGAGATCAATCCTCCAATTTTTCATGGCTGTAATGTTTCATTACTAAAGATTTTATGAGAGAGGAAAACAGAGCTTCTGCCTTTTGGGCTGATGGTAAATCTACCTCTTCTCCAGCCACTGTTTGCTGTAGACAAAGAACTTGGGTTCTTCATTTTGACATTTTTATATGCAGCAATTTCTCCCCTGTAGGCTGTACCAAAACAGCCTTTCCCTTTTTCTGGCTGATGATTTGAGGGCTCTGCCTGAGCTCCAGTGTGCTTCTCCAGCCTGTTATTGCATCAGAGTCCCTAGGCTTCCCAAAGCCCCACCAGCTTATGAAAAACAGTCTTCAAGATCATTCCTGCAGCCCACAGAAGTTACAACAATCCCATCTTTATAGACTCCACATGGACACAGCAAGTTTTCTCCAGATTAGTGTTCACAGGGGTCCAAGGATGAGGGAGGAGATGAGGATCTAACTCCATGTTTCAGAAGGCCTGATTTATTATTTTATGATATTTATAACATTAAAACTATACTAAAAGAATAGAAGAAAGGATTTAATCAGAAGGCTGGCTAAGAATAGAAAAAGAAAGAATTAATAAAAAAGGCTTGTGTCTTGGACAGAGAATCTGAGCCAGCTGACTGTGATTGGCCATTAATTAGAAACAACCACATGAGACCAATCACAGTTGCCCCTGTTGCATTCCACAGCAGCAGATAACCATTGTTTGCATTTTGTTCCTGAGTCCTCTCAGCTTCTCAGGAGGAAAAATCCTAAGGAAAGGATTTTTCAGAAAATATCATGGCTACAGATTAGAGCTTGGCTCTGGCTTCCTATTTCACCTTCAAACCCTCAGTGAGCAGAGCAAGCCTCCAGCTCTGTCATTTGATTTTTCTTGTGCAGGAATCATGTTTCCCTTCCCTGGAGCTTCCCTTCCAAGCCTGGATACAGGGAAATCCAAGAGGATCTTTGTTCTAAGGTGGCAGAAATCACTTGAACTAAACCAGATCCTTACAGATCCCTACCCCAGCACCCCGGGACAGAAGTGCAACACCTTGAGCACAAAACCTCTGCCAGAATTCCTTGCCAGTGAAACCCAGAGGTGCCTGGGTTCACCAACACGTGGGGTTGCCCTGGAGCACCCAGCCCCAGCCCCAGCCCAGCTCCCACAGCCACTTGCCATTGTAGGGAGGGCCACTGTCCACACTGCCCCCGTAGCCTTTGGAGTCACAGAAAGGGGGAGCCCAGCCCGCTTCACAGTGGCAGTTCCTGTTGTTGTTGCACACCTGTATGCCAAAACACAAAGACTCTACTCAGTCACCTCCATTTGTGTGCATTTCAATCTGCTTGCAGCAGCCATGACCTGTTCTGTCCTTTGTTGCTCAGCCTGGAGACTTTTACCCAGTTACTCCACAGCCCTTGGCCAGGCATCCCAAGATTTCACATGACTGAGCACACACAGCACTGCTCAGGAAGAGCTTCCAAGGATTAGCTATCCCAACAGCTTACACACCATGGCTTTTACTTGTTTGTTGTTTTTTTTTTCTTTGTGAGATGCAGAGTCAAATTTCATTAGCAATACTGGAACTGAGAATGCTTGCCTGGCAGAGAGCTGTGTCAAAGATTTTTTTGACACTGCTACAGGTTCTCTTGCCTAGAGGCATTTTATAGAGAGTTTTACAGTTGGACAAAACAGAAAATAAAGTTACTGATCACCTCTCTTCCCTGCTTACCCCATGGCCGTGGCACTGCTTCTCCACATCACAGTCGTAGTTCAGGACAGAGGCGCTCACACACTGGAAGTGCCTGCAGATCTGGGGAGCAGAAATGCACACAGATGAGGGATGATGGCATTTCAGTGCCCCCCTGCCTGCCCAGATCCCTGCTCCTAGGCTGTGCTTGCTGCCACAAAGCCTCACACACTCTCACTGATAATTCCAAACTCTGCACAAACTCTGCTCCACAAAAGGCCTCTCAGCATGGGGCTGAGCTGGCACTGGAGCCTTTTGTCTCCAGTCTGAATGTAAAGGAACAGCAATTAAATTGTGCCCAGTAAGGACATGTGGAATGCACATTCCTCTGCTAGGGCTAAGCTTCTGCACTCTTTAGTTTAGTTGGATTTTAATTGAAAGTTGTCTTCCAGGATTTGTGAGGGCCTGGCTCTTCCTGCTCATTGACACAGCAAAGTTTCTGGCTCTCAATGAACTCAATTTCTTTCGCTTCACCTCCAAATGAAAGGCTCATTAAAGGTTTGGTGCACAAGCAGTGCAGTACTGGGCAGTGGGGGCAATCAGTGGACTCATGTCATTTTATATTAATTACAGGCATCCAAAAATAATGGTCATAACTATTCATGAAACAGAGCAGCTGAAAATTTTAACTACAAGCATCCAAAAATAATGGTCATAACTATTCATGAAACAGTGCAGCTGAAAATTTTATTCCCATGAGCACCCCAAATTATTACATTAGGATATCATTTTAAAATTTTTTATTACCTTTCCATTACCACACTTGGTGCCTTCATTCACCATTCCTGGGTCTGGGACATCAGAGCCCAGCTGGAAATCCACTCCCCAGCACGTCTGATGGGTGCCTCTGATGGGAGTTTGGATAATAGCAGGCTTGATTCCAAACACAGGCATGGCTTTCACATTTTCACACTGCAGCTTCCCACACATGGCATTCCTACAACAGCAACACAGGAACACTGTAGTGACACTCGAATTTATTCTGAGAACCACACTACCATGTGCTTGATTCCCTTTCTACTGGAAGATGCTACTTGAAAACAAAATTGAGGCAACTTGACAAATAAAACTGAACTGGGCTTCATTCCAGTGCTGCCAGAGTAGTTTATCCCTTCTTTCTGTAAGCTGTTGGAATCTCTACATTTAGGAAAACATGATGATTTGCTTCTCATCTTCCCATATGTGATCACTCAGGGAAAGCACAATCCTTGACAGGAGATGTGGAACACCCTCTCCTCAGCACAGCCCTGCATCCCTCGCCTACAACACCCCAAACTGACACCACAGCACCCAAATACAGATCCCCAACCATTTATTTCAGCACTTCCCAGTGCACTGGGCTCGACTCACCAGCTGGAACATTTCTTGTAGTCATGGCCATGGAAACCACAGTTGCCAAACCTGTCCCCCTTGGAATTCACTTCAGCAAAGCAAATGTTGGGGGCTGCTTTGGCTTCTGCAAACAAGAGCCCATCCCCAGAGAGAGGAGCCACGTTACCCAGGCACAGAAACATCTCCCACAGGGTCTCCTGTACCCACAGCAACCACCCTGCTGCACCAAGTGTTTGCCACGACCTTAGCAACTTGGGCAGAACACTAAAGAAGTTATAATGTCAGAATTACAAGGTTCCAAGTCTAAAAACTGAGAAAAACAGTTCCTTAACCTGATATTTTTTGATATTTCTTTACAGACCTATAGAGCAGAAACTCCACTGTACCAGCAATCATAAGTGCAACAAAATTATGGCTTGGATCCCCAGCACAAAACTAAATGTAACACAGGAAGAATGCATGACCATGATGCTAAACCATTACTACCACTGCTCCAAATACTCTGCCAAAGCCAGCTGGTCTCTGTTAGTGACAAGCAAATAAATATATTTTAAATAAACTTAGTGCATTTATAGGAATGTGCCCCCTGTTGACGGACTGACAAAACTATCTTTTGTTTTTTTAAAAAGGAAATAAGCCTAGAAGTTTTTCTCTTCAATGAGGTGAAAACCTCATAAGACTTAGGGGACTTCACCTCAAACTTAAGGACAGCTAATTGGATAAGAGCCAAAAAGTTTTGCTTGGGCAATTTACTAGAAAAAGAAGAGAAGAAAGAAACAAATTGCTTTTGTGAGGTTTTTACCAGGAGCAGGAGGACCTCTTGCACCTGAATCAGTTTTTCTCTATAAAGAGTTTTGTTATTTTGCCTTTTATAAAAATCTTTTTGTTTCCAACACTACCACAAAAGCCATCCTGCTGATTTTATGCCTTCTGAGGTAGCTGAGTTATCTTGGGTGTGAAATAAATCTCCAAGAGCTTGAGGAGACCCATACTTGATGCATTCTTTAGTTACATCTCTTGGAAAGACTGCAACCTGTGCCTTTCCTTACTGGAGCCAAAGATGTCCTGGCACTGAGCTTTTTATCTGTAAAGAATTTTGTTATTTTGCCTTTAATAAAACCCTTTTGTTTCCAACAAAAGCCATCCTGCTGATTTTATACCTTCTAAGGTAGCTGAGCTATCTTGGGTGTGGAATAGATCTCCAAGAGCTTGAGGAGACCCATACTTGATGTATTCTTTAGTTACACCTCTTAGAAAGATTGTAACATGTGCCCTTCCTTACTGGAGCCAAAGATGTCCTGGCATTGAGCTTTTTATCTGTAAAAAGTTTTGTTATCTTGCCTTTTAATAAAACCCTTTTGTTTCCAACAAAAGCCATCCTGCTGATTTTATCCCTTCTGAGGTAGTTGAGCTATCTTGGGTGTGGAATAGATCTCCAAGAGCTTATGAGACCTGGCTAGAGGAGACCAATATTTCATGTATTCTTTAGTTACACCCCTTAGAAAAGACTGTAACCCTGTGGCATTCCTTACTGGAGCCAAAGATGTCCTGGCACTGAGCTTCTTCTCTGTAAAGAGTTTTGTTATTTTGCCTTTAATAAAACCTTTATTTTATACCTTCTGAGGTAGCTGAGCTATCTTGGGTGTGAAATAAATCTCCAAGAGCTTATAACACCTGGCTGGAGGAGACCAATATTTCATATATTCTTTAGTTACACCTCTTAGAAAGACTGTAACCCTTACTGGAGCCAAAGATGTCCTGGCACTGGGCATCGTAGTACTGGCACACGCCGTTGTAGCAGTAAGCCTCCTGGTTGTGGCAGGGGTGCCCGTTCTGCACGGTGAAATCTGCCTGGCAGAACTGGGAGGTGCCATTGCAGTACTCAGGGAGGTCACACTCGTTGGTGCTGGCACGACACTCAGTGCCTCCAGGGAGCAGCTGAGCAGAGAGGGGAGGGAGGATTGGGTTAGGAAAGAGGAGTCTCACAGCAGAGAGCGGTGCTGCACCTGAGCAGGGACTGATCTGAATTCTGATCTGCGTGTCCTCGTGGGCCAGGTGTGAGAAACAACTGCCCAGTTTGAAAGTTTAAAGAGGTTTATTAAACCTTAACAAAAATACAACAAAGCATTACATGAGGAAAAAGCTGCAGTGCTGGGAACTGCCCCTCGTGCACACCACGACTACAAGATGGATGCTCAGTGTTTTATACCCCTGGGGGCTGCATCAGCCAGCCCTGGCCCTTCCCAAAGTCTGTCCCTCAGCTCTTCCGTGCCATTTATCACTGGAGACTGCTTTGTAACTGGATTGGAGCTCAGGTGTTGCCATGCCGCATCCCCTAAGCACCCCCAAGCTTTTCCATTCCCACCTGCCCCAGGTAGGGGACGCGTGTGCAGCTTCTTTGTACCTGTCCTAGACACCCCACGCTGTCTGATGGTCACAATATGGGGGGGAAAGGGAACTATGGAGAGAACAGAGGACATCTAAACCACAATAACATAACTGTACATCACTAAAGCTTTTCTTGATATTCACACAATAGTTATCTTTTAATTGTGAGAGCCAATCACCTCATTATCCATCTATAACACAGGACAACTCCCTCTCACAGATGCACTAAGCCAACACTCTCCTTTTCTCAGCCTCCTACCACCACCCCAGTCTCCTACCTGGCAGTTTTTGCAGCAGTCCCCATAAGCACATTCAGCACCAGATCGGAGCCTGCAGGTTCCTGGCTCACAGCATGGATCGTTCTCACATTCCTGAGGACACAAGGGCTGTGAATGTCACCAAATCTCCTCCTCTGTCACAAACAGTCCCCTCTGAGAGGGGGCACTGCTGGGATAAGTTACACACACAGCCACAAACCTTTGGAGAGCCACAGTCACACTCCTCCCCAGCATCCACCAGCTTGTTCCCACAGTAAGGGACACTGTAGGTCTCATCAGGCTTTGGGACATTGAGCAGGCAGCTCCCACCTTTGTTGAGTGTCAGCTTCTCAAAATCTTCTGCACTGCAGCTGCTGAAGTTCCTGGATCCCCTGCAATGGAGAAAATGAGCTGAGCTTTACACTGAGCCAAGCCAGAACAGGGGGACATGTGCATCCCCCATCACAAGCACAGCAGGAATCTCTGTAAGGGGAATTTGAAGGTGAAAGTAATCCACAAAAACAAAGCACATGGATGGGGCATTTTGAGCTTTGTTTGCCTTCCCTTGTTCAGCTACTTACGATGCTCCGGAGCTCATGATGCAGCTGCTTGCCCCACAGTGACAGACGCGTTCATCGTCGTGGTTCATCCCCAGGTTGTGGCCGAGCTCGTGAGCCATGATGGAGGCAAACATCTGGATACTGATCCTTCCAAACTGCACAGGAGAGACACAGAAAGCAGTCAGAACAAAGCTTATCCCTGACAAAGCCAAAGTGAGCCATGATGGAGGCAAACATCTGGATACTGATCCACAGGAGTGACACAGAAAGCAGTCAGCACAGAGCTTATCCCTGACAAAGCCAAAGTGAGCCATGATGGAGGCAAACATCTGGATACTGATCCTTTCAAACTGCACAGGAGAGACACAGAAAGCAGTCAGAACAGAGCTTAATCTGACAAAGTCAAAGTGAGCCATGATGGAGGCAAACATTGGATACTGATCCTTCCAAACTGCACAGGAGAGACACAGAAAGCAGTCAGCACAAAGTTGATCCTGACAAAGCCAATGTTTGCTTCTGTGCCAAGGAGACTCTTTTGCCATTCTGGATCTACATTATCAGGATTCTCAGACCAACAGTGCTGGATTTCCAACCAAGTGCATGGAATTTGCTCAGCAGTAAAAGCCCTCAGAGAAACCTCTCTGGGACACTACCCAACAAACTCCACTTTCCAGAGCAGCTGCAACATTAACACAAAACTGGAACTCTCCACAGCAGCCCAATTCTCCTGAAATGTGCAAATTCCAGCACTTCTGTCACTGGTCCAAAGAAGCAGATTTCTGGGATTGTGAGTTATCTGACACCAGCAGTTTGGTTGACTAAGGCTCTGCAGTTCCACATAAAACATGCAGTGAACCAGCACTGCTCAGGGAGGTCACAGCTGCAGAACAGATTTGAAAATACCCACAGTTCCCACATACTTTTGAGGCAGAGATGCTTAAAACAATACAGAGAAATCCTCTTGCATGAGTACAGCACACTGAGCAGAGAAGCTGAGCAGAAGACTACAGAGAAGTTGTGATCCAGACACCCTGGAAATGTCAGAAATTGTTTGGGACAACATAAGAGCCCCACTAAGCCACTTCAGCTTTGTTATGTGCTTCCAGGAAGACTTTCAGAGTGCAATAAATCACATTCAGAGATCACTGAAGAAATCTCACCACATTAATTCCTCCTGCATGGCTCTTGGAGCACACTGTTCCCACATAGGCCATTCCAGCTGTGCCACCAAAACCCTTCTTCCTGCAGTCATGAAGAGAAAGGAGAAACCATCATCAGTCTGTACAGACACACACAGAATCCACACCACTCCTGCCTGTGGGCCACAAACCCTGCTGCTCCAGCTTTCCTAGCACTGCTACTGACTGCAAGCACAAATGGCACCAGTTAAGCTTTTGCTGGCTGCTCAAGATTCCTTTACTCTGTGAATTTAAAACAAGTGTTTACAGGGAAATTCAGCCTCTTCCACATCATCCCTCTGCATATAAGGAGCACAGGCACTACAGAGAAGTCCAATTAAGCAGGACCTGTCCAGGCCCCTCAGGCAGACTCCAGTCTTAGCAAGCAGTTCAGCTTTTAGTGATTATCAGCTCATTAGTGATTTCAGCTCTTTAGCTTGCTAAGTGGCAGGGAGAGAGAGGAGAAGGCTGTGTGAGGTTCCACAGAGATGCTTTTATTGGCATCTTCTGCAAAGGTTCCCAGGGACAGCTCTTCTGCCAAACTGGGCAAAAATAGGACTTTTTATAGAGTAAAGGAGTTTTGGAAACTATCCAGTGGTGAGGATCCTATAGGCTTATAGAGAGAGAAGGGGTCTGAAGGCAAAGAGGGGCTTCTTAGGTCCAGTCATCAAGACATTTCCTTATCTTAGGCTGCTGAAAGCCATGGAGGCATTGCAGGCCCTGTGCCTGCTGGGCTGAGCACACAGGGACAGAAGGAACTTCCTGGTGTTAGGAAAATTAATCCACAAACACCAGAGATTTATGTCCAAAAATGAGACAGAGGAGTCCTTTGACTTTATTCCAATCAAGGCAGAGGCCATGGGGCATCCCCTGGGGTCTCTCCAATTTTTGGAGGATGCAGCCTCCCTTTTTATCCCAATTTCCAGCCACATTTCCCTTCTCTCTTTCCCCATTTCTGAGGTACTTGAGAGGTTCAGACTTCCTGGAACACCTGATCCCAAAGATTCCCCTCTAATGTATAACCCTCCCATTTAATTTTGAATTCTTATGGAATTTAGGGGTTTTTCCCCTTTTCTGAGGTACTTGAGAGGTTCAGACTTCCCAATATGCCTGATACCAAAGATTCCCCTCTAACGTATAACCCTCCCTTTTAATTCTTACGGAATTTTGGGGTTTTTCTCTATTTCTGAAGTACTTGAGAGGTTCAGACTTCCCAGAACACCTGATCCCAAAGACTCCCCTCTAATGTACAACACTACCTTTTCATTTTTAATTCTTAAGGAATTTTGGGGTTTTTCTTCTCCATTGTTCCTTTCATCTTTCAATTTATTGGTCTAATTCAATTTACTGGTCTAATTTCATTTACCAGCAAACCTAAAGTTTATTTACAAATAAGGAAATCTCTTTTTCCATTCACCAATCAGTGGAATCCTTCCCATTGTTTCTTTTCTCTCCCAGTGCTGGTTTTATCTCCCAGCAGCCCCACAGCTTGTTTGCAAACACAAATCCCCCAATCCTCTCCCTGGGAGCAGAGGGAAGGGGCTGCACTCACAGGACAAACTGGGCGCTGTCGTGTCTCCGCCGCAGAACGAGATTCTTCTCTCGCCACTGCACGAAATTGGCCAGCACATCCCCAGCCCCTCCATCAGTGCTGATGATGTTCTCGTGCTTCCAGATCTCCAGCCCAACCAGCACGATGCGGATGTTCAGCATAACGTACATCTGGGGGGAAAAATATTCATTTATAGTTTCAGACAAAAACAAGTGACCCGGTGTCTTGTTTTTCCCTCGTGGCAGGAGGAATGAGAACTCTGACTCCATGTTCTCAGAAGGCTAATTTATTATTTTATGATACTAAATTAAAGAATACTATACTAAACTATACTAAAGAATACAGACAGAAGGCTAAAAAGATAATAATGAAAAGTCATGACTCTCTCCACAGCCTCAACACAACTTGACCAGGACTGGCCATTAAAACAATTCCCATGAAACCAATCAAACAATCTCCAACCACATTCCAAAACAGCAAAACACAGGAGAAGCAATGAGATAATATTGTTTTCTTTTTTCTCTGAGGCTTCTCAGCTTCCCAGGAGAAAATCCTGGGCAAAGAGATTTTTCAGAAAATGTGACAGTGACACTGGTGTTATAGATCTTATTGCAAGCATCCATCTTTGCTGTGTGGGTTTGAATTTTTTTCACAGCTAGTACACAACAGAATGCATTTACCTGTGATTCAGACCTTCATTAGCTACAGGATCAATGCTTAAATGCCACACTGGCTACATTGTAAGACAACACCAAACAGAAATAAGAAGTCTCAATTCTGACAAATATCAGGTGAAATAGTGGAGTATCAAACTCCACTTTGGTTTTTTCTCTAACCTTTACACAGACACAAGAATTGCAATAATTGCAGCAATCCGTCCTGTCCCATGCTGGATTCAGCACGGGCTGGAAGTGTTTCCTAAACTAATTCTCAAGGTGGGTAAGTGCTGATGAATTTAGAGATGGAAAAGCTTCCATGGGGATGCATTCCCCAAAGCGATACCAGAACACACCCCAGGATGGACATTTCCAAAAGGCAGCAGGGCTGCAGCACACAAAGTCCCTCCTACTCACACTGTCAAGGAAGTTTGCCAGCTGCACCATGTGTTCTCTTACTTCTGTTTCACTCTTCCCAAAATCTTCAAACTGCAAGACAAAGAAACTCAGTTTCATGAAGAGAAGAGATGGAGACAACAGTTTGAAAAAGGAACAGAACATTTTTGCCTGGCTCCAAATCTCCATGAAGACGCAAATCAATTCAGCAACATCTTCACTGGTGCTGCTCAGCAGCTCAGTATTCCAAAGCCAACAGCAAAGGCAGTTTTTACCACATGCTTTCCTTACATCAGGAGATTCCTTGCTAACAGAACCTCTCCCTGTCTGATGGCTGACTTCTTTTCTGAGGAGGATTGCATTTCACACATTTATCCACTTCCAGGGCAGCATATTTGCACAACTTGGGTAAATTGTCAAGTGTTTTTTAACAATCCATTTGGGAGTAATGAAATCTGAGGGCTTTCCAGGCCCTCTCCTGAAGTAAAGGGAAAAGAAAAAACACACAGAACTCCCACCTTTTCTTTATCCACAACTATGAACAGCTCCACATATCTTGTCTGGTGCAGGACTGCCCTCTTCCTCTGGGGAAAAAAAAATAAAATATTTTAGACAACTTCAGATTTATTATTTCAAGTATAAACAAAAAAAAAAAAAAAGCCTCATGACATTGTCATATTTCACTTGATACCACCAGTGGTTTGAGACACACCCAGAGCACACAGTGCCAAATCCAAGCAGTGTAATCCAATGCAATGAGAGTTTCTGTGTTTTACACTAAAACTCAGCTGCACAAAGACTCCCCTTGTTTCAAAAGCAAAGCACCTCTGCACAGATTGCTTTGGAAAGTCACCACACGCTTTAATAAAGGGGCAGAAAGATTCTACCAACAAATACCAATGGCTTGGATGTGAAACACAACATTTCTTCATTCTCCTGCTTTCATTTCAATCTTGTACAGACAGTCCTTGAAGGACAAGGGGGACTTCACACCAAACTGCTACTGTGATGGTGAGGAGGATGGAACAAACATGACAATATTCTCCTGGCTCCTGATGCAGTATTTTGTTAACAAGCCTCTCCATGATGAGGGTCATGATCCTGCCCTTAGAAGTCCCCCAAAAAATTCTGGGAATATTCTAATAATATTGTTTTCCTTTTTCTCTGAGGTTTCTCAGCTTCCCAGGAGAAAATCCTGGGCAAAGGGATTTTTCAGAAAATATGACAGTGACACTGGTCATGCCATGTGCAGAAGCAGGAGGAGACTGTGGCTGCTTTGAGGAAGAAACTGAGCTGTCCCTTAGTGCAAACCCCCCAAATCATAAACCTTTAGGTATGCACTAAGTCCCAGGAAATCTGATAAGCTGCTTGCACACTCTGAAATGAACTCACAAAACCCCTTGTGTGGGACTGGGCAGGACTTACCCGCAGCAGCTGGGTCATGCTGGGATGGAGCTCTCCCTCCGCCTGTTCCCCTTCCTGGCCTGCAGTGGTTACTCCACACTCTGTGGGCTCTTTCTTCACATTCTCCAGTCGATATAAAATGTGTTTAGAGCCAGAGGAGGGATCCATGGGCTCAATCCCATAGGTGACATTGCCTATTGTCACCAAACCCCTAAAATAAGGCAGTGTGTAAGAAATGTGGCACTGAGCACAGAAGACAGTAACACAGAATTTTATTTTACTGAGTAACCAAAGCCTGCCTATACCTCAGCTCTTGTGAACCAGCACACTTCACAATTCTACATTTCCAAAGGCCTTTCACTGAGCAGGGCCTTACAAATGCAGGGCATTAAATACTTCTGTAAGGCTCTGCAATGCCCTAGGAATTACATCACAGGTCTTAAACAGAAATGCTTTAGAGTTCAAATACACTATTGCCATTCTGACATGGCTCTATAAAAAATACAATATATGGCACACAATATATGGCAATTAGGCCAAAGCAGAAAACAATTCCATCAAACTTGAGGTGTATAAGGTTTAAAGCCAATTTTGTGAAATTTGGAGATGAGTGTTCAACATTCCACTTCTGCAATAGGCACAGTTGTCATGACTATCTGTGCAAGTTAAAAAATAACTTCTTTTTTAAGTTATTTTGCAAATATGCATCAAAACCAACTTAGTGCATTCTGGTAACAATCTGCATTACTAGCTTATTTGATGGTACTTCAAATATCTGTGAGCTCCTTGAATAAAAGGACACCAGCACCAAGGCAGCTCAGTGCAGCCAGTGACAAAAGCAGCAGAAATGGGTTTTGGCTTCAGCAGCCACAAAGTGACAGCAGGGACACAAAGGAGGAGCTGTGCTACCTGAGCCCTGAGCAGGTGCTGACAGCCACCAGGGAATCCAGGGTCCCCTCCACGAAGCCCTGATAGTGGCAGTGATCCTGGGCAGGAAAACAAGGGTGCATTATCAGGTGTTTCAGGCATCCCTGCACAGCCAGGGCAGCCTCTGAGCTGCCACTGACCAGCAGCGATCACAACTCCAGAACACAACACGTATTAAGTTCAATTTACCACAGCTGGATTTCTTGACTTGAGCTATGCTATCCCTCTCCTGTTCTGTCCTCCACCCTGCCTCAAATATTTCGAGTCCAGCCCCTCCCTCCTGATTTGGGCCAAATTACTCTTCAGTCTTCTGGCAGAAAGTTCTGGCTTGTCTGTCACCTCTGTAACAGGAGGAGGGACAGGACCTGCTGTGCACCCCAACCAGAGCTGTGCTGCACAGGGCAGCCCTGACACATGGACATAAAAATTCTGGAAATTAGACAATGGGGAAATACCCTCAATTCCCTCTGGCAGGGCATCTTTAAACATTGATACAGGGGTCTATAATGCAGGTTCTGTCCCCTGTTGCTCTGTCTGGCTTGTTCTGTCACCTCTCTGTGGCAGGAGGAGGGACCTGCTGTGCACCCCAACCAGAGCTGTGCTGCACAGGGCAGCCCTGACACACGGACATAAAAATTCTGGAAATTAGACAATGGGGAAATACACTCAATTTCCTCTGGCAAGGACATCTTTAGACATTGATATAGGAGACTATAACACAGGTTCTGTCCCCTGTTGCTCAGCAAGGAATGCAGAAAGCACAGAGAATTTGTGCTAATTGTTCAGGGCCAGCATGACTTCTGTGACCTAATGCTGAAAAAGCATCTTTCCTCTAACCAATCCCTTTGAACTAGGAAGCAAACAGTCATTTGACTCAGGTGCTCTATTTTCAAGAACAAGATCCTATGAATCATGTATGACCAACACTTCCCTTTCAAAGGAACAGCACTGATCCCTGAGAGTGAAACCATTAGGAAATCTCTCTTGCATTTTGTATCACACAACTTGCTTTCAAGTCTACATTTCCAAAGGCAACACGTCAGGCAGCAAATGCTTTCTGTGGAATAACTCCAACACTGCACAGATCCCATTCTACCCAAAGGTCCTTCAGACTTGGTGCATCCATCCCTTCCAGCAGCTCCTACATGTCAGGATTTACAGAGCAGCCCACTCTGAGGAGTTTTTAGTTCCTAAAAGCCATCCCTGCTGAATGGATGCAGCTCACAGTGCCTCAGGGACTGATCTAGAAGCTCATTTTGTGCAAAAAAATAAGCAAAGTTGCCTTTTCAGCCCCCAGAGCAGCCCTGCACTGGGTTTGGGACAAGGACAGCAGCACCCCAATAATGAGGCACCAACAGCAGCACTGCCTTGTAGAGAGGAGCAGCTTCTAATGAGACAACAACCACCTCCACAGCAGAAAATACAGGTTTTTCACAGGTTAGAGCCTCATCTAAAATTAAGGATTCTCTCCAGGAAGAGGGCAGTGGGTACTAAAGGGGGCCCAGCAGAAAATACAATTATCCTTTTGCAATCCCAGCTCCCTCATCCCACAAATGCTCTGTTCCTGTCACCCTCAGTGAGGACAGGAATAGAAGGAAGTCCTACCTGGACATCTGGATGTTCCAATTGCAACTTCCCCTCCTTGTCATAGGTATAAACTGTGAAATCTTTGGGCAGCAGTTCTCTGCAATGACAGGGGACAAGGAACACAAGAAGAATTTCATGGAATGGCTGGGACATTGGAACAGAGCAGTAAGATGGTCCTAATCAAGTGTGATAATTGAAATTAAATAAGAAAATATTAAAAAGGAAAATCCTCTAAAATTAACAAAGAAATAGTATATTTTCACAGCAAAATTCAAGAGACCAGAATGGTAGAACTGCTCATGAAATCAAACAAACCACCTCACCTCAGAGAGTAGAACAAGCAGCAAAACCCATTAAATTGTGCTAAAACCCTGTTTCCAAGCAGAAACAAAATTCTAGCCCTCAGTCTGCTGCATATGCCTCTTCCTCCCCAGTTTGAGGAGGAAGTGCATTGGAAAGTCTCCCACGACTAAGACTGGTCATTCCATTGATGTGGTGCAGCTCAATTCCCACATTTCTGAGGGTCAAGGCCTTGGCAAGGGGCAGCTGGAGCTCCCCAAGGGCTTGCACAGTTGTGTCTCTATCACAAGGGCAGCAGTGGCCTGGTAAATGACCATGTGCTGGTGCTGCAAGTGGCCCTTAAACCCCAGACAGACAGACAGACAGACAGACTGTATCAGCTGTGAGGTGTCAATATTCAGACCTTGGAGAGAGTCAGTTTCCTCATTTATTACTGTCCTTGTGCTACTGAGACAGGAAAAACCACAAAACTAAAGCAATAAACAAGATCCAGACAAAAGTGAAAATATTTACTTGAAATACACTTCAGCTTGTTTATTTTTAGCTGTGAATGGAAAGAGTTGTAGATTCCCTGGGTCTCCTCGGAATAATCTGCAGCTTCCTGCTCTGAAGGGGGTTCCCCCAGGGCTGCAGGAATCAAAAACCATCTCTGGATGATGGCCAGGACAATTAGGATTCAATCTTTTCCCATTGTGCAGAGCTGGGGTGTACCTGCACTTCCCACACAGAACCCCAGGATTCAAAACTCATGTGCTACCTGCCAGCTTCTCATCTGGACACAACAGTAATTTAATAACATTTAATTTAAATAATTTAATAATTTAAAGAAATTCATCACTTACTTGTTCTTTTCTAGATGAATGGTGTATTCTTTTCCCTCAATCTCAATGGCATATGACACCTTGTCCTAAATAAAAAGAAAGGTGCATTTTATTCATGTTAATGAATGAAAGAGTCTTTGAAACCAACAACAAATGAGTCTGATATTTATTTTATAATTGTCCCTGCCTTGAGAACTGAGCATCTCTTCCTGTGTGACTGGGGAAAAAATCCCATGAAGGAAATGGCTTCAAAATAGAAATGGAAATGGTTTCAAAATAGAAATGTGGTTTTCTTATTCTGTCCTTCTAAAACTTCCACAGAAAAGTTCCAATACAGAGCCAGAAAAGGACAACACAGTTTTTTTACTGAACATGATGCAAGTTTTACACCCAGACCAAAAATCCACTGCAGGAACTCCTGAGCTCTGGAGGAGGGAGGTACTCCTGTCCCTCAGCTGCCAGCAGTGCCACAGGTGCTGCTCTCTGCAAGGACAGACATTTCCCTGCTGCCAGGTGCACCCAGCAGCACCCCACAGGCATTTCAGGTCAGTTTTGGGTGGATTTTATAGACACTAAATTGAAGATGTGGCTCAGAGTGCCCAGTACCTGTATGGAAGAGCTGTTGGAAGCCTCTCGTCGTTCTCTCCCCAGTCTCTGTGGAGTTACAACTTCGTAGGAAGTGAGCAGGGAAATCTCCTGGAAACCTGGAGAGCAGAACAGAAACACTGGCTAAAGGAACAAAGCAGGCAAGAGGATGAAGCACAAGGAGGAAAACACTACTTGAGGAAAAGTGCACACTCAGAAGAGCACAGAGCAAGGCACGCTTGGATTGCTTTGCAAGGGGCCAGAGAAAAACAACACACAAACAACACACAAACACCAATTTTCCCAGAAAGTTTTGAATTGAAATCTTCACATTCCAAATACTGTCCTACCAGCACCACCACTCCTCATCAGCAGAATCAGCACAGCAAGGGATGCCCAGTGTCAAACCTGTGCTGCAAAGCTGCACAACTGCCCTGTGCAGCCTCTCTCAATGCACTGCCCATGGCACAGCTCAGCCTCAACCCTGGCCCTGCACAGCACAGCCAAACTGCCCTGAGGCTGCTCTACTATTTATTATGCTTTTACAGAGCTCCCAAGGGCCTCATCAAACGACTGAGGTGAGACAAATCCCTGCAACAAAGAAGCTGTCACAGATCCCTTTATATATTATCTGTACATGCAACATCAGACAGATCCCCTGAACCAAACAAGTCCACAGCCCAAGCTCCCTTTATCACGTTTTGCAAGCTGTTTTATATTAACTGTGTAAACAACAATAAATTGTGCATGCAAATTACTTTTCCCATCAGTGGTGGCATCTGCTGGTGCCTGGCTCTCAGCCACTCACCCAGGAAGCAGGAGGTTGGCCAAGGCTGATCAGGCAGCATCCAGAGAAATAGTTTTCCTGGCTCATGGCAAGGGAATCAATGAGCTCATCAGAGGAGTCTGAGCTTCCCAACAAAGGCAGGGGGAAGGGAACAGTTATTCTCACTGTCTCCAGAAATGATCACCAGGTCTGGGTGAGCGAGTGTCTGGTGTCCAAGACCCTCTAAAATCTCTCAAGTGGGACTGAGATGGTGCAGCCAGTTAAAACCAGCCCCTCTGAGCACACCAAAACTCACACTCCATGTCCAAAGGGCCTTTGGCTTCTCTAAGCTGCAGGACAGCACTGTGAGCTCAAAGCTCCACGAGAGGCTGCTCCATCCTTGGGAAAATGGGCAGGCTTTAAATGCCAGGGGTTCCCCAAAAAGCACCAGGCTGCAGTGGCATTCAGGAGATGCCTTCCCATCCCTGGCAAGCTGACACAGATCATCATCACCACCTTGGGGAGCACTCAAAAAGGCACCCCAAGGGAAAAGAGAGTCCCTTGCACACTGCTCCTATCACCAGCAAGGGTCTCTGTGCAAATCACAAACAGGACAGGACTGCTGGGAACGTGCCTTGAGCTGTTTGATTTTCCAGCATCAGTCTCATTACATGGTTATGACAGTGGGAAGATGCCACCAACTCACATCCCAGGCAGCAGACCAAGAACTCAATGTTACAACTCACTTTATAAGTTTTTTGACCAATCACACAAAGCAAAAGCACATAGACAGTATTTATATCTATATAGTGTATATTCTATATTGACAGTAGTTCTATCCAACCACTATAAGCACAGGTACCTTTGGTTAAACAATGCTTCCTTATTTCAAATACAATCCCTGCTTGTAAGCCTTCAAACACAATGCACAGAGCTCCATTATTAAGGTTAGAACTCCCTAATATCTCACTAGATAAACTTTTCTGTAGCTTAGGGAGTTATTCAGACAAGCATTAATACACAGGCCATTGTTCTATTTGTCCTTGCTTTTCTACATTTTACATAATTTTTCTGCTGACCAATCTCATGGCTGCTGCTTAGCTCTAATCACAGTTCTGCTGTATCTGAGGCCTTTTGCAGCTTTCCCAAACCTTTCTGATTTATGGATTCCCACACTTCCCACCACTATCCCTGAAGAACAAGCCATCAGCTCACTGCCAGCTTCCCTCCTGTCACGGCACACGTGGCCATGGCAGGAGGCCTCAGATGCACTCTCCTGCTCTGCCACACAGCATTTCTGTCACCAGAGCACAGGCACAGCCCCACTGCTCCTCAGGAACTCACACAGGGCACAGACTGCAGCAAAACTTTCATTATTATGGTGTTTGTAGACAAAAGGTGTTTCCTTACTATTAAAGTAGACATACTACAATACTACAAAAAAAGCAGACATTAAAAGTATTAAAAAGTAGACATTAAAAGTATTAAAAGTATTAAAAAGTAGACATTAAAAGTATTAAATTAATACAACATTAAAAGTATTAGAAAGTATTAAAGGAGACACGCAATACTACAAAAGTATTTGTCTACTGTTAAAAAAGCAGAGATAAAATTCCTGAAAACAGCCCCCGACATTCAGTGGCTACAGAACACAGTGTCAGCACCTCCCTGGCCTGAAAACAAGGGAGGGAAGGGCTGCTTCCTTTCCTGGAACGAACCACCAAAAGCACACACACACTGCAGCAATCACTCCTGCCCATTTGTCATTTCCCAGCACGCGCTCCAGCCAGCCCTGAGCTCCTGCTCTGCCCTGGTCCCATCCCCAGAGCCCTGCCCACCCTCATGGGACACTCATGCCAGGCTCTGCAGGCTCACAGGTGACACAAAGAGCAGGGCACAGCCAGCCCTGGCACTGCCTGGAGCTGACACGTTTGCCCAAGAGCAGCTTGGAAGCAGCAAACAACTCAGTGAATCATCACATGAAGCACAACTGGGAGGGATTTCTGGGAAAAGCACAGCTCCAAGAGGATCCTCTTGGAGCAACAGCACTAAAAGAGGCCAAATTTCAAGTCTCTGAATGCTCTGACAGCTCTCTCCCCACTTTCTGCCCTCCTTCCCACCCTTCACCCCTAGTTTGGGAGGTGGTGGGGTGGGAGTTCTTCAGCAGGGATGTCCCTGGCACTGCCCCTCACTTCCCAAAGCAGCTGTTCCCATGCCAAGTGCCCTGGGCAGCATTTCACACATCACCAGCAGCCCTCAGGGAGGGCACAGAGCCCCTCAGGGAGGGCACAGAGCAGCTCAACCCAAGGGACAAGGGACAAAACCCAACCCAAGGGACAAGTGCAGCCGAGCAGAAAGCCAACCCTGCTGCCACAACTTCCTTCTACAAAGGGCAGGTAGGGTTTGGAATCAATTTTTCAGCAAGTTACAGGACTTCTAATAGTCAGGTGCTTTCTGGCAGCTGCTGGAGCTGCAGCACGTCACCGCTGAGGACAGGACATGCTGATGACCCATTTCCGTGCTGAGATTTTATTTCTGATCAGAAGAACACAACTGCATCCATGACCATGGTTATCTCATCTCATCTCACCTCATTAAAGGCTGCCATCAATTACCAAGCACTGGAGACAACTAGGAAGACGTGATTCATCTTCCCCTCCCCAGCCCAAATCCACCAGAGGAATTCCATGCATGCTCCGTGGCATGTGGGAGCTTGAGAACCACCAGAACACATCACAGCTATAATGAATCTCCAGACACTGAGGGAACTTCTGGGGGTGTTCAGGTGTTCTGGGGGTGCCTGACAGGTAAAATCTGCGTTCAGCAAAGGTCAGAATGCATCCCCTGTCTTGCTGGACCCATTGGCTCAGTTACAGAATCAGAGCACACAGCTACATGCACTTACTCGCTCACACTTCCCCTCAGTCACCATCCTTCCTGAGCTGTGACTCCTTCCCAAGGAAGGTCAAAGATACACTCTTCAACGGAAGAAAAAAAAAATTAAAAAGAGGAAAGTTCATGCTGTGGCCTGTTACACCACAGAACAAGCCAATTTCATAAAAACAACTCATCAGCATGTGAGCAGCTCAGCTGCTAATACCAAAACTCATTAAGTTAACTGTGGTTATCATCAATTGATTACAATTAATAGCTGAGGTCAGCTTCCACATTTTGGCAGGGGATTGCTCAGCAGAAGTGCCAAAGGCATTACACAGCCAGGACAGCTCGACATGGAGCATTCCTGACCCAACCATCAGCTCCTTGTGCTTCAAGCTGCACTCTCCATTCCTCCAGCCCTTCCTCCAGCTCCACATCTTTAGATTTTCTGCTGTCATCCTTGCCTCCCTTTCCTGCAACTAAGGAGAGGATTTCCTTACACCTCTGCCTGCTCATATCAGGCTGTTCTGGCTCCACTCTCCCAAAATACCCCACAACAGGACACAACAGCCCAGAGAGGCCTCACACACACCAAGGCACACGTGCTGTGTGTGTTTGTGGATCTCCACAGGTTAAACTCACCTTCCAAACTGCACATATCTGATTCAGTTGTCATTTAACCCACTCTGACACTCATTTCCTTTCCTGCTCCCCGTTTTTCACCCTCTCATACTTGTAGAGGGGTTATTTCCACCTCAGCACAACACTTTGCACCATCCTTTCAAAGCCACTTATCCCTGACAGATACTTCTCTCCTGCTCAGACCACTGGGATTCTTATCAGTCTTCATGGAGCCTGAATCCCATCCGACTGGGAGGTACCAGCTGCCAGCTCAATCTGCATTCTCCAGATCCTATTTTCAGAATCATACAGGACTTTGCCAAGCAGTGTCTGAGGAGATCCATGACCTGGCTTACTTACATATGTCCTTCAAAACAACAGAACCGCTGCTTTTTATGATTTCTTTTTTTATTAGTTTTTTTTATTTCTCCAGGCAATGACACACCAGGAAAAGCTTTTTTTTTTTGGTGCACTTGACTTTTGCACTGAGGTCACAGCTGAAGTAGGATTTACTCTTTGGACAACAGCAAGCAAAAACCTCCTTCACTTTCCCTATGTAAATATTATCCAAGTCCACTTAAAAATGTTTAGAGGTTTATAAAAAAACACAAAGACAACAAGACTTCTTCTAAATGTAGGAATGTTTTCTGTGGAGCCAGCAGTTCCAGCTCCTCCCAAACCTCAAACACTAAAGAGTGCCTCAGTGGTGCTTCATCTTCAAAACACCTGGGAACATCTGGCCAGCTGTTCTTCCACAGGCACCACTCCTTGGGGATTTTCTTTCCACCTCTCCCTCCCCTGCTTTCAGTCTTCAAACCTGCTGGGTTCTCCTGCTGTGCTGGTGCAGGAAGAGATGACCAATAATCATGGCAAGAGAAGCAAATTCCTCTGTGTGTATTGCTCACCTGGAATATTTGGATAACATTAAACCTGGCCACAGCAGCTGATGAAGTTTCCTTTGGTGTTTCACTGGGGATGCTGGATGTTGATCAGGTTACCGAGCTCTCCCACAGAAATATTTCCTAGAAAATTCTTACACCCCTTGCTGAAATCCAGACCTATGCTGTAAGTGTTTCCTGTCTAGACTCTCCCAATTCCTTCTGCCCTTCCTAAAGCCTAATTTGTCTGCAAGACAACAGCTCCCCTTGTTCTACAAGGAGGACTGTCACACGTGTGCACTGGTACTGTCACAACATGCTCTGCACCTCAGAGCTTTCTCAAAGGAGAAGGAGGGTAAAGCTCAGTTATCTGCAGAAAAATGAACCTCCTGGGGGTCACTGGCCCTGAGTCACTCCTTTCCACCCATGGCATGCTGAGCCCACTCACTTCCTCCCCATCTTACCAGCTCTGCTTGCTCAGCTGACTCCATGGGAAGCTTCTCTCTGGAGACATCACTGCCTTTACATCTGGCCACCAAAGGGAACTGTGAAATGCACATTCTTACCTTTTTTTATATATATTTAGCTTGTGAAATAATAATGATCAAGACATGCAGGAACTCTAAAGCCATGATCCTCATTTCTTTTTTCCAAAAGCAAGGCAACATTAATTAACTTGACTGAAATGTCTTTTCTCTCTTTCCCTTTCACATGGAGGAAATAAATAACCACAAACCCACTCTTTGCTGAATGGTTGTCCCAGATTTGTTGCAATATGGGTGAGGCAGTGCTGTGTCTTCCGTGATCTGAACAAAAGATTTATCTTAACCAAACACCCTATCTCCCCAGAAATTTAAACCCAAGCATTTAGACACTTTAGGAATTGTGGTCAAGCCTGGCTGGAACATCCTGGTGTGCGTGTGACACCAAGTATCAAGAAAGAGATGGAGTAGCACAAAGCAGCCTCTGCCTGTGATTTTTTTTAATCCATATAATCAAATCTTGAAAGCTTCTATGGACACCAACAGGAGGGGAAAAGCCATACACACAAATCCCTTAAGGCTACACACCACTGTGTGATTATGGTCATTCAGGAATTTTCAGATAATAGTCTCTGGTAACACTCCACTTGTGCCTTACATCCCTATGTGTGTCAAAAGCACATTATAACCCAAGAGCTGGAGGTTTCTGCCCTCTCCTTCACACTCGTACTCAGGCAAGGGAGGTTTATTATATTTCATTAAAGGTTTGGCATTAATAGCTGGGACAAAGGGTTCCAAAGGCAAAGAGGAACACTACCATCCACCATCAGAAATGGCACCAGTGTTTATTACAGGCAGGAACAAGAATCTTATCCCTAAAACACCAAGCGCCTGACATCTCAGAGATGCATAATTCCAGACATCACTCCTGGGCCTCCAGTCAGGCAGTTCCCAATGTGCTGCACCACCTCTCAAAGCTGACTTTCACCTCACACAGCTCACACACCCTCCAGCAACAACACAGCAAGTGAGAGGAAGAGATTCCAGCACAGAATCCCTCAGGGAGAGGCACACACCACATAAGCACTGTCCTCAGCACGAAGCACCCGTATCAAGTTGTATATTGCTCAGCTGGGAAGACCTGACTATAAAAACATGCATTAATGACAAACACAAGTTTTACACAGTGCATGTGTCCCTTCAAGAGGGGGAAACAATGACAGAGGAGACATTTCTGCCTGTCATGTATGTACAGCCTGGAATCAGCACCATAAGAGCCCATAAGCAGAACCATCTCAATTCATAAACAATCCCTAAGGACAGCACGGGACCAAGTCCTTAAGAGCCACGCAGAACGATGGCACTGAGTCCTGTCATCCCTCCCTGGGGACAGCAGCCCGGGCAGCTGTGCCCCATAACCGAGCTCCTGGATGGCCAAGGCCACCTGCAGTGACCGGGCAGCCCCAAATCCCTGGGGCTTTGCTGGGGCAGGAGCCGGGCGGAGATCCCGGGAGGATGGAGGAGCAAAGAACTCGGGCAGGTGTGCCGGGACCCGAGGCCTCTGCCAAAATCAGCTCCTCTGGAGCTCCATGGGCCCGGCACCGGAGCCCCGCTGTGCCGGGATCAGCTCCCTGTCTGCAGCTCCATGGGCCCGGCACCGGAGTCTCACTGTGCCGGGATCAGCTCCCTGTCTGCAGCTCCATGGGCCCGGCACCGGAGTCTCACTGTGCCGGGATCAGCTCCCTGTCTGCAGCTCCATGGGCCCGGCACCGGAGCCCCGTTATCAGCTCCCCATCCGGAGCTCCATGGGCCCGGCACCGGAGCCCCGCCTGGCCCTCCGCAGCATCCCTGAGCACCGGCGATGCTGGGCAAGGCACAGGTGGTGCTGGCACCCACAGACCCGCCTGCTGTGGGTGGCACCGGCCACCCCCGGGCACCGCCGCGGGGCACACGGGGCCACGCTCTGGCCGAGCTCCGGAGGGCTCTGCCCCACCGGACCCCTTCGAGGGCAGGGGAAGGGTGACAAGGGAGGGCCCGACCCTCCGGAGGGGACGGGGAAGGGGGAACGGCGCTGTCCGGGAAAGGGAATGGGGGCCGAGCGGGCTGCGGGCGGCAGGCCCGGCCCGGCCCCGCGCACTCACCCGCGGGCTGCCCGGGCGCGGCCGGCGGCGGCAGGATGAAGATGATGAAGATGAGGAAGACGAGGAGGCGACAGAGGCAGCTCCAGGCCCGGGCCATGACACCCCCTGGCCACATCGCCCCTCCCGTGGGGCGCTGGGTCCGGCCGGCGGCCCCGCGGCCTTATGGAGCCGGGCCGGGGCCTGCGCTGCGCCGCCCCGGGGCGGAGCCGTGAGCCCGACCGACCGCCCCGGGCCCGGCCGACCGCCCGCCCCACGGCCTGGCACCGCCCCGGGACCCAGCACCGGCCCGGGCATCGGCACCGCCCCGGGACCAAGCACCGGCCCGGGCATCGGCACCGCCCGGGCACGGCTCCGGGACCCAGCACGGACCGTGGAATATCCTGAGCTGGAAAGGATCGTCAATTCCGCCTCCCGGCCCTGCACAAACACCCCAACAATCCCACCCTGGGCATCCTTGGGAGCGTTGTCCAAACCCTCCTGGAGCTCTGTGACCCTTCCCTCGGGAGCCTGTTCAGTGCCCCACCAGCCCTCTAGGGAAAGAACCTTTTCATAATGTGGTGGAAGCACAAGAGAACACCATGTCAGGCCCTGCCTGGGCAATACCACAGGTACAGGTGAGCACGAGAAACTCCCCAGAATGAGAAGGTATCACAGGCTTTGCCCTCCTCTACAAGCACCAGGCACACTGCCCTGCTCCACCAATCACCTGTGGAAAACCTGCCAGGGCAACTTCGGAGCTCTGCATCATCCTCCAGACAAACCAGGAACGAACACCTGATAAATCCATCACATCAGGAACAAGTAATGGCAAAGCGGAGTCAATTTACTGGGGAAAAGAGCACAAATACACCCGAACCTAGGCTGCCTCCCATTCCCACAGGGCAGGATGGCACTGGGGAGACCCGCGCAGCACTACGGCCAGCTCGGACTGGATCAGTCGCTGAGGCGCCGCGCTGCCCGTTACCGGCAACGCAGAGCCCTGAGAGCCCTTCTCTGGTGCTAAGGCGCCCGCTCTTTGGGCGAGCGCGGCGGGCGCCCCCCGAGGGAGGGGTCCCGGGGTCCCAGAGTCCCGGCTGGGCCCCGTTTGAGGCAGTTCGGTCCCGAGCGCCGCGCGCGGCGGCAGGCGACACGCGCCGCATCAACGCCCCGCCCCTCGCCTTCTCCCATTGGCCGCCAGCCCTCTCGGCAGCCAATCAGCTCCTCGTCCGGCGCGCACTCCCTCCGCCGCGCCCTTCGCTATCGCTTCCGCAGCTTTTTCCGCTTCGCTCTGACCGGCTCCGAGCGGCGGGCGACCATTGGCTGCGGGAACGCGGCGGCGGGCGCCTATTGGCTGCAGGTGCGGGGCGACGGGCGCCCATTGGCTGCGGGCCGTGCGGCCCGAGGCCGAGCGGCGCGGCGGTGCCGCCATGGCGCCGCCCGTGGGGTACGCGCTGCTGTGCGGGCAGGCCGCGCTCCTGCTCGGGAACCTGCTGCTGCTGCACGGCCGCGACCTGCCGGGCAACGACACCGAGCCCCGGGAGCTGCCGCCGGGGCCGCCCGCCTCCGCCTGGGCTTACAGCGATCCGCGGGCGCCGCTTGTCCTCTGCACCTACCTGTGAGCACCGGGCCGGGGCGGGAAGGAGCGCGGCCTCCCCGCCTCCCTCACCAGCCGCTCCTTCCCCGCAGCCCCGATGAGTTCGTGGAGTGCGATGAGCCGGTGGACCACGGCGGGAACGCCACGGCACAGCAGGAGCTGGGCCACGGCTGCGTGAAGGTGAGGGCGGGGCGGGGGCGGCCCCGGTGCCGGTGCCCGCCGGGCCCCGGTGAGCGCTGAGCGCTGCCCCCGCCGCAGTTCGGCGGCCAGGCCCACGGCGAGGTGGATCACACGCGAGTGCTGTGCCGGGCGCTGGACGGCATCGAGTGCGCCGAGCCGCGGAGCTTCCTGCGGGGCAGCCGGCCCTGCGTCAAGTAGGAGAGTCCCGGTCCCCCCTGCACCACCGGACCGAGCTCCCCCGGGCGCACGGCTGGTCCGGCGGGGAGCGCTGACACCCGCTGACCCTGCCCCGTCTTCTCTCGCAGGTACACCGGACACTACTTCATCACCACGCTGCTCTACTCCTTCTTCCTGGGCTGCTTCGGAGTGGATCGGTTCTGCCTGGGCCACACCGGCACCGCCGTGGGGAAGCTGCTGACCCTCGGGGGCCTGGGCATCTGGTGGTTTGTGGATCTGATTCTGCTCATCACCGGGGGGCTGATGCCCAGTGATGGCAGCAACTGGTGCACGGTGTACTGAGGAGGGGCAGGGCTGGCACCAGCTGCAGCCCCTGGGTGCCTCTGCTTGTTCCCAGCATCAGCCTGGCACAAACTGGACTTACAGAACTCAGGGTGCACAGTTACTCTTGATAATGACTCTGTACCAACTTTGGACACAAAGTTATTCAGGATATATTTTGCTTGTTTAAAATAATCTGCCTTCCCACTGCAAATAGTGACAGCTTCAGAAATCAGAGCTTGCAAACACAGGGGGGCCAAACAAACAAACAATAAAATCTGGAAGAAGCTGACTGCACGTACTTTGGGGATTAGTAGGTCACAGCCACACAGAGATGAAGGCCATGGGGTCATGGGCCACCTGACACCTGGGAGCAGGGAGCAGAGGTGCCATTTTGCAGCTCCTCTTTGTGTGCCAGGCACCCTTTGGGTGCTCCAGCCCCAGCACAGGGCACCTGCAGCACACAAAGGGTGCAAGAACCTCACACCCGAAAGAGGAAGCTCCACCAGCTGCAGGTTAAAAACTTAGCAAGCTGAATAAAATGGGAAAAGGAAGCTGCAACAAGTCCCAGCCAGAGCCAGACACAAAATCTGTGTATGCAAATGTCCAGTCACGTTTGAAATAAAACAGCAAAAACACAGTTTGGCAGCTTAAACTGGGGGGGCAGGGGGCAGCTTTGTCCTGAAAATGCCATTCCTCAGCAGAACAACAGGGCTGGAAAGGCCATGGAGGGGAAAAAGTTCTGCAGTGACCCAGAAAGAAAAACAAAATAAAAAATAACATGCAAAAAGCTCACTATCATTAACAGCTCCTGTGTCTCCAGCCCCCCACTGCCAGCTCACAGCCAGACCTTGGTCCAGCAGCTTCCCTCCTCCCCAGGGAACATTTGGGACCTTGGTTCAGAAGGAATTGTGATGTCCCTGCCCTCACCATGCACTGTTCCTGGTGGGGACAGCATGACCCAAAACACACAGTGCAAATGGACATAACTGGGATTTCCTTCTTTATTTAAAAACACAGAGAAAGGGCATTGCAGCATGTACAGGCAGGGGGTGGGAGGCAGGGAGCCCCAGCCCTAAGAGCACTTGGAATCCTCAGCCAGCACTTCCAGAAACATTTGGAACCACGTGGGAATAGCAAACCCACTCTGCCCCCCACAAGGCACCCCAATAAAGCCCCACAGCACAGGATTCAGGAGGGAGCAGCTCTGAGGGGATACCAGGAGCAAACACAGAGCTGAGGGGAAACCAGTTTGCTTTAAAATAACCACAAAGCTCCATCGAGGTCTGGCTGCACCCACCCAGCCCTCTGGAACAGGAGGGAAATCCCTCCCTCCCACCACCACCTGTGCTCTGGATGGCTCTGCAGCCCAGCTGAGCTCCACACTTGTTTGAGCCTCATCTTCAGCCTCTCTGCTGTCCTGGGGATGCAGGAGGGTGGGAACCAGCAAGAGGAATGTTGCAATATTGCTGGTAGTTTCTGCTCCTGGATAATTACCTTAATTGTGCAACAAGCCTCTGCTTTACCTTCCCAGGCCTGAGGAAACTGTGCAATTATCAAGCACCAGGAATTCTCAGGAGTCTGTGGTTCCATCGTCCCTCTGCATTCCCTGCTCTCCAAAACTGAGATCAGAACGCTGCAACTCTGATGGATGGGCTTGCCAAACTGCTAAAACATTCTTGAAACAGTGTTAGGAGCCAAACAGCAAGTCAGCCTAAAAAAATGAACATTTCAAACACTAGTGCAAATAAAGCAAAAAGGAGCAGGAAAAGGAACAGCAGGATCTAGGGAGCTACAATTAAATAACATTAACACTCGCCCCTGTACCGTTTGCATTGATTCCCACCCATTTTCATGGTGTCTGTGTTCTTTAGCACACAATCCCCTTTAGGATTCTCTTCCCCCTGAACTTGGGGGACCCCATTCCTGCCTCCCCCAGCAGCAGGGAGGCACCTGTGCTGTGCCCATCCCACAGCAGCCCCAGGGGACCGAGGCAGGAAGGTACAACTGGCATCACATTGAGGTCAGTCAGGCAAATCAAGGCTCAGGCACAGCTGTCAAACAGCTGGAGGCCCCAAAAGGGCTGGCACAAACCAGATGTTCTGCTGCTGGGGAACACACTGGGCTGAGCAGCAGAGCAGAGGACGTGTCACAGCCAGGGAAGTGAAAGGGGAGCTGAGTGCTCGCTTGGCACACAGGGATTGCACACACTCGTGGGGTGAAGGTATCAGATCTCAGCCAAGGATTTTCTACACACTATTTATCACACCTACAGGAGCTCATTTGGTTATGGAAATGACAATTCACATTGCTCTAGAAACTCCTGCTGCTTTCCATCTCGGGCAGGCAGTGGGGGAGTTGGCCGGCCAAGTGTGCCCAGCTCCATCAGGGCTGCTTTTCATTGCTTTTTACCAAAAGCCCTTCACCATCTGGCACAGCTACCTGTGCCCAGGTGTGTGTAGTGCAAAACCAACATCACACCTGAGGATGCTCCCACCTGGGAGCTACTGTTGCTCCGGCTGCCTGCCCTGGCTCATGCTCAGCAAGTACCAAAAGCCTTTGGAGGGGTTGAGCACCTGCCCAGGCTAGGATTCAACAGCAGCCACAGGTATAAAAAGACATCATTAAAAGCCAGCAGATTGCTGATAAACCCTTGTGTGGGCAGTGGGAAGATCCAGTCTCTGAGGGAATAAGTCACTGTAAGGGGAAGCTGCAGTGAGTCCCCTGTGTGGGCAGCTGCAAGCTGGTGGCTCCCAGCTCTGCCCTGGGGAATCTGAGCAGCAGAAAAGGGGAGAGAAACATTTTACAAACACAAGAAAGGCCACACTCCCCGTGTCATGCCTTCAAAACCTCCTGCCACTTCCTCCAGACCTGGTTTGTGGGGGAAACAATGCAATTGCAGAAGATGTCCTCTCATACAGGTCCCCAGCATCTCCTGCCCTGCACAGCGAGCACCAGAAGCACCTTCCAAACATGGAACCACCGGGGCCAGGCCTGGGCAGGAGCAGCCAGGGACCCTGAGCCCCACAGAGCAGGGCACCAGGACGTGGGTGCAGACAGATCCTGCATGGCAGGGAAGGGCTGTGCTGGAGGGAAAGGAGCACTTTGTGTGCCCCAAACAGACCCTGGGGAGGCTCAGTGCCCACTCAGACATCCGAGGTCCGGATGCTTTCATCGTCCAGGTCGAAGGCGAACGGTTTCTCCTTGAGGGGCTGCGGCTCGGAGCGGTGCCTCAGGCGCGTGCCGGGCCCGGCCTGGCACTGCCGCTCCATCAGCAGCACCGAGGAGTCCCTGAGCGGGGCTGGCAGCGCCCCCAGCCCCGGCTGCTGCCCCTCGGCCCGCGGCACCGGCGTCCAGGGCTGCCAGGAGCTCGTGGAGGGCGCCCTGCACGACGATCGCCGCTCCTCCGCCGACGGCCGCGGCTGTGAGGGGCCTGAGGAGCCGCCGGGCCTGGCCACGGAGGTGGATCTCATAAAGGACATCTCCTGCAGGGACAGGATTCATTTATTAATCCACTAAATAAATATCTTGCATGTTGGCATAATCTCCGTTTGACAGTAGATGTGAAATTGAAAGTCTGTCACCTACCCTGGGGCGGGTTTTCAGGGCCTGCACGGCGGCTGTGATTGCGCGGATCCAGCTGTGCATCTCCTCGGGGCTGTCTGCCTGCAAACACAGCAGCCGCAGTGAGGGTCAGCTGTCCTGGCATTGCCAAAGTTCAGCTCTGCTCCCACAAACAGCTTCTATTATAAATAATCCCAGAGGAGAAGAAAATCCGCCACAATTCTCCCTCATACTCGTGTGTTACAGCCCCATCTGCTCGTGTTCACTGGTGAAGGGCTGAACTTTCTGCCCCAAAAATTATCCCAGCCTCAGCTGCTCACCTAGATGTAAAAGGTCCTGGAGCTCGTTATGATTTCCCACAAACAACCTCTATTATAAATAATCCCAAGGGAGAAGAAAATCCCCCACAATTCTCCCTCATACTCATGTGTTATAGCCCCTTCTGCTCGTGTTCACTGGTGTTCACTCATTTCTTAAGAGCTGAACTTTCTGCCCCAAAAATTAACCCGGCCTCAGCTGCTCACCTGGATGTAAAAGGTCCTGGAGCTCGTTATGATTTCAAAAAGATTATCTCGCATCAGGAGGTCACTAGAAACAGTGAGAAAGAGACAGTCACATCCCAGCAGCCATCGTGGACAGAAAAATCCCTGTATTTATCTTCAAATCTGGAGTGTGCTAGCAAGGAACATATTGAAGGCAAACCTTGGATCTCATTGGGATCTTTTTAGCTTTCTGTATGTATCCTTTCTCTATTCTTTAGTATAGTTTTTAGCCTTAGTTTTTCTTTATTATTCATTATCTTTTTAGCCTTCTGTAAGTATCCCTTCTCTATTCTTTAGTTTAGTTTTAGTATAGCAGAATAGAATGGAATAGAATGGAATAGAATGGAATAGAATAATAAATCAGCCTTTTAAGAACATGGAATCAGATTAATTTCCTGCCTCCTCAGACAGGGGACCTTGAAAATACCCCACACGAGCAGCTGGAGCAGCCCAAACTCCCTCTGGCAGGGCAGGGAAACAGGGGTGGGAGCATTACCCAGACTTGACCAGGCACTCGTGGGTCTTGCAAACATCCTTCAAGAGAATCGAACGCAAAGGCTCCTTGTCCTGCAGAGGTGAGAGGAGACAGTGCTGGGCTTGGCTGGCCCAGAGCTGGCATGTGCATCCCCCAGAGGAGGAGGAGGAGGTGCCAGAGCCCTGCTGGGGTCCTGGGGGAGCTGCTCACCTGCTCACACTTGTAGTAACTGATGGAAAACTCATCCAGAACAAAGTAGCGCCGCTTCCAGCTCTTCCTCTGGAAAAGAGCAGGAGATTGAGTGCTCCGCCCTGCCACTCTATGGATGTCCTCCACCCAGAGCAGCCCCAGAACACCCCCAGCCCATGCCTGGCACTCACCACGTTGCCCTGCTTGACACAGAAGCCGCTCTTGAGCGGCGCTGGCCCAGCTGGGGGCTTGCTGGCCGAGGGGGGGATGTAGCTCTGTGAGCGCCTCAGCAGAGGGTGTGTGCCCACCTCGCTGCCCTCCCCGTCCTGCAGAGAGAGAACACAGCACCATCAGCAGGGAGGCACCCAGGACAGCCAGGGAAAAGCCACCTGACAAGCCCTGAGTGAAGAGTGTGAGCCAAGGGCTCGTGGCAGTGCTGGACACGGGCAGGGAATGAGCCCAGAGTGATGTTCTGTCATTGTGTGCAGCTCCCTGGTGCTATTCCCCCTTCTGCAACCACGTGTTTAAAAAAAGAAATGAGAAGGGCTGCAGAGAAGCAATTTGAGGGCTGAAGACAATCCCCTGCAGCAGGGGAGTTAACAGAGCCCACCTGCCTGGCTCAGAGGTGAGTCAACTGCACCACTGAAGGTATGAGGAGAACAAGAACCACCAGACAAACACAAGCTGGAAAGGAATGCTTTAGAGAAGGCAGTATACCACAGGAATAAATTTCTCAGAAAAGCCATTAAGTCTCTGATTCTCATTTTCAGAGCCAAGTTCTCCCAAAGACACTTGGGTGTTAGGAGCTCAGGAAGGGAAGCTGTCCCTCCCAAGTGCAGTGAGCTCAAAGGGGCTGTGGTCATGACCACATGCCCAGCACCCAGCCCTGGCTCCCCTGAGCACACCCCAGTGCACCCCAAAGGCCAGACCCACCCCAGCAGCACCCTCCCTTCTCCCCAGCAGCACAGAGGATGGCTGAAATGAACCATCTTCTGCACTCAGCTTCTTCCCCATCCCTGAGCCCTTCCTCCCTGGGCTGAGGTTTGAGCATTGCCATGGCAGCCCTGCCAGCCTTATATGGCCCCACAGCGGGGACTGTGGTTTGGGTGAACCTGCCCGCCCAGCACCTTCCTCAGCTGCTTTTTGGACACAGCAGCAGCTTCTTGTCTGGCCTCAAAGTGCTGCCCAGCCCTGCAGAGAGCTGGAGCACCTCGATGGGGATGCCACCCACACCCAGCTCTGCCGGGCATTGCACAGGGGGTGTCCAGAGCAGAGGTGGGGACACTTCCCCAGAGTGGGGACACTCTTGCAGCCAGGAGTGTCACACACCCCGGGGCTGGGGTGATGCTCCTGAGCGTGGGACTCCCCTCTGCAGCCAGGAAACCACAGACACACCCAGGAAGCTGCAGCAGGGGAATGGCCATTTCACACGGTGGGGGAAGCAGCAAGAGCACGGAAATACTCTGGCAGCTGATGCACTGTCGCAGACATCTTTTTATGAAAAGCCTTTCCTTAGGATTTTTTCCTCCTGAGAAGCTGAGAGGCCTCAGAAACAAAATGTATAAAATTATTGTCTGGTGCTGTGGAATGCAACAGGTGGATCTGTGATTGGTCTCATGTGGATGTTTGTAATTAATGGCCAATCACAGTCAGCTGGCTCAGACAGCCGAGCAACAAACCTTTATTATCATTATTTGCTATTCTATTCTTAGCCAGCCTTCTGTTGAAACCTTTTCTTCTATTCTTTTAGCATAGTTTTAATGTAACATATATCATAAAATAATAAATCAAGCCTTCTGAAACATGGAGTCAAATCCTCATCTCTTCCCTCAACCTGAGACCCCTGTGAACACCGTCACAATGCACCACCTCCAAAAAACCCCTCTGCAACCCACAGCCCTCTGTACACCTCCTGCTGAACCCTGTGGTCAGGGAAGTGTTAAAAGCATCTGCCAGCAGAAACTGCTGCAATGATCTAATTCTCCTCTCTATTTTTAGTGCTGCCACTGATAAGAGCTGAAGTGAGACCCAGAGCTGGACAAGTGCCCAAGCATGGGAGATGCTGATGGCCACGTGCACGCCCAGCTGCGTGCCAGGGAAGGGATGCAGAGCCACAGCAAGAGGTGCCACCAGCCCTGGGACAGTCCCTGTGGCTGCTGTGGTGGAGACACCAGGCCCTGGGTACCTAAAGAGGATTTACACCCAAGACACGTGGGTGGGTGGTGATGGCCAGGAAGCTGAGCAGATTCATGACCTCCTCCTCCTCCTCACACGCCCTCATCTCATCACTTTTCGGAGTGAGAAAAAGCAGAGGGGTTCAGGGTGCTCAGAGCAGCCATTCATACCTGCAGATGAAAGGGTTTGCAGCACACTGTTTCCAGGAATGAAAGTGCACACCAGCTCACCTGGTTGATGGAGATGGGCGTGTGGACCACCACCCCTCCAACAATCTCAGTTTTGTAGGCCACCTGGGGCTTCCTCTCCTGGGCCTGGGGCACCACTGGAGGCTTTGTGATCTCTGTGGCCGGCGGGACGCTGCCACCCTTTGGCACCTGTGGGAGAAAGGAAAGGATGAGGGGCACAGGGTGACCGTGCTGGGCACCCCATCTCTGCCTAATGCAGCCACATCCCTTCAGAAAACAGCTCTTGACACAGCACCCCAGTTAGGGAGGGTGTGGAACCCCCCTGGGCAGCAGCAGCCACCCAGAGGAGAGATGAGAGGAGCTCAGTGATTAAAGCATCCCTTCACAGGGATTCGCCTCTGCAGCTCAGTGAGTTTGTGGGACACTTGTGCTCCTTTAATTGTCCCCGCTCCATTTACAGCCAGGCTTAATGAGGAGCTGGGGCTGGCTAACGAGGCTGAGCCAGGCATTGCTGTGACCCCAGAGCTGGCCCCACACCCCTGGGCAGAGGCTGGGCTGCACCAACACAGCTCCCACACTGCCACCCTCCCCTCTCCTTCCCTTGGCACCTAGAAAGGGCATTTTCCATGTAAGTTTAATAAAAAGCAAAGAAAGCAAATGCAGTTTAGTAAAAAGCAATGAAAACCAGTTTCCCCTCCCATCCCTGCGCTTCAGCTGCCCTAATGCCACCCCGCAGTGCCTTCCCCCAGAGCAGGGCAGGGTGACAGCAGCACCACATCCCTGGATTTGCCAGCCAGGCAGGGACAGCTCCTCCCTGAAGGGCTGGACGAGCCGGTTGGCCAGCTGGGACACAGCCAGGGTGGGGAAGGGCTGGCCGAAATCAGGCCAGGGAAAGCACCACGGCTGCTTGCAGAAGCAGAAGATGCAGCTCATTATTCTCCTGTCAGCCCAGCAGAATCCCCCTGCCCCAGAGGCAGCCACCCTGGAGGATGCTGCTGACAGCACAGACAGACACAGAGCCCAGGCAGGCCCTGGCCACAGCTCTGGAGATGGAGTCTGTGGCCAAGAAAGAGAAGGCACGAGCCAGAGCAGTGTGGCAGTTGCAAGGATTGTCACACTTAATGTATTTGCAGACAAAGAAAGAAAATACAAGCTAGGTCTGATCTTGCAGATGAGTTTCCCACAGAGACTACACCATGGCACTCCAGGGATTTTAAAGAAAAAACCCATGGGTAAGCCCCAATCAAACTGTTTACATCACTTTTCCTCACATTTAATTCACACACCATAAACAGCACGCATCAGTGCATGACCTAATAAAACTCTGCTCACATTATGCATTGGCCCTCTGTGGTATTCACATGCCCTCTGAACAGAGAGGAGCTGTGAGACAAGCAGAGAAGGAAAATACAATTCTGATCTTGCTTGCTGTGCTAAAGTAGAATGCATTATGGAGATTGTTTACCCAAAGTGAGGATGTTTGGTTGCCTTGGCCTGTCAGGGCCAGGTGTGTGTGTGTGGGACAGTCATGAGAGAATCAGAGATGAGTGTGAGCAGTTGTGAGCAAGAGTGAGTGCAGGGCAGATTCAGTTCAGATACAATGTACACTGTCACAGACATCTTTTATAGAAAATCCTTTTTTTAGGATTTTTCCCCCTGAGAAGCTGGGAGGCCTCAGGAACAAAATGTAAACAATGGTTATCTGCTGCTGTGGAATGCAACAGGTGCATCTGTGATTGGGCTCATGTGGTTGTTTCTAATTAATGGCCAATCACAGTCAGCTGGCTCGGACAGAGAGCCGAACCACAAACCTTTGTTATCATTCTTTCCTATTCTATTCTTAGCCAGCCTTCTGATGAAACCTTTTCTTCTATTCTTTTAGTATATCATAAAACTACCACTTTATGATATATATATCATAAAATAATAAATCAAGCCTTCTGAAACATGGAGTCAGATCCTCATCTCTTCCTTCATCCTCAGACCCCTGTGAACACCATCACATTACATAATATAGTACAATAAAGTAATTAATTAGCCTTCTGATGATGAGGTCAGATGCATCATTCTCCCCCCTTTGTAAGAGTCACCTTTGATTTACAATACCCCACTGCTCACTGCAGGTGAGCCCCCAGAAGAAGCCCCCAGCCCTTTCCCAGGGACCCCCCATATACAGGCAGAAGCCATCCAGGTCTCATTTTCCTGCCAGCCCATGCCCTGGTGGTGCCCAGGAGGGAGCAGGGCACATCCCACGCTGCCAGGAGCAGCAGGCACCGGGTCAGTGCCCATCAGCTCACGGCCCTGTGAGCACAGCAGCACAGCACAGCACAGGAGATGGCAGATGAAGCCCTCTGGATGTGCCCCACAGCGATTCGCTGCCTCGCCACAAGAGCTGGCATTCCAGGGAGAATAAAAACTGAATAAATAAGTTACTGAAGCACAATAAAGCCGGATCCCAGCCAGCAGCAGCAACGGGAGGAGGAGGAGGAGGAGGGCCTGGATGGCTCCCACAGGACCTTCCTGGGGCACAGCTGGGCTGGGAGGGTGAAGGAAGAGAAATAAAGCTCAGCCATAAGGATCCCTGGGGATGCTGGAGGGAACAATTGAGAGGAGCATGAAGTAACCCACCGTGATCTTACTGGCCCTGTTCAGCGCCTCCACCCAGTCCTGCAGGTCCTTCTGGTCACTGGCTTGCAAGAAATAGCGCTGGGAGAGGGCGTTGATGACTGCCAGAGAGGGAAGGACAAGGAGAGGAGCATTCAGGAGGGTTCATGGGCACCCACGCTGCAGATTCCTGTGGGAGATTGTCCCCCCCACTGAGCCCACCGAGATCCTCACTCACCAAAGCAGAACGGAGTTTTGGGCTTCTGTTTTGGGGTGGCAATGCTAACCTGTGACAGAGCAAATCAGGGAAAAAAAATCAGAGAAGGGAGAAAAATTAGAGATAACAGCACATGCTAATGGTGGGCAGAAAAGCTGGGAGTTTCTACCCATTCATCCCACTCCCTGCCTGGGCTCTGCCAGCGCAGCCAGGACCCCTAAACAGGACCCCACACACATGGGGGCAGCTGGAGCTGCAGCACAGCTGTGCCGGCTGAGGGAACTGGCCCGTGTCACAGCGCATGCAGCAGCACAGGGTGCTGGCTCCCAGGGGAAGGTCAGCACTGAGCCAGGACTTTCATGCCCTGACCCCCTCAGGCGCCAGCTGAGCTGCACAGCAGAGGACAGAAAGCTTTCAAAGGACCTGAAAACATCCTCCATTCTCCTGGATTAACACAGTCCCTCTCATCAGCAATTAAGGGAATTGAGGGGAAATAGTGGTGGTTTTTCCCTGAAGAGTAGGAATCGTTTATATAAGAATAATATTCCTTGAGGCTCCACAAACAACATTCGTGGAGTATTTATTCTGACAGTCCTCCTCCTTCAAAGCCAGTCCATAATGCTTTAAATATGTTTTCTCAAGCAAACCTCCCTTTTTCTGGTGTATTTACTGTTGGTACTTCCAGCCACTGACAGAACCCAACCCCGCAGTTTGTGACCAAATGCTGTCCTGCAGCAATTTCCATTTAAACTAAAACCTATGTAATTTGTGAGGCTCTCTCCAAAATGGGGAAGGCTCGGCCTCCCAGCATTGCTTCATCTGCGCTTAATTTATAAATCATGATTCAGCAGGAACAGGAAGATCTGTCCAAGGCTATATCCAGCTCCAGGATAAAGCAGCCACCAGCCCCCAGCAGCTGAGGGGCCACTTGCAGGAAGAGGAGGAGGAGGAGGATGGTGGCAGCTCCTCTCTCCACACACAGCCACAGCTCTGCCTTATTGCACTGCTCCTGCCTTCCCAAGGAGGCTGGAGAACCCCCTTGAGACACACAGGTGACTTTGGAAGGTCTCATCCTTCAGGGCACTGCCCTCTGAAGCAGTGCTCAGCTGATTGCCCAGCTCACACTGACACCACAGTGTCCCCACACACCCCCTGTCCTTCCTCACAGCAGAGCAGTTCCTCTTCCTCCTCAGCCCAGCCTTGCGCCCTGTCCTGTGCCACTCCAGGATCTTCGTGCTGCTTCCCACAGCCCTGCCCAGCTCCATCCCAGGGAGATGCACCAGGAGCTGGCCTTGGGTGCTTCCAGGGCAAGCAATTCTCTGTCCTGGGAATGGCACAGGGATAAGGGGAAAACAGGGAGCACTCACCCTCCCTGTGCCCCACCCCAACATTACCTTGGAGATGTAGGTCAGCTGCAGAGATCCCACAGCACCTGCTCCGATGGCCAGGTTCTGCAACACACAGGAGGAGCAGTGGGAGGTAAATGACAGGGAGAAGGTGGCAGGGGCAATCCAGCCTGTCGTGTGTGCCCTTGGGCTCAGGCAGCAGCTGCCATCCTCAGCCACTTCCCTGCCCTGCACCTGCTTCAGCCCAGACCCCTCAGCAGAGGGAGCAGCCCTGCTGTGCTCCTTGGGACAGCCCTGGAAACCACAGAGGTCACTGAAGGGCTGGAGCCTGGTCATGAGAGACTCTGAGACAGCAGGGAGGGGCCTGGGGAGAGCTGGGGGAGATGCCTGCTGCAGGCAGGGATGTGTAGGAGTGTTGGGATGGATGGAGATAAGAGATCTCTGAAGCCAGGTCATGGAATTTGGGGTTTATTGCAAAGGGCCCTGCCGGGAGCTGCCACGCACAGCTCAGAGCAGGCCTGAGAGAAGAGAGGGGGAGAGGGGATGAGAAGGAAAGAGAGTAAAAGGGGTAAGAGACCGAAGTTCTCGTTCCAATACAATAAATCTTCTTCTGTGTTGAATATTTTGCTTCTCACTAACCAATCTAGTACAAGATACAAATCCTATAGCATTTATATACAGCCTATAAGAATCATTACATTACCACACTGTGTTACATTTTAAACCCTAAAAACTCCTCTTTGGGCCCCTTCTGCCAAGCTAGTGGGGTCTGCTCTGACTTTTGGAATTGTCTGCAAGCAGAGAGCCTTGTTTCATCAAAAAGAGATTACCTTCAGCCAGGCACAGCATTTTCTCATTGTTCAGTAACTGAGGGATCTCAAAGCTTGCTTTCATTTCAATCTCACTTATAGTTTCCATATTCTCAAAATCTTTTGCCAGGCAATCATATTTACAAGGCTTTCCTGTTCCATCTTCCCCAGCAGGGATGTGCCCACAGACTCAGTGCCAGCTTTAGGGACGTGCCCACCTGAGGATTGTCCATGTACCACAGGAGGTGGTTGGCCTGGGTGTCCAGGATGAAATACCTCCGCAGAAACTTGCCACAGGTCTCATTTTCCTCGATGTCCAGGAAGCCACAGATGCGGTTCTGTCGGTCCAGGTACGGCATGCCGGGCTCCTTCTGGCATCACCCTGTGATGGATGGGGGCAGGCAGGGCCAGGTGGGTGCTCTGCTCCCCAGGGAGCTGCCCCAACATCCCCCCAACCTGTCCCAGGTGTTCCACAGCCACTCAGCCACAGCTGAGCTCTCTGGAGGGACATGGGAGGAACAACACCCAAGCCACCACTCCCAGAGCCACCAAACCCCATGAGCGAGGCCAGAGCAGCCACAAAGGATGTGCCACGAGACACCAGAACCCTGAGAGCTGTGCTGAGCAACAATCCCAAAGCTGAGTGCTGGAGAGAGCCTGAGCACACTCCCAGGAAACGTGGAACAATCTGCAACTCCAGCAGAAAATCCCTGCAGCCAGGACGTCGAGTCAGCAGGGAAAGCAGTGACCCATCCCAGCAGGGCCACGCTGTGCCCCAGCTCTGCCAGGGGCATGGAGGGACCCTTCAAACCCCCAGGGGGTTGAAGGATGATGCAATGGGAGCATCATCATCATCATCACTTCCAGCTCTGCATGGGGAGCAGAACCAGCACTTCCCATCCAGGAGAGATCCTTCAAACCCCCTGGGCTGCAGTGGGAACATCATCATCATCGTCATCATCATTATCACTTCCAGCCCTGCATGGGGAGCAAAACCAGCATCCCAACCCAGGAGAGATCCTTCAAACCCCCTGGGCTGCAATGGGAACATCATCATCATCATCATCATCACTTCCAGCCCTGCATGGGGAGCAGAACCAGCACTTCCTATCCAGGAGAGATCCTTCAAACCCCTGGGCTGCAATGGGAACATCATCATCATCATCACTTCCAGCTCTGCATGGGGAGCAAAACCAGCATCCCAACCCAGGAGAGATCCTTCAAACCCCCTGGGCTGCAGTGGGAACATCATCATCATCATCATCATCATCATCACCATCACTTCCAGCCCTGCATGGGGAGCAGAACCAGCACCTCCCATCCAGGAGAGATCCTTCAAACCCCCTGGGCTGCAATGGGAACATCATTATCACATCCAGCGCTACATGGGGAGTAAAACCAGCACTCCCCATCCAAGAGAGATCCTTCAAACCCCCTGGGCTGCAATGGGAACACCATCATCACTTCCAGCCCTGCATGAGGAGCAGAACCAGCACCAAGGGGCCCAGGGGGGCAGGATGTGTCCCCCTGCCCAGGGCACAGGGTGGAGGGCAGGGATGAGAGCAGCCGTTACCCAAAGGATGTGAGCGAGCCCAGTGTGGTTTGTCTGGCAGGAGAGTGAGTGGTGATCACGCAGGTGCCAGAAGCAGAGCTGCACAAATAAAAGAACTCGTGCAGCAAAAGGAGGAAATACTATTTTTGAGCTGCAGTGGAGTGGGGCCCGGGGAGGTGAGGGTTGTGCAAGAGCTGGGGTGCAGCTGCAAAGGTAGAGGAGGCAGAAAACAACTCAACCTGCTGCTAGCACCACCATTTCAGAGATGGGTATCATGGGGACCGTGCTGCTGCAGGGGGAGAGATTGTTTTAAAGCAACAACAGTGCTCTGGCACAAGTGTTTCTGTGGGCACTTCAAGGCTCACTGCTTTTTTGTGGGGTGATTTTTGTGGTGGGGAAGCACATGGAAAGGCAATCCCTTCAACCATACCAACACGTTCAGAGCAAACCTCATAAACCCTTCCTTCTGCTGATAGCAAAGGTCTGGAGATTTCTGCTTAGGGGATGGATGAGTGAGGAGCAGAATGTGCCACAGGCAGCACAGAGATGAGCCCCCAGCCCCGTGGGACACCTCTTGGGGTCTCCATGTCCCATCCTTCATTACAATGGGCTCATCTGAGTCTCCATGTGCCCCCAGCACCATCCTTCATCACAAACTCATCCTTTCTGTGCACACTGACCTCAGGCTGCACTTGGAGATGCCCAAAGCTGTGGGCAGAGGGGACTGGGGTTGCCCCACACTCTGCACCAAGCCAGCCAGGTTCCTGTCCCCTCACATCCCACCACCCCCAGAACACAAATGGTCTCTTTGGAGCCACCCAGAACTGCACTTTTCCATATGAAAAGGATAAAAGTAGCATCTCCAGCTGTGCTAAGGAAATCCAGGAGGGGCAGAAAATTCTCAATTTCCCAGTGAAGCCTATCAGAGACTTCCAGCACTCTTTCTTACCTCTGAAGCAACTGACTTGCCAGCTTTTAAAATCACAATATCCCACCAAAAAAAAGACACCCCTTTCCTGACTCAGTGGCAAGGAATTGGACTGCAGAAGAAGATTTACAGCAAAACCACCCCCTTGTCAGCCTGAACCAAAGGGAAGTGCTCCCCAGGGAGAGGCAGGAGGTGCAGGGCACTGTCCGTGCAGCACCCAGGGGTGGCTCAGGAGATCCAGGAGGGTCAGAAAATGCTCAATTTCCCAGTGAAGCCTATCAGAGATTTGCCAGGACTCTCCTACTTCTGAAGCAACTGACTTGCCAGCTTTTAAAATCACAATATCCCACCAAAAAAAAGACACTTCTTTCCTGACTCAGTGGCAAGGAATTGGACCGCAGAAGAAGATTTACAGCAAAACCACCCCCTTGCCTGGCTGAACCAAAGGGAAGTGCTCCCCAGGGAGAGGCAGGAGGTGCAGGGCACTGTCCGTGCAGCACCCAGGGGTGGCTCAGAGGCCTCGTGTGCAGCCACCCAGCCAGACTTTCCAGGAAGCACCTCAGGATGTCCCTGCACGGTCACGGCTGCCTGTGCCCTGCTCTGAAAAACCCGAGGCCATGGCAGAGCCGGCATGTGGAGCATCACATCGCCTGGGCACCTCCCTCCGCAGCACCCAGCGCACCTGCGGGCAGCCGCAGCGTCCTCCTCCTCCTCCTCCTCTCTCACACCTGGATGAGCCTCCCTCCGTTCCGGGAGCTGCAGCAGCCCTTCCTCTCACCTGCGCTCGCAGAGCAGCTCCCACGCTGCGCTGTCTGTCCCGACCCACGACAGACAGACAGCAACTCGCTGCTACTAATTGCAGCTCTCTTTCTTCATGAAACCATCAGCCTGTCGGGAGGAGGCTCTTCATACACACAGCTCTTCATCAGCCACGCACAGAGGAGCTGCAAATCCCCACCACGAGCCTCCAACCCCACAGAGTTCGGGCGAGGATGGTCCTGCAGCATTCCCGGAGCTCCCACGGGGCAGAGCCCCCCTGGCTGCCCCCAGGGAGCCGCTGGCACCGCGAGGAACGATGTCCGTCCCGATCCACGACAGACAGACACCCAGCAACTCGCTGCTACTAATTGCAGCTCTTCGCCTTCATGAAACTATCAGCCCGTCGGGAGGAAGGCTGCATACAGCTCTTCATCAGCCACAAGGAGTGGGAGAACACACAGAAGCCCCAAACCCCTGATCCCCACAACACGCTTGGCTCCAATCCCACAGAGTTTGGGCGAGGATGGTCCTGCAGCGTTCCCGGAGCTCCCACAGGGCAGAGCCCCCCCTCGCTGCCCCCATCGAGCCCTGGCACCCGGAGGGCTCCGCTCCAGCCCCGGCACGGATGGTGCAGCTGCAGGGACAGGGACAGGGGGACCGGCGCTGTCCGGAGCCGCGGGGCTCGGACCCTCCAGGGAGGGTGGGGATGGGACATCGAGGGCTCCCAGCCCGGCCCCTGGGGTCTCCGGAGGCGGCTCTGAGGCCACGCGTGTCCCCCGGGTGTCACTTACCCCGCGGCGTCCCTGGGCTGCGCGCCCCGGGCGGGCGGGGGGCGGCGGGCGCTGCGAGGAGGACGGACGGACAGACGGACGGACAGACAGACGGACGGCCAGGAGGGAGGCGGAGGGGGTGTGCCCCTGGCTCCGCCGTCGCTTCTTTCCGGGTTAATTACGTCTGTCATTAGCAAACCCGGCCCCGGATGTGAGTGCGGGGCGGCTCCGCGGGGCGGGGGGTCGGTGTCCGTCTGTCCGTCCCACCGCCGTCTGTCTGTCCGCCTCCCTCCCGCGGGTCCGGGGGCTCAGCCGGTGGGAGCAGCCCGGTGCCAGCCTGTTGTGGATTCTCTGCGTCCCCCAGGCGGGGAATTCACCCCATTCCCAGTGGATCCCCCCAGACCCGGCACGAAACCGCTCGGGCTGGCACCGATGGAGATGAGCCGCCCCCTCGGCGATTCCTGCAAGGGCATCTCTTGGGGAAGCTGTTACAAGGTGGGTTTGGGAGCAGGAAACACCCCGGGGGAGCCCCACTTTCTCTCCGAAACTCCATCTGGCTCCGATGCGCTTTCTCCCGGCGCGGTGAAACCCATCGTGGTGCAGAAGAAATTTTACAGCGAAACCAAGGCAGCGCAGGGATCTCGCAGCCCCTGTCCGTGCCACGCCAGCCCCACCGCTACCTGCTCCCGGCATCCTGGAGCTCCCGAGCCCTCCCTGTCTCCCCATCCCTCCCTTTGCAAACACTAAACTGGTTTAGGGTTTCACACCCAGGCTCCTCTCGCAGCCCTCCAGGGTGGCACCAGAAGCCAAACTGTCACAGACATCTTTTTATGAAAATCCTTTTCTTGGGATTTTTCCTCCTGAGAAGCTGGGAGGCCTCAGGAACAAAATGCAAACAATGGTTATCTGCTGCTGTGGAATGAAACAGGTGCATCTGTGATTGGTCTCATGTGGTTGTTTCTAATTAATGGCCAATCACAGCCCAGCTGGCTCGGACAGAGAGTCCATTTGTTACCATTCTTTCTTTTTCTATTCTTAGCCAGCCTTCTGATGAGAACTTTTTCTTCTATTCTTTTAGTATAGTTTTAATAGAATATATATCATAAAATAATAAATCAAGCCTTCTGAAACATGGAGCCAGATCCTCATCCAAGAACCCCTGTGAACACCATCACATCTCCCCCATGTCTCTCTCCACAGCCTCAGCTTGCAGAGAGCAGCCCAAAACCGCCTCTGTTGGACCATAGGGGAGGGAATCCCTGCAAAAGCAAAGCAAAGCCCTCCGGGGTGGCACCAGAAGCCAAACCGGTTCCATTTCTCTCTGAGTTTTGCTTTCCCCATCAAGCAGAGGCTGCGGACGCGGTTCTCACTGCGGCGTTTATTGGGCTGGCGGTGCTGTGACCCTCCCTTGGAGCATCCCCGCCCGTCCCTAGGCTAGAGCAGGAGCAGGCGGGGCTCAGAGCCAGCCCAGCAGCATTGTCCCGGCCAGGGCCGTGGCCAGGAGGCTGGCAGGAGGTGGCAGGGTTGTCCCCGCTCCGCTGCGGGAGCCCCGAGCCGCCGGCCCGTTGCAGTCGTCGCTGAAGCAGCAGCGCACGGTGGCGCCGCCGGAGCCGCCGCGCCGGGCCTGGTCACAGAAGGATTTGTAGGAGCAGGATTTGATGATGCTGTCTGCGAGGAAAGGCGAGGGGACAGAGGGTCAGGCACTGTCCCGGCTGTCACCGGCACAGGAGGAAGAACCCCTCAGTGTGGGGCGGAATTAACGCATCTCTCTCCTCCCCTCAAGCAGAAACACCTCCTGCTCCGCCTCATGTCCCCTGCTTCTCCTCACCCTCGGGTTCTCAGCCCCTCTGGTCCCCTTCAAGACCCTCCAGTCCCTTTCAAGATTCTCTGGTCCCATCCAAGACCCTCTGGTCCCCTTCAAGATTCTCTGGCCCCCTTCAAGATTCCCTGTCCCAATCCAAGACCCTCCGGTCCCCTTCAAAACCCTCTAGGCCCCTCCAAGATCCTCTGTTCCTCTCCAAGACCCTCTGGCCCCCTTCAAGATCCCCTGGCCCCCTCCAAGACCCCTTCAAGATTCTCTTGCTCCCTTCAAGACCCTCCAGTTACCTCCAATACCCCTTCAGGATTCTCTGGCCTCCCTCAAGATTCTCTGACCCCCTCCAAAATCCTCTGGCCCCCTTCAAGACCCTCTGAACCCCTCCAAGACCCCTTCAAGATTCTCTGGTCCCCTTCCAAGACCCCCTGGCCCCCTTCAGGATCCTCTGACCCCCTCCAAGACCCCTTCAGGATTCTCTGGTCCCCTCCAAGACCCTCTGGTGCTCCCCCTTTCCTCCCAAGCCCCCCATCCAAGGCACTCACTGGGTGCAGTGATGGTGGAGCAGGCGTCGGCGTACTGGGGGCAGCTGTGGGATCCCTGCTGGTTGCACTCGTTCTCGTTGGATGCCACGCATTTGTGGCATTTCAGAGCTTTGCCTGGGTGAAGGTGAGGAGGAGGAGTGAGGGTGACACCAATGCACCATCCCAGCGCCCCGACAATCACACACTGGTGACCCCAGCCCAGGGAGGTGAGGGTTGGCACCAGACAGAGCCATGAGCAGGTGCTACCATGGCATGCAGCAGGATGCAGCATCTATCCACAACTTTAATTTAAAATTGACTCATTTATAATTATTATTATAATAATTAATTTTAAAATCTGTCCGCAAAATTCATGCAAAACTCTTCCAGGGGTGACTCAAAATGGTGACAGCTAAACCTGCCCTGCAAAGACTCCCTGAGAGTGCTGGAATTCCTTTTACAGTAAAAACAGCTAGACAATATTTAAAAACCATCCTAGATCTTTGTCTTCTTGTGCCAGATTTCATTTTAAGAAATATTTTGGAGGGGGGGAGAAGGGAGAATCCGTCCAACCTGTGGGAGCAGCTCCCTGTAATCAGGAAATTCAGCCCAAGGGATTGCTTGGGGACAAGCAAGGTGACAGGAAGATACAGGAGGGACAAACCATCTCCAGATTGTCCTTTAAGGAGCCCACAGGCAGGTTAGACAGCAGCAGAGCTGACAGTGGTGCAAGAGCTGTGTGACCCCTCAAAGCATCCACACACTGCCACAGACATCTTTTATGGAAAATCCTTAAAGATTTTTCCTCCTGAGAAGCTGGGAGGCCTCAGGAACAAAAGGTAAACACTGATTATCTGCTGCTGTGGAATGCAACAGGTGCATCTGTGATTGGTCTCATGGGGTTGTTTCTAATTAATGGCCAATCACAGTCAGCTGGCTAGGACAGAGAGTCAGAGACAGCTGCCTTTGTTATTATTCTATTCTATTCTATTCTATTCTATTCTATTCTATTCTATTCTATTCTATTCTATTCTATTCTATTCTACCCTTCTGATGAAATCCTTTCTTCTATTATTTGAGTATAGTTTTAATGTAATATACATCATAAAATAATAAATCAAGCCTTCTGAAACACGGAGTCAGATCCTCATCTCTTCCTCATCCCCAGACCCCTGTGAACACGGTCAGAACACACCCCAGAAACAGCCGGACCTGAAGATGCTGCTCGTGCCCGAAATGAGGAATTTTTGATTTTGACGGGGCTGGATGAGGCAGCGCTGGGGCTGGAGGTGGAGCTCGGCTCTCGCTGACAGAGCAGAGCCCTCTCGTGGCAGCGGGGCCGCAGCTTCCACCTCCAGCTCGGGGAGAAAACCCGGTAATGGTGGGGTCAAAATTGGGATTTCATGGGGTCAGAGCCCACTAAACACCTTCCACTAGCCCACAATGACACAGCTTCCACTGCTGCGTTGTGTTCTGTCTCCTTTTTTGTCCCTCACAGCCTCTCTTCTGCTCTGAGCTAAAAGTTCAGGTGTGTTCTGTCACTATATTTTTAGAAAAATCTTCTTTGCCCAGAATTTTTCTCCTGAGAAGGCTCAGAAAAGAAATGTAAACAATAATTTTCTGATTGTTTTGGAATGTGCTCTGGAGGTTGCTCACCAACAGGTGCATCTTTGATTGGCTCCATGTGAATTGTTTTTAATTAATGACCAATCCCAGTCCAGCTGTGTCGGACTCTCTGGCCAGTCACAGGTTTTTATTATTCATTCTTTTCTGGCCTTCTGATGTCTCCTTTCTCTTTCTTTAGTATAGTTTTGGTATATCATTTCTATAATGTAATGTAACATTACAATAAAATATTATATAGTATGACATGATATAGTATGATATAGTATGATATAATATGATATCATTAATATGATACGATATAATATAATATAATGTAATGTAATGTGATGTAATATAATATAATATATAATTGTCAAATTCTCATCTCTCACCTCATCCTGGGGACCTCACAAGAGTGTTCATCTTGCCTTGATCCAAACACCCTGAAACAGCCCAGAGCTGCCCCAATTCCATGGCATTGCTCCGAGCAGTGCAGCCACCCCCCTTTTACCACTTTTTTTTGTGATTATACCTTTGAAGAACCAAATTTTAGCAGGCAAACACAGCTCCGGCCAAGGGACACTTACCTCCTCCAGCCAGGGACGTGACCAGGGCCAGGGCCAGCAGGGTCCTCATGGCAGGCATCCTCAGCAGTGTGCAGGGTGGGCTGGGCAGCTGCTCTTTTGTCTTAAGGTCTTACAGCTAATCTGCTTGGCTGAGTGCATCAGGGGCTGGGCTAATGCCATCTTAGCTGGGGGGACAGGACACAGCTCCCCAAGGACGTGGGCTGGCTGATGGCACCACACTGGGCTGGGCTCTGCTCCATATCCTCCTCTGGAAACCTTCTCTGGACACAGAACCTTGTGGTGGCTTTCAAAATTCTTCATCAAGCCCAGCTGCACCATCACAGTCAAGTCCCTTTCTTGTCATGAACAGCCAAGCTGGGGAAAACCCCTCTAGATTCTCCAACCCACCAAAGGAGAAGTGCAAGAGAACAACAGAAAACCCCTGGGAGCCCAGTGGAACCATTCCTGCAGCCCCCAGGTTCCAGCAGGATTTAGGCAAGGCCACAAAAAGTTGTCAGGGATTAGGACAAGGATTCTGAGTGATGCTGGGTGATGGCACCACACTGGTGCCACTGGTTGGGCTGGGCTCTGCTCCATATCCTGCCTGGGAAACCATCTCTGGACGCAGAACCTTGTGGTGGCTTTCAAAGGTCTTCATCAAGCCCAGGTGCTCCATCACAGTTAAGTCCCTTTTTTGTCATGAGTAGTAGCCAAGGTGGGGAAAATTCCTCCAGATTCTCCAACCCACCAAAGGAGAAGTGCAAGAGAACAACAGAAAACCCCTGGGAGCCCAGTGGAACCATCCCTGCACGCCTCAGGCTCCAGCAGGAATTAGCCAAGGCCAGAGAGGGTTGTCAGGGATCAGGACAAGGATTCTTAGTGATGCTGCCATGGATGCCATGGATGGGCTGGGCTCTGCTCCATATCCTGCTCTGGAAACCATCTCTGGACACAGAACCTTGTGGTGGCTCTCAAAGGTCTCCATCAAGCCCAGCTGCTCCATCAGAGAACAGCCCCTTTCTTATCACAACTTGGGGAAGTTCCCTCCAGATTTTCCAACCCACCAAAGGAGAAGTGCAAGAGAACAAATGAAAATCCCTGAGATTTTCAGTTGTTCTATTCTTTTCTCCCAGTGGAACCATTTCTGCACCCCCCAGGCTCCAGCAGGATTTAGCCAAGGCCACAGAGGGCTGTCAGGGTCAGTGCAGGGATTAGGACAAGGATTCTCCTGCCTGGCACATCCTGCTGCTGCCTCAGCTCTTCCTGCTGCCTGAGCTCACTGCATGGCTTAGGACCATCACAGTGTGCTGGGAGGCCAGAAAAATCATCCCAAGTCTGAATTTCAGAGCTCAGAAATGCAGATTTCAGGAACAGATGATAACTGTGCTTATCTGAAACCAAATAATAACCATACTGTGAACTGTACTTATTTGAAACCAAATAATAACCATATAAACCACATTAATAAAGTCAAGGCAGAACACAGCCCATGCTTAGGACCATCACAGTGTGCTGGGAGGCCAGAAAAATCATCCCAGGTCTGAATTTCAGAGCTCAGAAATGCAGATTTTAGGAACAGATGATAACTGTGCTTATTTGAAACCAATTAATAACCATACTGTGAACTGTACTTATTTGAAACCCAGTAATAACCAAATAAACCACATTAATAAAGACAAGGCAGAACAAAGCCCATGCTTAGGACCATCACAGTGTGCTGGGAGTTACAGAGCCAGAAAAATCATCCCAGGTCTGAATTTCAGAGCTGAGAAATGCAGATTTCAGGAGCAGATGATAACTGTGCTTATTTAAAACCAAATAATAACCATATAAACCACATTAAAAAAGACAAGGCAGAACAAAGCCCATGCTTAGGACCATCACAGTGTGCTGGGAGGCCAGAAAAGTCATTCTAGGTCTGAATTTCAGAGCTCAGAAATCCAGATTTTAGGAACAGATGATAACTGAGCTTATTTGAAACCAAATAATAACCATATAAACCACATTAATAAAGACAAGGCAGAACACAGCCCATACTGGAAAGTAAAACCCACTCCTCCCAAAACTCTTCACCAACCTCACAAACACCAAGAAAGCTTTCAAGAGTGATAAACACAGTCTTTACTCAGGCAATGAAACATGAAAAAAATATATTAGTAATCATTATAATAATAATAATAATAATCTCATTTGTGTGAGTATAACTCTTACAAATATTTACCTGACATATAAAAGGGAAATTATCATACATATAAAACCGATGGCAATGGCAGTTACACACAGGGCTGGAAGCAGAGGGGTGGGAGCCAATGCAGAGGAATTTCCTGCCTGGGGGAGGCACAGGGGAGGGATCGGTAGTTGGGGGTCACTGGTTGGCACTTGGTTACAGACAGATCTGCTGGCAAACACACACTGCAAACAGCAACACAGCAGCAGCAGGGGCAGGGCCTGCTGCTGCTGCCAAAAGGACATTTAAAGCCTACTGCAAGGAACAGGGGACAAACACACACCCAGCTGTGACAGCACTCACAGGGACCTGCCATTCCCTGTGCCATTCCCTGTGCCATCCCTGACACCACCCCATCACCTCAAGGTGCAGCCATCCTGTCAAACACACCTTGTTTTACATCACCATAACCATTATGCATGTGTTTATATCTATATCTGGAGCTACAACCATATTATAGTTAATAAATCATTCCTTAGGAATCTTCTTTGCCCGGGCTGGGGTGCACAGGACGGGTGAGGGGGAGGTGGCACAGCAGGACTGGGTGGCACCGGGGACAGGAGGGATGGAGGGCTGTGTCCTGTGGGTCACAGCTTTGCAGACAGCCCCCAGTGACTGCTGTGTGCAGGGCAGGGCTCTGGGGATGTGGTGAAACCTAAATTCTGCAGTGATCCATCAGCTCCAAGGGTCAGATCCCCAAGCAGAGACTGAGCTCACCTTGAGCCAGGACACCCATGAGGATCACAGCCCCGAGCAAAGCAGAAGGATGAGGGCTGCCACAGTGCTCCAGCAGCCTCACACCACACTGTGTGCAGGGCAGGGCTCCGGGGAAGTGGTAAAATCTAAATTCTGCAATGATCCATCAGCTCCAAGGGTCAGATCCCCAAGCAGAGACTGAGCTCACCTTGAGCCAGGACACCCATGAGGATCACAGCCCTGAGCAAAGCAGAAGGATGAAGGTCAGTGCTCCAGCAGCCTCACACCACACCTGGGTGCTGCTGTGGGCAGTGCCCCAGGGCCCCAAACCACAAACCAGCCCTGGAGCAGCTCTAAGAGGTGATGCAATGCTGCACTCTGCTTCCTCAAGAGAAAAAAGCCATTTCTGCCCCAGAAATCTCAGGGTTTCAGGGGTTTGCTTTACCTGCACAGACTCCCAAATGGGAACAGGAATAGTCCTTGTTGATCATAGGATTGAAGGCTTTTCACCAGCCCAGGAAGGGACATGTGGGGAGGTCAAGGGGGTTAAAAAGAAAGGGGAAAAATGGGATTTTCTTTTCTGCCAGCTGTGCAAGGGGTGAATATCCAGCACAAGCAACAGGTGCACTGCTTTGAGTGGGGTCAGCCACTGGTTTCCATGACCAGTCTGTCACTGGGATAACTGGGGAACAGGGAAGAACATGGAGAACTGGAGCTGTGTGCTGGGGGAGGCTGCTGACACCTTTGCTTAAGTGTAGAATAAACTCTCTCTATATTATATAACTAATAAAATATAATCAAGTGTATGGCTCTGGCTTAAACAGCTGTTTGCTCTGCATGCTCGACACGGGGAATTAGAAAATAGAAGGAGAAGAGCTCAATTCTGTTACAAAAAGGTAGCAGCAAAAAGGTTTGTGAAAGTGTTCAACAGGCTGGGCAGGAAACAGTCCAAACTGCAAATATTTCCCTTATTTCACACCTATCCATTCAAGGCAGAGAATCCTGCACCACTGCAGCACCCAGAGGCACATCAGGGTTCAGCTCCTTCCTCTGAAAGGGAGCCCTGATCTCAGCATGGCACAGGAATCACAGACAGGGCCCCGGGTGGGCACAGGGAGGATGGATGGGCACTCCCAGCCCTCCAGAACCAACACCTCCATTTGAGAAGCATCTGTTTGCTTCTCAAACACCTCTTGGTGCAGAAACCTCCTGCCTCCCCTCACCTGAATGTACTGCAGGCTGTGTGACTGCTCTGGGGGGAACAAGTCCTGCCTGACTGGAAGGAGTGAGCAGAGAGCCCAAGCGCCCATAAATGCTCATAAAGTGCACGAATGCAGAGATGTCAGCTCCCTTCCTCTGAAGCTGGCACTGCCAGGGGCAGGGAGAGGCTGTGCTGTGCTTCACCCACCAACCAGAGAGACCAGCCAAACCCAGTGCAGGAGCCTGCAGGTCCCTCCCTGCCACCCCCTAAGTCCCAGGGCAGGACCCACCAGTGGCTGGACCTGCTCTGCTGAGCCCATGGGGACAATCAGGGACAGAGAGTGCAGTGGGGACACAGCCCAGCCACGGGGGACAGAGCCCAGGGTGTCACCTCCCACCTGAGAGGTGCAGAGGGACAGGGCAGCACGCCCTGGGAGGGACACACAGGCCCAGAGAGGGACACACAGGCCCAGAGAGGGACACACAGGCCCAGGCTGAGACCAGGATGATTCCCAGGCTGAGCCCAGGATCATTCCCAAGCTGAGCACAGGAGGATTCCCAGGCTGAGCTCAGGATGATTCCCAAGCTGAGACCAGGATGATTCCCAGGCTGAGCCCAGGATGATTCCCAGACTAAACCCAAGATTCCCAGGCGAGCCCAGGATGATTCCCATGCTGAGCCCAGGATGATTCCCAAGCTGAGCCCAGGATGATTCCCAGGCTGAGCCCAGGACGATTCCCAGGCTAAACCCAGGATTCCCAAGCTGAGCCCAGGATGATTCCCAGACTAAACCCAAGATTCCCAGGCGAGCCCAGGATGATTCCCATGCTGAGCCCAGGATGATTCCCAAGCTGAGCCCAGGATGATTCCCAGGCTGACTGCAGGGATCCCAGCCTGGAGCTGTGGGAAGCAGACAGACACAGAGAGGGGAGCAGCCCTGCTCAGGAGCCACAGGTGTGGCAGCCAAGGGGCAGCTGGACACGGGAGCTTTCCTGCAGGGACTCCAGGGGTAAGGCAAGGTGCTCAAGGTCACGAGAGAAGCAGCCAAGTGCAGAGTGCTGGGTGAGGAGGGGGTGCTGAGCTCAGTCTGACTTTCCCAGTTTCGCTATCAGCTCGTCGCAGATCTTGGTCAGCTCCTCGATCTCCTGGTTCTGGAAGAGAAGAAGATCTTGGGGACCAACAGCAGGGCCCATCTGGCATCAAGCATGGGTGGGAAAGGGCAGCCAGCTCCTATATGTGCCCCTGAATAACTCCTCTGTGCATCCAGGCACTGCACAGAGCCCTGTGCTCACCCCTCCTCATCCCAGACCTGCAGCAAGCCAGCCACAGCCCACACCTCTGCAAACAGGCACAGATAAGCCAGAAATGCCCATTCTGCCCCACAAAACACAAAAAAAAAAAAAAAACACCAAAAAAATCCCAAAAACCAAACACCTTCTGGACCAAAAACCTGGATGCCAGACCACTGAAAAACCAAAAATAAAAATCAAAAAAATCTGGATGCCAGAACACGAAAAAAAACCAACCAAACAAAAAAATATCCCAAAAACCAAACACCTTCTGGACCAAAAGTCTGGAGGACACCTCTGGCATCAACAGGATGCTCAGGGCAGAACAGGAACTCTTCATCCCAGTCAGACCTGCAGGGATCTGCAGCAAGCCAGCCCCAGTCCACACCTCTGCAAACAGGCACACATGAGCCAGACCCCAAAAAAAAAAATCCAAACCAACCCCACAAAACACAAAAAAACCAAAAAATTATCCCAAAAATCAAACACCTTCTGCACCAAAAACCTGGATGCCAGATCACAGAACAACAAACAAAAAAAAAAAATCCCAAAAATCTAGATGCCAGAACACAAAAACAAACAAAAAAAAAATCCCAAAAACCAAACACCTTCTGGACCAAACATCTGGAGGACACCTCTGGCATCAAGAGGACGCTGAGGGCAGCAGCAGGAGAGGCAGGAGCAGGTGTGTGTGTTACCTTCTGCTGCAGGGTTCTCTCCAGGGACTCCACCTTCATCTGCTCCTTGCGCAGCGCCGCGTGCAGCGCCGCGCTCTCCGCCTTGGCCTTGGCGCGCACCTGGGCGATCTCCTCGTTGGCTCTGGGGGACACAGGGGGCCAGGGTGACTTCAGGGTTTACCCCAGAACCTCGGGTCCCTCCCCTGATAATTCCCTGCCAGGTGTGTCAGTCACCTCTCCTTTCCCCCCCCAGCGCTGTCTGTCAATCCTGGAATCGTGTGGTTCTCTTGAATAAAGCCTTCTTTGCTCTTTCTACCATCCTGCCTCCTGCCTGCTCCTGTGTCATTATAAAAACTTGGGGGTTCTCTTAAATAAAGCCTTCTTTGCTCTTTCTACAATCCTTCCCCCTGCCTGCTCCTGTGTCATTATAAAAACTGTGTGGTTCTCTTAGATAAAACCTTCTTTGCTCTTACTGCAATCCTTCCTCCTGCCTGCTCCTGTGTCATTCTCCACAAAAGTGACACCAGCATGTCCTGAGGCTGTTCAGCAACTGCAGAGCCTGGCTCTGCTCCTCTGGGAAAAACAGAGGGTTTGGCCCTGTGGAACCTGGGTGAAACTGGGTTAATTCAGCTCCTCCAGCCCCTCTGTGAAACTCTGCTCTCTCAGGGCCAAGCTAAACCTGCCTCCTACCTGCTCGTGTCACTACAAAAACCGTGCGGTTCTCTTGAATAAAACCTTCTTTGCTCTTTCTACAATCCTTCCTCCTGCCTGCTCTTGTGTCATTATAAAACCTAAGTGGTTCTCTTAGATAAAAACCTTCTTTGCTCTTTCTACAATCCTGCCTGTTCCTGTGTCATTCTCCACAAAACTGACACCACAGCACGTCCTGAGGCTGTGCAGCAGCTGCAGAGCCTGGCTCTGCTCCTCTGGGAAAAACAGAGGGTTTGGCCCTGTGGAACCTGGGTGAAACTGGGTTAATTCAGCTCCTCCAGCCCCTCTGCTCTTTCAGGGCCAAGCTAAACCTGCTCACCACCCACCTCACTCAGGGTACACATGCTGCTGAGCTCCTGCTCATCAGCTGAGCCCCAGGGCAGCACAGCCCACTCCTGTACCACAAACATGAGCACTCTGAGAGATGGGAGCTTGGTTAAGTGGCCATAAATAGACTGTGAACCTCAGGTTCTCCATTAAAAAATAAATAAGCAGAGATCAGAGAGTGCATTCAGGGATTTGCTCTGCCTTGCTTAGACACACTTGAGCCTGAGGTTGTAAAATGCAGCTTTTCACATCGTTTTCAGCTCCTGCCTTGCAGCCTCTGCAGAGCAAATGAAGCTGCTTCCCTACAAGGTCTTGAAGCACCCAGCAATCTCATGCATGACCTTACTTGTCCAATTTTTCTTCTGCGTGGACTTTCAGGGCCTGATAGCGCTGCTCCTCCTGCTTGACACGGGTCAGGTAATCCTGAGCACATTTCTTCAGAGCTTCTTCATTCTGGAAAAGAAAGTAAATCCATTTGCATTGGGACTGGGCACAAAGACATTGCTCTGACAGGATGATAGATACTGTTCTGAGTGTGAAAAAAAAGGTTTTTAACAAACCAAATTTCTGCTTTACACCCAGCAGCATGGAAACATGGAGTGTGACTGCCCAGGAACCCTCCAAGACTCCCAAAAACCAAACCAGCAGCTCTGTCCAGGGACCAGAGCTGCAGGGAGAAAGGGCAAACCAAGGTAAGGACCTTCTTAAATCCTTCCAGGACGCCCTTCAGGTTTTCATATCTCCTGAACAGATCCGACAGGGACCTCTCCACTGAGTTCAGGTCTGCCAGAGCCTGGTCCTTCTCCATGGTGAGCTGCTGCAGGTTCTTCTGAGATGTCATGTTGGTCCTCTGCTCATCCTCTGGCATGGAGAACAAACAACAAGGACATGGTGACTGAGTGGGGACAGCTGTGGCAGCCAGCTCCCTGCCCTGCACACCTGGCCAGGTGACAGCACCTTACCTATCATCTGGGCAATGGTCTTCTCATACTCTGCCACGATTTTCCTAAAAGGAAGAGAAGAAACAAACAGGTGAGAGGCCACTGATTGTGGGGACATGGTGGCAATCTGCCCCATGGACATGGTGGCAATCTGACTCCATGTCACCACTGCATCCCCACAGGAGCACAGGCACAGGGCCCAGATGTTGAGGCTGCACCACCCATCAGTGCTGCTTCAGACCAAAACCCTCCTCTGTCACTGGGGCTGGCACAGCTCATGGGATTTCACTTCTTTTATTTCTATTTTATTTCTATTTTTATTTATTTCTATTTTATTTCTGCAGGAAAGGAACAAGCAGGACACAGCACCAGCACTAAGAGAACACTGGTGTTGAGTTTGAGAGGTCCCCAGGATGAAGGAGGAATTGAAAATCTGACTCCATGTTCCCAGAAGGGTGATTTATCATTATATTATATTATATTATATTATATTATATTATATTATATTATATTATATTATATTATATTATACTACATTACTTTATATTACTTTATATTACATTATACTACATTATACTATATTGTGCTATATTATATTTATATTACATTATATCACATCATATTATATAATGCTATACTAAAACTATACTAAAGAAAGAGAAAGTATACGGACAGAAGGCTTAACAAGAATAAATAATAAAAACTCGTGACTGACTCCTCAGAGTCCAACACAGCTGGACAGTGATTGGTCATTAATTAAAAACAATTCACATGGAACCAATGAAACAATCACCAGCTGGTAAACAATGTCCAAACCACATTCCAAAGCAGCAAAACACAGGAGAAGCAAATCAGATAATTATTGATTTCATTTTTCTCTGAGGCTTCTCAGCCTCCCAGGAGAAGAAATCCTGGCAAAGAGATTTTTCAGAAAATATCACAGTGACAGGACACAGCACTAAGAGAAGTCTCTGCCAAGCCTGGCGAGGCTGAGCTGTGCCACCCCTGATGCCCCCTCAGGGGGCAGTTCTCACCTCATCTCCAGCACCTCCTGCCGGCTCTCCTCGTATTTCTTCTTCCACTCGTTGGACTCGAGCTCCTTGGTGATGATCTGGGGGGCAGCAGACACGTTTGGGATGTGCTCGGGGGGGTTTCCCCTCTCTGTCCCATGCAGGGGATCAGATCCCCCCCATTCTGGGCAGAGCAGAGCTGCCCCTGCTGCCCTGGGGAGAGGTCCAGGGAGGAGAAGCCCAGGGACAGGGACACAAGGGGCAGTCCAGGGACACAAGGGACAGGGGACAGGGACACAAGGGGCAGTCCAGGGACAGGGACACAAGGGGCAGTCCAGGGACACAAGGGACAGCCCCAGGGGACAGGGACACGAGAGGCAGCCCCAGGGACAGGGACACGAGGGGCAGCCCCAGGGACACAAGGGACAGCCCCAGGGGACAGGGACATGAGGGGCAGTCCCAGGGACAGGGACACAAGGGGCAGTCCAGGGACACAAGGGACAGCCCCAGGGGACAGGGACATAAGGGACAGCCCCAGGGGACAGGGCCAGGGCTGTTACCTCCTCTCTGATGAGCGTGAGCACCGCTGCCTTCTCAGACTCGCTGAGGCAGATGCCAGCCAGGGCACTGTCACTGCTGCTCACGCTGGGGCACTTGTCCATGGAGCACAGCCCGGGATTGTCCTGAGGGAATCACCCAGGGATGGGATGTTACCAGGGGGTTCTTTTCACCCACCCACCCTGTTTTATCAGCATTTTCCCTTTCTGCACACACAGAGCTCAGGGCCTGCATCTGAGCCCTGGCAGAGCTGCTGTGACCATGTTCACAGGGGTACCAGGATGAGGGAAGAGATGAGGATCTGACTCCATGTTTCAGAAGGTTTGATTTATTATTTTAGGATGTATAGTCTATTTAAACTATACTAAAATAATACAAGAAAGGATTTCATCAGAAGGCCAGCTAAGAATAGAAAAGGAATGATAACAAAGGTTTGTGGTTTGGACTCTCTGTCCGAGCCAGCTGACTGTGATTGGCCATTAATTAGAAACACCCACATGAGACCAATCACAGATGCACCTGTTGCATTCCACAGCAGCAGATAACCATTGTTTACATTTTGTTCCTGAGGCCTCCCAGCTTCTCAGGAGGAAAAATCCTAAGGAAAGGATTTTTCCAGAAAATATCACGGCTACACAATGCAGCCACTGGGACAAACTGGGGGCAAGGCTCAGTTGGCACTGCCTGCCCCTCGTTTCCCCACCCAGAGCAGTGACAGCCCTGCAGCATCTCCCTGAGAAGAGGCTGCCAGAAATAGAGAAGGGAAGAAGGGGAGGGAGGAGGCAGCTGCTCCTCACAGTGTGGAAACCAGAGCCCTGGAGCACTTTTCCCCTCCCTTCTCCCCCTGGCGCTTCAGCTGCTCAGCTCGAGCTCCCTGTGCCCATGGCAGAGTTGGAGCCACCCCTGGGGCAGGTTTGGGGCCAGGCACCCCAGCACTGAGCAGGTTCAGCCTCCCACAGGTGCACACCTGAGCTCCTGCAGGTACCTCTGGGGTGCCAGCAGGACCAGAGCCAGCCCAGGCTCTCAGGGCACCAATTAAAGCTCACTTTGCCCATGTCCTTGTGGGGCTCAGCACAGTTAATCTGTCTCACAGGGGCTGCTTTTGCTGATGTTGCTAATCCCATTGTCATCTGCTTGTCAGCTCAAGCAGCTTTGGCCAGAGGCTGGCACAGGGTGTCCCCTGGGGCTCCTCAGGCCACGGCAGGGCTGTCCCAGCACTGTGGGGCTGCAGAGCAGGGCTCCTGTGCTCTCCCCTGCTCTGCTGTCACAGGGCAGAGCCCTGAGGGTCCCTGCAGCACCAAGGGGCCACCAGAGCCAGCCCTGGGCACTCCATGTGAGACACAACCTGTGCTGGCAGCTTGTCCCCTCCCCACGGTCTGCTCTGCCCTCCCTGCCCTTCAGCCACCTCCCTGGCTCTGCACTGTCCCCAGCATTGCTCATCCCTGTCCCCAGCACTGCTCCTGTCCCCAGCCCTGCCCTTGTCTGTCCCGAGCACTGTCCTGTCCATCCCCAGCACTCCTCCTGTCCCCAGCCCTGTTCCTGTCCCCAGCACTGCCCCTGTCCCCAGCACTGCTCCTGTCCCCTCCCTGTCCATCCCCAGCACTGCTCCTGTCCCCAGCACTGCTCCTGTCCCCAGCCCTGTTTATGTCCATCCCCAGCCCTGTTCCTGTCCCCAGCACTGTCCTGTCTGTCCCCAGCACTGTCCTGTCTGTCCCCAGCCCTATTCCTGTCCCCAGCCCTGCTCCTGTCTATCCCCAGCCCTGCTCCTGTCCATCCCCTGCACTGTCCTGCCTGTCCCCTCCCTCCCTCCCTCCCTCCCCTCGCCCACCCAGGATGGATCAGTCTCTGCCAGGCTCCTCCAGGCCTGCTGGGAAATCTCTGCTATTTTTATCAAGTCCCTGCGTGGGCTCGTCAGGAATTTTACCTCCCAGAGAAACTCGTTTCAGAAAGGAGAAAAGAGAGAGGCACTCACGGGGAAGATGCCAGGCCCTCCCTTTTCCATCTGCTTGCAGAGCTCCTTTTCAAAACCTAAGGACAACGAAACACAACCTTTAATTGATTTGGAAACAGCACCCTAGGGCACACACAGATTTTCTGAGACACAGGAGGGTCCCTCTGAGCCTCCCCATCCCCTGAGCTCCCCTCCCAAAGGTGCCTTTGCCCCCAGCTCCCTGCTGGAATCATTTTGGTTGGAAAAGCTCTCTATGACCACGGAGTCCTCAGCAAGGTCACCATTAAACCCTGTCCCCAGGTGTCACAAGGAGCAGGGCTGGGGACAGGGATGAGCCATCCCTGCCAGCCTTCCAGCACTCCTGGAGTGGGAACCAACACTCCCCTCTGGTGGCAGTTCAGCCTGTGCCCATGTCCCCAGGCTGGGAGCATCATGTGGTGGCAGTTCAGCTGTGCCCATGTCCCACCATGTGGTGGCAGTCCAGCTGTGCCCATGTCCCCATGCCCCACCATGGGGTGGCAATTCAGCTGTGCCCATGTCCCCATGTCCCACCATGTGGTGGCAGTTCAGCTGTGCCCATGTCCCACCATGTGGTGGCAGTCCAGCTGTGCCCATGTCCCACCATGTGGTGGCAGTCCAGCTGTCCCCATGTCCCACCATGTGGTGGCAGCTCAGCTGTGCCCATGTCCCCAAGCTGGGACAGGACGTTCTGCACCTCAGCAGCTGCTCAGAGCACCAGCACCCTCATCCCTGGTGCTCCAGGAGAGCTCTGGAACGGGAGATGCTCACACAGAGCCTCCAGCCTCTCCCCTGGCCGTCAGATTTTCCTCCCCTGAGGACAGAGCACCATTCTCACGGAGCTGGCAGCCCAGCACAGCCCTCAGCAGAAATGATTAATGGGTTCCTGCAAAGGGAGGCTGCAACGCCCCCGTGGTGATTTCCCCTGCTTGCACCTAGGGCTTGCTTATTGATTAAATGCCATGTTGGCCTGGCTTTTAATTATTTTGTAATGGCTTGGGCAGAGAGGCTAATTACGTGGGAAACTGAGGGCAGAATTCCACCAGGAGCAATAATTGGGTCTGTGTGGGCATTGCTGAGATCTCCATCAAGCACAGCCCTGTGCCAGGACACCAGGTCCATGCTCTGAATGGAAAATTGCTCTGCTCAGCAGTGAGCACTGGTGGGGGGAACCCTAAATCACCCCAAATTCCCCTGGACCAACCCCAAACCCCCAAAATCCTCCTCCTCCTGCTCCTCCTCCTCGTGGCCCTCGGGTTCCGCACTCACCGACCCCAAATCCCCCAAAGTGACCCTAAAACTCCCAAATCTCCCTGACCTGACCCAAAATCCCTCAAATTCACCCCACATCCCCCTACAGCATTGTAGGGAGAGAGCTCTGTACAAAATCTAAACAAACACAGCCTGGACCATGGTTTTCCACGCTGGAAACAGAGCAGGGAGGCAATGGGAGGTTCCATGAGAACCTACAGCAGCCTTTAGCCCTGTCAGCGCAAATAAATCACTCTGATGAGGATGCAGCACCAAATCCTTGCCAGAGGCTCCCACAGCACATTCCCAGGGCTGAAGGCAAGCAGGATGCTCCTCACCTGCCTCTGGTCTGTGCTTCCCTGAGGACACAGGCACGTTGGAGCACTCAAAGTACTCCAGGTCATCTTCTGCCTCAGCTTTCTTCTCCAGCCCCGCTGGTTTCTGTGTGGAGGTGGTGGAGGCCAACTTCTCCTCATCAGTGGCACGGCCATCCCGGTTTGTAATGTCTGGGATCTCTGAGATCAACACTCCTTCATCCTGCACGACCAAAACACGAAGTTAGGCAGGATCTGCAGGGGTCAGCCCACCAGGTGAGCAGCTGATACTGCACAGAAAGCATGGAAAGCTTAAAATCCACAGGTAAGCTGCTCCTGCCTCCCTTCCTGTAGGAGTGATGGGGGTAGGATAGTGGGGATGGAGGGAGATGAGAGATCTCTGCAGCCAGGTCATGGAATTTGGGTTTTATTGCAAAGGGCCTGGGTGCAGAGCCCTGCTGGGAGCTGCCAGCCACAACTCAGAGCAGGCCCGAGAGAATTAAAGAGAGGTAAAGAGAGTGATAAAGAGGATGAGAGAGCAAGGTTCCCATTACAATACAATAAAACTTCTGGTCATGGAATTTGGGGTTTATTGCAAAGGGCCAAGTGCAGGGCCCTGCTGGGAGCTGCCAGGCACAGCTCAGAGCAGGCCTCAGAGAGAGAGAGGTAAAGAGAGAGAAGGCAAGAGTGTGGTAAAGAGAGAATGAGAGAGTAAAAGAGAGGATCAAGGGCAAGGTTCCTGTTACAATACAATAAATCTTCTTCTGGGCTTGGAATTTGGGGTTTATTGCAAAGGGCCAAGTACAGGGCCCTGCTGGGAGCTGCAGCCACAGCTCAGAGCAGGCCTGAGAGAAGAGAGGGGTAGAGAGGGTGAGAGGATAAGAGAGTAAAAGGATAAGAGAGTGAAGTTCCCATTCCAATACAATAAATCTTCTTCTGTGTTGAATATTCTAATTCTCACCAACCAATCCAGTACAAGATACAAATCCTACAGCATTTCCATACAGCCTGTAAGAATCATTACATTACCACACTGTGTTACATTTTAAACCCTAAAAACTCTTCTTTGGGCCCTTCTGCCAAGCTGTAGGGTCTGCTCTGACCCTTGGAGCTGTCCGCAAGCAGAGGGTGTTGTTCCATCAATAGGGGATTACCTTCAGCCAGCCACACCATTGTTTTCCAGTTGTTCAGTAACTGAGGGATCTCAAAGCTTGCTTTCATTTCAATCTCGCTTACAGTTTCCATATTCTCAAAATCTTTTGCCAGACAATCATATTGATAAGGCTTTCCTGTTTCACCTTCCCCAACATCTTCCCATCCTCAGGAACTGCCCACAGGGAAGATGCCAGCCCGAAGCTCAGCCAGTCCAGCCCTCCCCAGCCCAGTTTTGGGGTCTCACCCCCCTACCTGAGCACTGATGTCCAGGACCAGGGGCTGCTGCGCCTCGTGCTGCTTCACCTTGCATCCACTCCTGCAGGAGAGAGGAGCAGCAGCTCAGGGGGGCTCAGGGGCAGCGAGGGGGGTGTGGGGTGAGTGCCAGACAGCCCAAGCAGGGGGAGGCAGTCCCAGCACCAGCCTTGCACCCACGGCGTGCCAGCACCCCACTCACCAGTGAACACCGAGGCAGAGCGGCTGCTGGGAGGGACAGGAGGAACAGGCAAACAAAAGACACAACTACACAGGAGTTGGGTTTGTCTGTGAGCTGTTTATTCCTGAGGAAGGTAAGGAGCAGAGCAAGGAGCCCAAGAGGCTGATGGGGAGAGAGGCACTGCCAAGGAGCTGCCACAGAAGGTTCTCCCTTGCCCTGCATGTTCAGCACCACGGCACCCCAGGCTTTGGTGCAAGTCGACTTTCTGCAGGAAGAACCATGTCCAGGCTGTCTCATGGCATGTCCCTGCAGCTGGAAGTTTGTCTGGGACTTCTCCACAGCAGCCACATCTCCCAGGTGACTCAGGGCAAGGTGCTGTGCCTCAAACAAACGCTCTGTGAGGCACAAACGCCGTCCTGAGGAAAAGGGCCCCTCAAGTGGGATCTTTAGCCCAAGGAGGTCTTGCAGGTGATCTCCTCACCCTTCAGGGAGGAGGCTGTCCCTGGAAATTCATCCCATGTTCCTGAAGACACCCATCCAGAGCCACCTGCACAGGGCGGCAGGCACGGCCGCATCCCCACGGCCACAGTGGGAACATGGGGGGACAGCAGGAGCTCTTCTCCTGCATGTCACCCCCTCATATTCCACACTCAGGGACCTCCCAGCCTCATGGCCATGTCTGACCCCTCAGGAGATGCTTGCTGAGCTGGAGCAGCTCGTGTGATCCCTGGGGAGGGATCCCAGCCTCCAGGCACAGGGAAAGGCTCCAGCAGCACTGCAGGAGCTGCTCCCAGGTCCATGGAGCTGCCCCCAGCCCCTGGCAGTGCCCAGCCCAGCACAGCAGAGCATGAGGGGCACACAGAGCTGGCTCTGCACGCTGCCATGCACGCCTGGATCACACTGAAGAAGCCCTCAGGGCTGTTTTTCTCCCTCATGCCCTGCCACGAGCAAGACAAACTTGTCAAACTCTTCTTTTCTGTGCCAGGGTTGTCCCATCACCTGGCTGCTGTTTTGACCTCCCCCCTCACATCCTCACCCTCCTCTTTTCTGCACCCTCTCCTGTGCCAGGTATCTAATAGCTGGTTTGAGCTCCCCCCCAGCACCAAGACAACAGCTCTGGATTGCACAAAAACCTGCTGAAGGTTTTGAGCATTTGTCCACCACCAGAAGATGCTGCAAGGCGGCATGCTGCGAGGACAAGCACGGGTGTGTGCCTCCAGTGCAGCTCAGCTAAGCTCAGCTCAGCTCTCCTCTTCTCCCTCTCACCAGGCCTGGCCACCCTGGGGACCCCACCACACCAACCAGACAGCAGAGAGCACAAGTCAAAGGGCAGAAGGAGCCAGCATGCCATGGAGACCAGAGGGGCAGCACACACCCAGAGAGAGGACAAGAACAGCAAAGGAGAAGGAAAGGAGTACAGGAGAGAGTACTTACAACAGAAAACAGAGAAATTTCACTTGCTCAGTAGTCCTGATGCACCAAAGCACGGACAGGGAGAGAGACAGACAGATGGAGAGAAGAAGAGTGTGTGAAAAGACCTGAAGAAGAGTGTGTGAAAAGACCTGGATGTTAACTCTGCTCTGAGAAGCACAGGGAGCTGCCTAGCTCAGATTTTGGGAAGGCACACACACACATGGGACACTCTGATCCTGCCTGTGCTGCCCACAGCAGCAGGGTGAGATCCAAACACAAACCTCAAAAAAAAAAATTTTGCCTGTGAGGTTTTCTCTTTCCCTGTTAAAACCCAGTATCTGAATTTCTCACTGGAGAATCCAACAGCAGAGTGAGAGACTGCCTGTCCAACCTGTTCTCTTCCTCTGACATAAAACACAAACTTGGTGGCAGCTCACAAAATGCCTCAGCTAATTTGACCGACCACACCTGCATCCACCAGGGTGTGTTTGGTCCTGCACAAGTCCAGCAAACACAGCAGCTCCAGCCTCCCCTGAGGGCTCCTCTGACACCACATCTACACCCTGAGCCACCAGCTGGACCCTCAAAGGGTTTCCAAAGAGGTGACCCTGCAAGCAGGTCCCAATCCAGCCTTCCCTTGGGACTCAGGACACTGGCACTGCTCCAGAACTCCTGTCAGTGGTACTGACAACAGCACAGGGGGATAAAACTGAGCCAGCAGCAGAGCCTGAGGTGCACGGCAGGACCTGGGGCTGGCTCAGGAGGCACCAGGGCAGGAGCACCGCCAAGGCAGGAGCATCACCAGGGCAAGAGCACCAGCAGGGCAGAAGCAGTGCCACCATCACCACCACTATCATCACCTCTCCATCACCACCACCATCACCACCTCCTCCATCATCACCTCCATCAACTCCCCCATCACCACCACCTCCATCACCTCCTCCATCAACTCCACCATCACCATCATCACCTCCTCCACCACCACCACTTCCATCACCATCATCACCTCCTCCATCAACTCCACCATCACCATCATCACCTCCTCCACCACCACCACTTCCATCACCATCATCACCACCTCCATCATGACCACCTCCATCACCTTCTCCATCAACTCCACCATCACCACCTCCATCATCACTTCTCCATTACCACCATCATCACCACCTCCATCACCTCTCCATCATCACCACCACCTCCATCACCATCATCTACTCCTCCATCACCACCACTTCCATCACCATCATCACCTCCATCAACTCCTCCATCACCTCTCCATCATCTCCTCCATCACCATCACCATCATCACCTCTCCATCACCACCACCAGTGCAGCTCTGCCTGCCTGTGGGGAGCACAGGGGGGCTGCAGCCCCAGCTCTGACACTGGCACTCACGTTATCAGGCGTGACTTGGGCTTCTTGGGGGAGTCTCTGCTTTTCAGGGCATCATCCTGCAGCTCCAGGGTCTGAGATTCCAGGATTTCATTGAGGCTGTTGTCTGCAGTGGAGCACGAGTCAGGGTCACTGTTGGCAAGAGTCTTGGTGGGCTTGAATGGATCCATGGAGTCAAAGTTACTGGGGTCAAACTGGTAAGAGCCCTTGGGGAGAACTGGTGAGTTTTGCAGTGCTGAGCTGCCACTGAGAGAGCTGAGGCTGGGAGCCAGCTGGGAGGAGCCCCGGGCTGGGGGTGGCTCTGTGGGACCCCTCTCTGCATCCTCAGCTGCTCTCTTGGGGGACTCTCTGTGTCTCCTGGGTGTCAGCTTGCTGGCTGGGATCCTGCTGCCCCTCCTGGGTGAAGCTGGCTTGGCCTCCACACTCTCTGTAGAATCAGCCCCAGGTTTCAGGACCTGCCCTGGGGCATCCAGAGCCGTGTCCCCCCCCAGCTCACCGGGATGGGGGAGGCGTTGTGGGGCTGCTGGGGCAGAGCTCTGCAGCTGGCAGGGGCTCACACTCCTCTCGTGCTGCTCAAGCTGGGTCTCCTCTGTGGTTTCATCTGTTTTCCTCCCCATTGAAGGTGTTTTCCCTTTCCCGAGCTGCTCCTGGCCCAGGGCATCACCCCTCAGCTCTAGCAGCCCCATGCCAGTGTCCCCTGCTGGCATGGTGGCAGTGCCCACATGGGGCACAGGCTCCCCAGCAGAGTGCCCGGGGTCAGCCTGGCAGCCCAAGGGCTGCATCAGGGGTGAGTTGTTGGGCTCAGTTTCCCCTTTAGCATCCAAACTGGCTGTAGGGGCTCCAATCTCTGGCTGGGCCTCATCTTTGGGGTCCTTCCCAGGCGAGCTGTCCCAGTGGGCTTCCCCTACCAGCAGGTCACCACGGCCACCTGGCTCTGGAAAGAGAAAAGGAGATGGTTAAACCCTGACCTGTGTGACTGTGCTCACAGGGGTTTGGGGAAGAGACGAGGATCTGACTCCAGGATTTATTATTTTATTATATATTTTACATTAAAACTATACTCAAAGAATAGAAGAAAAGGTTTCATCAGAAGGCTGGCTAAGAATAGAATAGAATAGAATAGAATAGAATAGAATAGAATAGAATAGAATAGAATAGAATAGAATAGAATAGAATAGAATAGAATTATAACAAAGGTTTGTGGCTTGGACAGAGAGTCTAAGCCAGCTGGGCCATGATTGGCCATTAATTAGAAATAACTCTATGAGACCAATCACAGATGCACCTGTTGCATTCCACAGTAGCAGATAATCATTGTTTATATTTTGTTCCTGAGGCCTCTCAGCTTCTCAGGAGGGAAAAATCCTAAGGAAAATATTTTCCATAAAAGATATCTGCAACAACCTGCAGTGCACTCCCCTCCAGAGGAGTTTCTGTTCCCTCCTCACAGCTGCTCTAGGGTTGGATTTTATGGGGGATTCACTGACTCACAGCTCAGCTTCCCTCCTGCCACACCACAGGGAGTCACTGCTCGCTTGGGCAGAGTTAAAAATCAATGAGAAGAGTTCAGGGATGCACAGCACGAGAGAACAGCACAAAATGTGAGGCAGCAGGCCCCAGGGAGGAGGGGAATGGGAAAGTGGGCTCAGGGAAGGAGCAGAATCTGGCTGCAGGAGGGATTTGGCGGCTGCAGGGTTGGACACTCCTGCCCCACACCAGCTCCTCTCCACCTGCACAAACCCTGCTGTGTCACAGCAGGCCCTCCAGACTGTCAGCATCTTCTAATGACAAATCCTGATCCATGACTTAATCTCCAATCCTTTCCCCTCAATCCTTTTACTGTTTAATCTTTTCTTTGACATCAAGGGATGAGAAAGATCCTTTCTCTACTGGGGCACCCTGAAAGCTGCATTTTGGGTACACTAAACTGCATTTTGAAAAGCCCCTGGAGTCCCACATCTCTCATTTCAGCTCTCACAGTGGCACCCAACGTGGGGCACCATTAGTAAGAGCCTGAATGAGGGATGTGGGACTCCAGGCCTGCCTGCAGCTGGAGCTGACAGCTGTGGGCACAGCTCCGTCACCCACAACCCTGGGCTGCTGTAACCTCTTGGATGGAATAAACTGCATTTTGTATACAATAAACTGCATTTTGGATACAATAAACTGCATTTTGTGCACAATAAACTGCATTTTTAAGAGCCCCTGGAGTCCCACATCTCTCATTTTGGCTCTCACAGTGGCGCCCAATGTGGGGTGCCACCAGTAAGCGCCTGAATGAGGGATGTGGGTGTCCAGGCCTGCCTGCAGCTGGAGCTGACAGCTGGAGGCACAGCTCTGTCACCCACCACCCTGGACTGCTGTAACCTCTTAGATAGAATAAACTGCATTTTGTATACAATAAACTGCATTTTGGAGAGCCCCTGGAGTCCCACATCTCTCATTTAAGCTCTTACATTTTCCTATAACCAGGCATTTGCAACCAGCTCATGTGTGCTGGTAACAGAGCCAGGCTGGCAGAGGAACAGGGAATCAGGCAAATATCTGCTCCCAGGACTGATCCAGGACATGGAGCCAACAATCCTGACTCAGTGGATGGCTCGTGGTTAGCATAATTGATCCCTGGGATGCTAAAAGCCATGGAAATGAATCATGAGGGTCTGTGTGCTCCCTGAGACTGCAAAAATGCTTCCTCTGACTGCAAAAAAAAAAAAAAGCAACTCCCTCCAAGTAGACGTTGCCTTGATGCCCCAGAAAATGCATCAGTAAACACAAATCCAGTGGATGAGTACTTGGAGTGCAGCCAGGAAACAGTCTGAGGCAGAGCCTGGCAGGCCTTCCCATCATTAGGAACCAGGAAAACCTCCTTAACAGACCCCAAAGAAAACTTTATTACACTTGCTGTGCTGCTCAGCTGTTTGAAGCCTTCCTGAGACAGCCCTGAATAGAAGAACAGACTTCAAAGTCAGGGCAAAAGGACTATTTAAGTGCATTTTGCCTTCCCAGCAGAAGGTTTGGCAGCTGCTGCTCTCACAGGCATGAGCCCATCCTGGTTTCTAACCCAAGCAATGAGTAATTACTCCTTGAATAACAAGCAGCCAGCACACAAACTGCCTCTCCATGGTGTCTCCGGGGTGGGGAGGAAAGGAGTGTGTGGCCATGGCTCAGAATGGTTTAAATACAAAAAGCAGAAGGAGCACCCAGCCAGCTTCTCCAGCTTTGTGATTCTCACATTTTCTGCACCCAGGGGTACTCAGCCCCTCCTATAGCCAGTTTGAGGAACTGGGCTATACTGGGAGGCGGAAGGAAGGTACAGGCTCAGGTGCTGTTTTTGGAAATCTTTTGCAGAAAAATGTCCCTCTGCAAGCTCAGGGGGGATTTCCCTTAGTTCCTCCCCCCTCCACACTTCTTCTGCCTCCAACAGCAGCAGGAACAATTACACAGGATGCAGAAAGCAGAAACCCCTTCCTTGGGGGCTCCCACAGCTGCCCAGCCCTGGTGATGCCTCAGTGCAGCCCTGGTTCCATCCAGGGAGCTCTCCCCAAGCCCAGCACGGTGCCTGCAGCTCTTCCTGCTCCTCCTGAGCTCTCCCTGCTCCTCCCGAGCTCATCCTGCTCCTCCTGAGCATTCCTCCATTCCCAGCCCCATCCTAACCCCATTCCCGAGCCTGCAGCTCTCCCTGCTCCTCCTGAGCTCCCCCCCATCCCCAATCCCATCCCCAGGTCCTCCTTCAGCTCTCTCTGCTCCTTTTGCAGCTCTCCCTGCTCCTCCTGAGCTTTCCATGCTCCTCCTGAGCATTCCTCCATTCCCAGCCCCATCCCAACCCCATCTCCAGCCCCATCCCCAGCCCTGCAGCTCTCCCTGCTCCTCCTGAATGCTCTCTGCTCCTCCTGAGCTCTCCCCCATCCCCAATCCCATCCCCAGCTCCTCCTTCAGCTCTCTCTGCTCCTTTTGCAGTTCTCCCTGCTCCTCCTGAGCTTTCCCTGCTTCTCCTGCAGCTCTCCCTGCTCCTCCTGAGCTCTCCCTGCTCCTCCTGAGCATTCCTCCATTCCCAGCCCCATCCCAACCCCATCTCCAGCCCCATCCCCAGCCCTGCAGCTCTCCCTGCTCCTCCTGACCCCTCCCTGCTCCCCCCGAGCTCTCCCCCATCCCCAGCCCCAGGCAGTCACGTTGTGAGCAGCCCTGCTGGCTCCGCACGTACTCCCCTTGGCTCGTGGCTCCTGCCAGGGAAACCAGCCTGTCCCCCACTCCTGCAGCTGTCCCCCAGCCCTGTCACTGCACAAATCCTCCCTCTGCGCCAAATCTGAGCTGAGCAGCCCAGGAGAAGGCGGGCTGGCAGGCACGGACCACACGCAGCTCTGCCCCTTCCAGAGCATCCCAAAGAGGTGACCCTGAGGTGGCCCATCCTGTGGGATTCACTTTTTTTTTTGGAAAAATCCCTTTGCTCAGGATTTTTCTCCTGGGAAGCTGAGAAGCCTCAGAAAAAAAAAAAAGAAAAAGAAAACAATAATTATCTGATTTGCTTCTCCTGCGTTTTACTCCTTTAAAATGTGTTTAGAGATTGTTTACCAACAAGTAGTTGTTTAATTAAATTTCTAGTCTGAGTGTTTTGACTCTTTGGCCAATCAGTGCCAAGCTGTGTCAAGATTCTGGAAAGAGCCACGAGTTTTCATTATTATATTTTTAGCCTTCTGTCTGTATTCTCTCTGTATTCTTTAGAATAATATTCTATAACATCATACCATATCATAATAAATTAGCCTTCTAAAAACATACAGTCAAATTCATCCTTTGTTACTATGATATTTTCTGAAAATTCCCTTTGCCAGGATTTTTCTCCCGAGAAGCCTCAGAGGAAAAGAAAAACAATAATTATCTGCTGCTGTGGAATGCAACAGGTGCATCTTTGATTGATCTCATGTGGTTGTTTTTAATTAATGGCTAACCACAGTCAGCTGGCTCAGACTCTCTGGTCAGTCACAAGATTTTGTGATCATTCCTTTCGAGTCTTCTGATTAAATCCTTTCTTCTTTTAGTATAGTTTTAATACATCATTTTCTTTTAATATCATATCTATCATAAAATAATAAATCCGCCTTCTGAAACATGGAGTCAAGATTCTTCCCTCGTCCACGGACCCCTGTGAACACCACCACAACCATTCCTTCCTTTGCCTAAGGGAAACCCAAACACAATCCTGTCCCACCTGTGGCACTGCACCCTGACAGTTCTGGACACTGTCAGAGCATGGCACACGCACACAGACCCCAGGCTCTGTCCCAAACACAGCACAGGACAAGCTGGATCTCACCCACACCCACTGTCCTGGCTGTGCTCAGGCTGCAAACCTGCTCCACACCCAGCTGAGCACCTGCAGGGGATGCTACAAAGTGAAAACAGAGATTTTTTTTTTTACTTTCTAAAGAAAAGCAGGCAGGGCAGTCTGGCACCGCGGTAACAGACGCGCAGTGCCTCTGCATTTTAATTGCTTTGCTTGCCTTCCTCGGGCTGAAATTAAACACAAACACTGATTTAAACAGCTTTCCAACACGCCATCCCTCAAACCAAGCAGGAGAACTTGGCAGCAAAGGCTCAGAGCCCTTTCCATCCCACAGGCAGCAATCCCTGTGCCAGAACAGCCCCTCTGGTGTGCGGGCCCTGTGCTCAGCTGTGAGTCACACACTTCCCAGCCCAGCACAGGATATCTGCCCCACACACCCAGCTCAGCCCCACCACAGCTTTCTGTCGGTGTTCAACAGCCGTTGGGCTATTTTTAAACCCATTCTGTTAAGAATTAGCATCAGAGGGAGGATGCTGCTAACGCACCGGAAAACACGTGCCCTGCATCAGGGCAGCTCACAGCTCTGATGGCTCCAGATCTGCTGCTTCTGCTCATTTCCTTGTGCAAAACATCTACTGGCAGATGACTGCAGATAACTCCAATATCTGCTTTTCCTTGTGCAAAACATCTACTGGCAGATGACAGATAACTCCAGCAAGAATGGGATAGAATTAATCCGAGACCACCAGAAGAAACTGAGTGATCCTGAGTGGGCACAAACCCTCACTCAGCTCCCTCCAGGGCTGAATTTTTGTCCCCAAGGACAGGGTTTAACATACCCAGGTCACCTCCTGGCTGTGCATGGAGCAGCCAGCCCTGGAGTGCAAAAATCTACAGGCAGATGACTGCAGCAAGAATGGGATAGAATTCTTGGGGTGGAATTAATCCCACCAGCCAATTCCACAAGAATAAACTGAGTGATCCTGAGTGGGCCCAAACCTTTAATACAGCCCCCTCCAGGGCTGAATTTTTGTCCCCAAGGACAGGGTTTAACATACCCAGGTCATCTCTTGGCTGTGCATGGAGCAGCCAGCCCTGGAGTGCAAAATATCTACTGGCAGATGACTGCAGATAACTGCAGCAAGAATTAATCCCACCAGCCAAGACCACAAGAAGAAACTGAGTGATCCTGAGTGGGAAGAACCCTCACTGCAGCTCCCTCCAAAGCTGAATTTTTGTCCCCAAGGACAGGGTTTAACACACCCAGGTAATATTTTGGCTGTGCATGGAGCAGCCAGCCCTGGAGCCATGGCTTGTGTCATTCCTCACTCTATTTATTCCCAAGGCAGGGTGAGACTGCAAACACCCAGCAGACAGTCCCTCAAGGCCAGGGGTGCAGTGCCTGCCCCCAGGTGCAGCCCTGGCACTGCCCCAAACAGCCCAGCAGGGCCAAGCAGCCATTTCAGGGATTCCATCCCTGCTGCAACCGAGCTGCAGCCAGACCCAAGGGCTGCTATGCAGCAGCAAAATGCAAAGATGAGGCTTTAACACAGGGATTGCACTGGTGGTGTGACAGCCTTCTGCACACTGCAAAGCCACCCTCAGCCACAAAATCCCTTCTCTCCTCCATTCCAGACAAACTGAACAGACACAGGGGCAGGGAAGGGCTGGAGCCAAGTGTGGTGGCACCAGTTTGGCTCTGCTGGCCCCAACATGCCACTGTCTGCCAGGCAGCACAGAAAAACAGCTTTTGCTGGAGATCATGCCCCCGTGTGCAGAACAGTGGGAGCTTTGTGTGCAGGAGCAGATACTCCCTCAGTGCTGAGCAGGAGCTGCTCATCCCAGGACAAGGGGAACAGTGACACCCTGAAATGATCCTCCTACCTGCTAGGAAAGCCTTGATCTCTCCCCCCCTTTCCCAGGCATTATCCTCAAAGTAAAGATGTCTCTATCATCCCTTCTTAAAAGGATTATTCCAAGAGCTGTGATTACTGGAAGCACGAACAGAGCACTCACAGCAGACAAAAATGAGTTTTTCACGGGGATGGATGAGCACCCAAAGCAGAACAACACCACAGGGGATGGAGAGCCACAGCATCCTGTGCCTGGGCTCCCGCACAGAAGGACCCATGGTCTGGACCAAGCCCATGTGCTCTGAAATCAGCCCCACACAAAGTTCCCAGCTGAGTTTTCCTAGAGCAGATCCCCTGCAATTCCTCAAAAAGTGGGGTTTAGCAGCATTAAGCTCTTGTATTTTTAACAGTGAGGACAACTGGCAGCTAACTGCAAGGAAAAATGGCCTGTGCCGTGAAATCCCACTGAATCAAATGAAACACTGAATCAATCCAATGAAATACCACTGACCAGCCTGGGGGACACAGAATGGCATTTTGTCACTCCTGTGCAGGAGCCAGGGGTGAGGGACACATGAGCAAGGTCCCAACAGCCAGCAGCAGCCCCCAGGCTGCAGAGCAAGTGTCAGAGGAACGTTTAACCGATAAAATAATTCAACATCACCCTGGGACTCCTCCCAGTCCCCCATCACAGCTCCTTGTGGGGCGCCCAGCCCAGCCCTGGCATTTGAACTGTCCAGGCCGTTAACCACCAAAAGTGTGCCAGGCATTACTCAAAGTCAGAGAATTTCACTCCTTGACCCCACCCTGCCTTTCTGCCACCGGAGCAGAGCACCAAGAGCAGAATGCGCTCTCTTTTTACCTTGGCTCCTGGCCTCAGGCTCTGGCGATCCCGGGGGCTCACAGAACTCCTTGAGGGGCGAGCAGGCCGGCGTTTGTGCTTCAGGCGTCTCGAAATTATCGGTGGAGTCCGAGCTGCCGAAAAGGGAGGGGGAAAGAGTGAGGAATTACTGCTTTCAAGGCTACCTCTGAAATCCTCCAGCCAGGCCCCAGGCTGCCCGCGGGCATCCCCTCGCTCCTGTCCATGCTGGCAAAGGGAGAAGGGAGAGCAGGTGAAACATCATCGGCACACCGCCCTGTGGAGGCTTTCAGCCAGGTCTGAGCACACAGCACGGGCCTCCAAGGACACGTAGCGAGCCCGGCTGCTCCGGCATCCTCCGGGGAGCGGCTCTGATCCCCCAGCCCCGGCATCCTCCGGGGAGCGGCTCTGATCCCCCAGCCCCGGCATCCTCGGGAGCGGCTCCTGATCCCCCAACCCCGGCATCCTCGGGAGCGGCTCATGATCCCCCAGCCCCGGCATCCTCCGGGGAGCGGCTCTGATCCCCCAGCCCCGGCATCCTCCGGGGAGAGGCTCTGATCCCCCAGCCCCGGCATCCTCCGGGGAGAGGCTCTGATCCCCCAGCCCCGGCATCCTCCGGGGAGAGGCTCTGATCCCCCAGCCCCGGCATCCTCCGGGGAGCGGCTCTGATCCCCCAGCCCCGGCATCCTCCGGGGAGCGGCTCTGATCCCCCAGCCCCGGCATCCTCGGGAGCGGCTCCTGATCCCCCAGCCCCGGCATCCTCGGGAGCGGCTCCCGGCCCCCCAATCCCCGGTGCGGTGCGGGATCCCCGGCAGGCAGGCAGCGAGCGAAGGGAGGATGGGGACAGGGCCGGGGAGAACGCGCAGGGAAGGGAAAGGGCCATGGGTGACTTGCCTGAAGCCAAGGGCCGAGCCCCCCGCCGGCGGGTCCTGCTCCTCATCATCATCATCCTCCTCCTCGCCAGCAGCCCCGTCCCCCTCCTCCTCGGGGCCGCCCCCGCCCCGCACCGCAGACCACGTCCAGCGGGCCCACTGCACCGGCGAGAGGATCTGCCAGGCGCTGAACGCCATCGGCCCCGCTCCGTGCCCGCTCCGCTCCGCTCCGCTCCCCGCCGGGCTCACTGCGGCCGCGCCGCCCCCATCGCGCCCCGCTCCGCTCCGCTCGGGCCGCCCGCCCCCGCACCGCGGCACTGCCGGCGGGGAGCGCCCGCCCCGGGGAGGGGCCGAGCGAACCGAACCCCCGCAACGCCTCCCGGAGCCCCGCAGCGGGGATGGACACGGGGATAGAGGTGGGGCTCCCCCGCCCCGGGGAGGGGCCGATCCCGAACCCCCCGAACGCCTCCCGCAGCCCCCGACACGGGGATGGAAACGGGGATAGACGTGGGGATGGACACGGGGCTCCCCGGCTTGCCCCCCTCCCCACCCTCCCGCTGTTTTCCTGCCTATCCGAGCTCCTAATTTGGCCAATTTCTCCCAAATTGGCCAATTTCTGCCCAAAAGCAGGGCCCGGGCACGTCGCTGTCACCCCTCGCCTTCCCTGCTTTCCCCCCTCCCCGTGAGAGGGCAAGGAACGGTGAAACCCAATCCCGGCAGTTTATCCCGCATCGATTTGGTTGCACCTGTGCTAGAGCAGATTCTTTCCACTCTGGACGTGCCCGAGAAGACCCCACAGGGGTGGGGAAGTGCCCTGGGGAAACAGGCAGCGCCCAGGAATCCTCATTTTCCCCCAGGAATCCTCATTTCCCCCAGGAATCCTCATTTCCCCCAGGAATCCTCATTCCCCCCAAGGAAGACTCGATTCTCCCCTGGAAGATTCAGTTCCCTCAAGGAATCCTCGGTTCCCCAGAGCTGAGGAGCCAAACACAGCAGGCAGGGCCAAAGAGGAGGGAAACACCTGTCCTTCCCACTTTCCAAGGAAATACCGGCCCCAGCAGCCCTGGCTGATGCTATATCCTTCCGTGGCAGCAAGTTTATTTATTTATTTATTAAGTCTATTGTTGTTTAAAAATACCAGCCAGCAGTTCCCACAGAAATCAACCTTGCTGGCCTCCCTCGGGAACTTTTTTCCCCTAACGAGGGCTCCCACTCCCAAATTCATCACCTCCCACACGCTTGCTAGAGAGAGGAGGATAACATTACTGACACCGCGCTGCAGCAGCACTGGGAGGAATGTCCAGGGCAGATCTGTCACGGGCAGTGACATTTGGCAGCTCCTGACTGGTTTAGCCCAGTCCAGGGATGGCCTCAGGATGGACAGACAGCTGTCCTGCTGTGAAACCAGCCTGGCAAACTGCAGAGAACGCTGCTGACCACACCAAGGGCTCCATGGCAGCCTGAGCCCACGGCTTCCCTGTGAGTCAGCTCTGGGGGTTGGGAATGCCTCTGCACGGACAGAGAGGCCCCTGGGCCACGGCAGACCTGTCCATCTGGTCTGGCTGCCTCTGTCTGAAGCTTCAAAGGGCTCGGCAGTCACCGTTGTGCATCTCAAATAACCTCCCTGCAGGGATCCTTTCTCCAGGCTTCCCTCTCTTGGTGTCCTTATTAGGTATTTGTGTCATTCCTGCGTGCTTTCACTCCCCACCCTCTCAAAAAGAAAACCTCTTACCCCTTTCCACAACACTTCTAAGCTTCACCAAAGCTGGGTGAACCAAAAGCTGAGATGCTGCCAATTCCCAGCATGGATCAGTGGCAGGAGAGGCTCAAGGGTCCCAAGGAACACCTCAGCCCCTGCACAACATTGGCCCCACATCCCCAGGGGGACAAGGGACCCTGCACAATCCCCTGCTGCTGTAGAGGACACAGAGCAAGAGGGGAATATGTGAATCTTACTGAAGCTTAGCCAAAAACCGTTAGTCTGAAACAAAACCATGAGTCTGAAGCAAAACCACGAGTCTGAAACACAACCACGACTCTGAAGCAAAACCACGACTCCGAAGCAAAAGCAGAAGCTCCACATCCTGTTGCCCATGGCTGCCGTGAGCAGAGCACAGCCCACATCCCCGCTCCGAAGCAGCAGAGCTGATTTCTGCAGATGAATTTTACATCAGATCCTCATCAGCGTGAGCAATGCTGCAGCGACACGCTGCAGCCTGACCTCATCCTGCTCCTGCCTCTGCTCCCCCTTCCCACCTCCCTGGAGCCAAGGAGCAGCTGAGGAGCTCTGCAGGGACCTCACAGGGGATCAGAAAGCCGAGTGCAGCAGGAGCAGCAGCAGCTTTGGCACGGCAGCAGCAGGGATGAGGCACCTCTGCTGCAGAGGGAAGGAGCTGTGTGTGACCTGCTGGAGGAGGGAACTGGCGCACATGAGAGCAGAAAATCATCAAGACCTGTCCTTGTGCAGGCAGTGCACACACTGCATCCAGAAATCCCAAATCCCACCCAGCACCCCAGGAAGGAGCTGGCAGGAACAGGAGGAACAGGACTGAACCCTGCAGAGCCCTGGGGCATGGAGATACCAGAGCAGTGCAGGGGCAGAGCCTGCTTCCACCTGCTGTTCCCGAGGAAAAATTAAAGAAATGCCTCGGGTGGCATTTTCCAGCTTGGCAGCACTGGCACAGCAGCAGGATGAGACACTTCTGCTGCAGAGTAAAGGAGCTGTTTGAGGGAACTGGATGAGGGAACTGGGGCACACGAGAGCAGGAAATCATTCACGACCTGTCCTCGGAACCCCAGGAATCCCAAATCCCACCCAGCACCTCGGGAAGGAGCCAGCAGGAACAGGATCAGCAGGACTGAACCCTGCAGAGCCCTTGGGCAGGTCCTGCTTCCACCTGCTGTTCCCGAGGAGCAATTAAGAAAATGCCTCCAGTGGCATTTTCCAGCTTGGCACCTGACCCAGCCTGGCTGCGAATCACCACCGGGGAGATAACCTGACTTTGTCGGTCACGCTGCAGGCTCTGCCTGCCAAACGCTGCTTGGCACAGTCAGCAAACACATCCCTGCAGAGCAGCGAGGGTGCTGACCTGCTTGAAAACACCTGGCAGCAGTTTCCAGGCTGGCAGAGAGGCGCAGCCCACACAGGCAGCAGCTGGACAGGCTGTCCTTGGCACTGCTGTCACCTCCCTCGCCGCTGTCACTGCACACACGCAGAGAAAAGCAAGGCACAATTCCTCTTAAAAATATTTCTGGGATTTACATTTTTTCGACTTCAGAGAAAGAAAACACAATTTTTATCACTTGCTGTGCCTGTGTTTGTGCAAAAGTAGAACGCAACATGGAGATTGTTTACCCAAAGTCATGGTGTGTGTGTGTCAAGATTTTTGGGTGACACTCACGAGATTCAGTGCAGTTGTGAGCAAGAGTGAGTGCAGAGCAAATTCAGTTTAAATGCAATGTACATAGTATAATAGAATAAAGTAATTCATTAACCTTCTGATATCCACAGAGTCAGATGCATCATTCTCTCTCCCTCACCAATGTCAGAGTCGCCTTTGATTTATAATAAAGCTCAGGGACGTCTCTGAACTGCCTAAACCTCCACCCACAATTCTCACACTTTCCAGGAGGGGGACTCCAGCGGCCCCTGCTGCACAGAAAACAGGAGGAGCCTCAAATATTTTGGAACTAGAAGAGCCCTGTCATCACAGAAGCTGCAAAAAGAAGCAAAACCTTGCTTAGCTTTTTATATTTATCCTTGCAGGAAGGCAGCTGCACCCAGGGATAACAGCTGGACCTTCACTCTGGGGATGAAATTCCTGCTGGCAGTCTGGCAGCACAGCCTCTGCCTGACCCCAAAAACGCAGTGTGCACAATGCCTGACCCCAAAAACATAGTGTGCACAATTTCTGACCCCAAAAATACAGCGTGCACAATTCCTGAGACCAAAAACACAGTGTGCACAATGCCTGACCCCAAAAATACAGCATGCACAATTCCTGACCCCAAAGATGCAGTGTGCACAATTCCTGACCCCCAAAAACACAGCGTGCACAATTCTTGACCATAAAAACACAATGTGCACAATTCCTGACCCCAAAAACACATTGTGCACAACTCCGGACCCCAAAAATACAGTGCGCACAATTCCTGACCCCAAAAACACAGTGTGCACAATTCCTGACCCCACAAACACAGCGTGCACAATTCCCGACCCCCAAAAACGCAGCGTGCACAATTCCTGACCCCCAAAAACACATTGTGCACAATTCCTGGCCATAAAAACACAGTGTGCACAATTCCTGACCCCCAAAAACACAGCGTGCACAATTCCTGAGCCCAAAAACACAGTGTGCACAATTCCTGACCCCCAAAAACGCAGCGTGCATAATTCCTGACCCCCCAAAACACAGCGTGCACAATTCCTGACCCCAAAAACACATTGTTCACAATTCCTGACCCCCAAAAACACAGTGTGCACAATTCCTGACTCCCAAAACTGCAGTGTGCACAATTCCTGACCCCCAAAAACACATTGTGCACAATTCCTGACCCCCAAAAACGCAGCATGCACAATTCTCAGTGTCACCCCACCCCAGGAAGGGCACAGGAATAAGGCTGAGGAACAGGTAGCACACAGCCACACCTGGTTTGGAGCTGCAGTGCCCCAGGCCAGGGGAAGGTGTGCACCTGGAATTTCCCTTCTCGGCCCTTTCATTAGGCAGCACAACACCTATTTCTGGCTTCCAAGCTTTTCTAGGCACGGCACAGCAGCCAGCACTGACATTTCTAGCTCAGAAACAGATCTTTTGGGGGGTTTCATTTCTCCTTTCTGCTCCTCTGCAGTGGAGCACCAGGACCAGGGCCCGGCCCACTGTAGGAAATGCCAGGATGGGGCACAAGCACAGCAGGGGAAGGTGGCAACAACCCAAAGATCAGCACACTGAAAAACCCCAAATCCTCATTTCACTGCTGTGTAAATCTCCCCCACAGCCTGTAATAAGCACTTTATCCACATAACACTTATCTCCTGCTGGAGAGGAGGTCCAGGGTGTTTCAGGAGCATTTTTCTGTCGCTGCATTTTATTCCACCTATTCTGTCAAGCAGGGATCAGCACCTGGAGCATCCCGGAGCATCCCGGTGTCACAGACATCTTTTATGAAAATCCTTTCCTTAGGATTTTTCCTCCTGAGAAGCTGGGAGGCCTCAGGAACAAAATGTAAGCAATGGTTATCTGCTGCTGTGGAATGCAACAGGTGCATCTGTGA